AGCATTACGACCTACTGCCATTGGGTACTCCATATTTTCCTCAAGCTTCCTGACTATCGGGAAACCAAAACTAGGATATTGTAAGGAGCAAGGTTGTTGCTTTCAAATTATGACTCTCCCATAATTTACACGATTATCCGCAGTATATCTGGCCGGCCTGTTTTCCTGTTTGCCGGTCAGTCTTAGGTATTTTCTGAAATGCGATCCGCCACAGTTGTAGTGCAAAAATGGTTAAAAAAAGTAATAGTTTATTTACAGCCAATGTCTTTTTTTTTTGTTAATTGAACCCTCATAAAATAAAATTAATATTACAGTTTAATTATATGAAATTTCTTCTTGAGGCCTATACCCTACCATCTCTAACTTAAGACTAACAATTTTTCCTGAAAAATCTGTAACTACCTTCACAATTCTGAACCCTCACTAAAAATGTATTTTTTTTACCCATCCACCACCTCCCCGCCGTACCCAAGGGAGACCCTATACCGGCGGACCACGGCCACTAAACTAATTAAAATGGGATGCAAGTTTAGGAGATCTTATTGTGCTTAACGTCTTCCTTCCACTAAAAATGAATCTATAACCATCTCGAACCACCCCTATATGTCTCAGTAATCTAACGATTTGACAACCACCCACTCCTTTCTGAACTATCGAACATCACTAACCTTTCATTACCATCACATCTGGTGTTTAACATCACTTACAAAATCAATGACTGAAGATGGCCAAGATGATAGGAAAACGACCAAACTACAGCCCATCACTCAGTTGTTCAATGGGATCGTCAATTGAGCTCGGGAGTTGGCAATGGCAATTGATTCAATTTTGGGTTCGTAAAATTAGCGACGAGGAAGGTGCCAGAAAACAATCCTGTTGAACCAACACGCAAACAACATTAACAAAACTTTTTTAAAATATATTTTAAATCAAATGTATACAATTAAACAATTATCCTAGAGCGGTGGGGCCGAAACAGGAAATACATTTTACGAAACAATGATGTTGCAACATAGTTTCATTACAATGAAATTGCCATAACTCCCATTTGCTATACTTCGAATTAAAAGTTGCATGGTTTAAATGACCTTATTATTTCTACATTTTAACCTGTAAACGCCTGATGAATAATTTTTGAATCAATACAGTGGGAACTCGCTCACTTTTATTGTTTGCTTATATTATATTCATAATTTTATTTTGTGTAAAAAACATTTAGGCTCAGGAAACAATTTATCTACCGTTGGTTTTTATTGGTTAAAGTAATTTTTTTGGGGTAAAACTAGAAATTCAGTAAAATAAAAGAAGGAAGGACTATTAGGTAGCGAAGGAGATCGTTATGCTTATGTCTTATCACTAAATGGTTTATGATCAGTAGTGATGGCTGATTTTTATATAACGATAGTTAGGTGTGGTTAGCGGGATAAGGATTTGTAAAGATGGTTTGAGTTAGTTAAGAATTAGAGAAAGAAGTAGTGGCGTTGGTTAAAATTTATTCCCGCTGAATTTGTATTATTGAAAGTCAATTTTATTGACAAAATAAAAACTGATGTACGTGATTAGTCAGGGTGTACTTTATACTGCGCCCTTTAAGAGCTATTGTATACCTCATAAATAAAAAAACTTTAGAAAATATGTGTATAATGATCAGTGTTGACCACCGGTTTGACCCAAAATCAGCTTATCTGCTGTGTCATTGCTTATATTTTTTCGTTTCTGTTTACAGGCTTTCATTTTAGTTTTATCTTTTATTTGTTTTTAATTCCTCCCCCTTGTATAATTACGACAGTTTTGCGAAGGAAAGGTACGATAGAGATATGAAAAAAATTAAAAGCTCTCGTAAACACATTCTCGAGATTAGACCGGCATAAGCAACAATGATGCCATTGTGGGTTTATTAAATTGCTTTCATTGATACGTTCTTGAACTCCGGTGTCGTCTGGCCGTGCTTGTGGTCACGTACGCACCAAAGAGACAATTTTAAAGAGATATATAGAGAGGGAGAGAGTGAGAGAGAAAATAAAAACGAGAGTCTCAGCAAAATATGTGAGCTGGCTGATAAGAAACCCTATTTGACGAAGGACAAGAACACCAACAATGAACTGAAACTTTAGCACCAGAATAACGAGCCAAAATTTATTATTAAAAAAAAAAATTCACTTTTGCCTTTGCAAATTTTCCCCTTGAACTCTGCGGGGCGATGAACCCGTAGATTAGTCGTTTACAATTTATCCATCGCCCCGTGAATGTTCACCAGATATAAAGATAATATGGGTTTGGTACGGTAGGGATGGTTATGAAAGGTAATGGATTAGGATTTATATGGCCGGCTGAAATTGGTTAAGAATGGGAATTGGATGGATGGAATGGACCCACTAGTATTCACGATAGTCAGGGATTTTGTAATTAGTAAGGATGGTTATCCATAAGGTTTCACCCTAAATATCATTTGTGTTAGATATAATTGTGAATACTAAATCTACATAGGGACGGCCAAAGATAGAAATAGCTAATTAAGAATGGATAGTTATACATTTGCTAACACTATATAGTTTAGGATGGTTAGAGATACTAAGGGTGTTAAATAGTTTGTAATAGGTAGGGTCGGTTAAATACTTTAATACTAACTACTATTACTTTACTAACGAAATCGCGATGAATAGGCGTGGGTAGTGCTGCTGTAATTGCAATTTGTAACAAACCAAACTTTTTAAAAGTTTGATCAATAAATCAAATATTTAATAACAGAAATGTTTTTCGACAGAAATTATTTACAGTTAAACAAAAAGAATTATTTTCCTTTAAATCAATTCCCCAAAAAAGGCATAATCTTCCTTACGTACCTGTATGTACTACACACTTCCCTTTGCTCTGGAAATACACAAACATCATCATTTTGCCAAAACCCGGCACATCCGCCTATAAAGCATCTTCCTATAATCAAATTAGCCTGCTTCGTCTTTACTCAAAAATATTTTATAAGATCCTCCCAAGACGATTATTGATCCCAACACTAATTCTTACAACCTTCTCCTAGACCATCAATTTCATTCCGGGCTCTATTTCTGACATTGAAATGGTTAGTACTATACCCTTTAACCCTTGCGAAGTATACGTCTGTCTCCTTTCCTTAATATCAAAGCCAGTTTACGAATGTCTTGTAGAAACTGGGTTCGAGGTTGTTCGTTGCATTTCAAAGAATAAAAGATACTTTGGCTATCAGACAAAATCAATATCTTCGTACATGTTTAAGTGTGTACAAAAACAAGGGTTCTATACCTGTTACATAAAGGACATAATTTGGAGTATTACTCTTAGAAGTCACTTTATTGCAAAGGCGTCCTCAAATGGTCACTTTCTGTCCCACATCTGAGCATCGTAACAAATCGTGCTTCTTGAAACAAGAAGTTCATATATCCTTGTGATACTGTTTTGTAACATGCATTAGTTATCCTCCTATCTTTGCCGCTTTCGCTTTTTCTCTAAAATGATGCTTATAATTTAAACTGGGAATCATAGAGATCCCTAAGTACTAGTACTTTCTTTACCACCTCTTATTTCTTCTCCTTTTAAAAACAAACTTTCTTTACCAGCCCGCATTCTTAAAACAAATATTTTGGTTCTGGCATACCAAAAAAGTGATGATCTGAAACGACCAACCACTGTCTCACGAATATTGCCACAGCCTGCTAATCATAAAAACATTTTCACGTAACAGCGCTACGTACTGTAACTCTAAATTTTTACCAAATGTTTTTCTTGATATTCTCTGTGTGATATTCGGTATTATTGTGATATTCTATGCCTACTGAAGCTATCCAAGTCAAATAAAGACAGGATCTGGTACCCTAACTCTCGTGTCCTCAGATGCAGCATTCGCCGTCCGCTGCCGACTCGGAGGCCAACACGAATCCAACTTGTGCTTTAGGAGGTTGCCTCGCTCCCAAGGCTACACCATTATGTTGTGCCTGGATATCTCCCTTGCATCCAAGGGTTGGGAGAGGTCTCAAGGAAGTATGCTGAAGGACCTGGATTGAGAAAGGGAAGTGACCGAGGACACGAGGCTCACCTTTTCAATTGTACCCCCCGCCTTGGCCACACTTTACCACCCATTGTCACCGTAGTTCCACAGTAAATGGGCTATGACTCCCTGGGTGGATAGAAGAGATCAGATGGCTGTTCATGCGCCGAACGAGTCGACACCATCTCGAGGGACGAATCCGAGGTTGTGTGACCGCCTGGCACACACCTCGGATTAAAGGTGTTCATTCTCAGATGCCCTTCTCCACAGGGGTGAATTCAGGGGGAGAGGTGATAAGCCTCTCCCCTATGGGTAACGGATGTCCACGAGGATTCACGTGCTGCACCTACTCCTCCCCGGAAGATCACCCGCTCCAGATGGTATTTGCTACTGTTGGTCGGGCAACGGCCGTGCTCGGGGGCTTCGTAGGCCGACCCTCTCGGAACACTCCACCCTCAAAGCCCAGCCGCCCCAGTCAGTATTTGCTGGAAACCAGGGTACATTCGAAAATAGCCAATCCTACGTTAGACAGCAATAAACGGTCTCTATATCTACCCCAACATCTTAAAATATCATCTGCCGACCTTCCGCAACCGCCGTTTAACAGTCGTCTGACCTTTTGAGCTGTAACATCTTTTCCGTTTATTTTGTCATTGCTTGACATACAAGAGTGGTAAAACGATAGAGGACGGGTCAGGAAAGAAGACGTGGTCGCTCGCATTCAGAAATTTCGTTTTGGCCGAACGCCAAATTTAAATACCTCGCGAATCGCGACTGATGGCCCTTTTCGCAGGTCGATCTGCTGCCTGGTCTAGCTTGATCTTGCCACTTCCGGGGGGGGGGGAGAAAAAAAACATCTTGTCCCTCTATGTCTTTTTCCATATATTGGATTGAATAGTTAATACCTTGACCAATTTTTACTTCCTGTTGTCAGAAATCTACACACTTAACTGTTTTTGGTTTTTTGTTTGTTTCACAGAAATTGGTGTGGCAACTGAACATCAAGTGGAATTGCTGAACAGGGAAGGCCAATTGCTTAGTACAACAGCCCAAAACATGTCCAAGATGAACGCACTCACATACGACCCAATTTATGGCCATTTGTACTTCAGCGATTCTTCTCAACCAAACGCCAGTATATTCCAGATCGAAGTCGCCAAGGACGGAAGGACGAGCAATGTCAAACCTGTAGTAAAAAGTATGTCCTTTTTTATTTACCATCACCAGCAAGTTTACAATACAAATTTATTTGCATTGTAGAGATAGGGAGCTCGATAGAAGGCCTAGCCCATGATCCATTGAGCTCTATGCTTTTCTGGACAACAGGGGTAGAAAAGACAATAATGACTGCGTCATTGAAGGATGAGGAAGCCGAGCCGAAAATTTTACTTACATCCAAACTTCCCAAAGGCATTGCCGTTGATCCTTGTCAAAGGTAAATGCATTTCCATGAAACATGTTCGAATGGGTTACTTAACATTGGAGTTCATTTTTAGACAGCTGTTTTGGACAAATTGTTACACATCCGAATCAACAATAGAGAGGTCATTGCTTGACGGCAGCAAACGTCTAGTCCTAATCAAAGACTTGTTTTTACCTGTGAGCATTACGATATCCCAGGAGGAACGCATGATTTATTGGGTGGAAGTGTTCCACAATCACTTTTCTGTGACAAGGGCAGCTTTAGACGGAACACAAATAGAGAATGTGATCAAGGACAAGGATCAGCAGCCCTTCTCAATTGCAGTGACACCCAATCACATCTATTGGACGGACTTCGCCAACAACGCTGTCTGGTCTGCAAATAAGACCAACTCGTTGATCGTCCCTCACAAGATAAAGATGTACCATAGGGTGAAACCAAGGGGAATTGTTGCTTTATCGCAGTATGACAAATTGGACGAAAGTGAATGCAAAAATCTTAAGGAATTGCAGTTGAAGGTAAGGCTGGTTTGTCTCAATCCCATTAATTACTTACTAGATAAAATAAGTTCATTAGACAAAAATACATACATCCATACTTAATGGACTTTTGCTTTATGCAAGCAGCTGTGATATTTTTTCTTAAAGTCTATGGAGTATGAGCTAGTAGATTGGTTGTTTCTGACCATCCTGTCACATTTCGCTGTTTCTGACCATCCTGATCTGCCTGCCTATCCTATCACATTTCGCAATCTTCAGAGTTGGTTAGACGGATGGTGAGAGATGTTGTTTAGGTAGGGTTAAAAATTCGTTCACTATGTAACCATTGAATAGCGAAATACCTAAATGTGGCTGATCAAAAGGCAGACGAGGAAGATCAGAAATAGTTAAAATACAGAATATTAATAAATAAAGTAAGGATTATAGTTTTAACCTTATTATTATTTTCAATTAATTAATATTTAATTAAGGTTTTGGTTGAGATAAAAAAGTCAGTGTCACAAGCAGGATTCGAACCCACGACCTTCAGCTAAATACGCCGCTGCTCTACCACTTGAGCTATCGTGACTTCAATCCACTTGGACACTAACTTCCCATCTCAACCCCACCTTTTAAATTTTCCCTCCTTTTTGCCATTTTTCAATCATTTTTATCTCAACCAAAACCTTAATTAAAGATTAATTAATTGAAAAGAATTTATTTGGTCAATCGGACCACGAAACCTAATAAATGTAAAATTATTATTAATGTTATTAGATTCCATCGAGGGTGAGAGTGTCTCTTGGGACATGCTTCCACGGCTACATCAACAAATCAGGTGGTTGCGACTGTGTACCTGGGTATAATGGCCATTACTGTGAGGTGTCTGTTTGCCACAACTATTGTCTCGGAAGTGGCAATTGTACCTTTTCCGATGGTGGGCCGGTCTGCTCCTGTCCAGAGACTCTCAAAGGGGACAGATGCGAGATCCGGGTCTGTGCTGAAGGCTTGTGCATGAACAACGGAACGTGTGTTGTCATCACTGGCCAGGAGACCTGTTCCTGTACCGAGGGCTATTTCGGCGACAGGTGCCAGTTCTCTACAGCCCTCTGTGACACCTACTGTACAGAAGTCGACGATACAACTCAACTCGCATTCAAGGATTGCTCGTAAGTCAATACGCTTTAAAGCTGGAAAAATGAAATTCTAATTTGTATTTTATTTTTATTTTTATTTTATCAGTTGTGAAACTTGGGCTCTAACAGGCCGACCCTCATCGTTTATCTCGATGAAGAGTGTTAAAAAGTGGCAGATCATCAGCTGGTCATTGATGGGAGTGCTCAGCCTCTTCATTTTCATCTTTTTTGGCATGCTGTATAAGATCTATGGGCTGAGCTCGCGGCCCAAGCTGGTCAGGAGGTTCCAACCAACCCAAGGGAAGAATGCAAAAACAGCAGACCATTGTGAAATAGCGATAGAAAACTGCTGCAACATGAACATCTGCGAAATCGTGAGTCAAGTAGACGAAGACATATCAGAAACATCTTAAAACTTTTTTTTACATTACAGCCTTGCTACGAGCCCGAGTTCCGCACTCCAAAAGGCAAAGACAAAAAGGGCGAGAAGAAAACACTTCTTGATAATGAGGTCCTTAACCAAAATACGGATCTTTTCTAGCAGAGGACCAAGACTGGCTCAGGGGCTAGCTTGCTCCATCGCAAATCCAGTTCCTGAAAGTGATTTTTTCCTTTTTACCTGACACTCTAGCACCAACATTTCAATTGAAAAACGGTGTACTTACGATACACATAAGACAAGAGTTATGTTATTTAGTTTTATTTTTCTAAAAGAAAAAGGCTGTGTAGTAGCTCTTGAGGATGTTTTTATCTTTAATCTAAACTTTTTATTTTATATATATCATGCATAATGTCTTGTGATGGCGTCAACTGTTCACAAAGACAAAATAATTGTACAATTATGTAAAATAGATAAAAGCATTGTTTTAATTTTTTCTTTTTATAATTTTAAAAATTAAATCTTCAAGGATTATTTTCTAATTATATTATTTTTTTAGTGAGATCTGTAAATCGAGCAAGCAAGGGTGTGAAAAAGAGGATAAGGACAGCTAAAATTGAAAATTTGTCCTTATTTTTTTTGTGTATATCCTTGTATTATTTAGTAAGTCGCTAGGATTAAACGTGTGTCGGTTTTGTTTATCTGTGATCAACTCATTAACGAGTGTTAAAAAAATATAAAAAAATAGTTTCTACCATTTAGCTTAGAATCGACTCATTGGTCTTAACTTTAAAATGTAGAAGATAATAGTTCTTGAAGATGTACAGGTGTCCAAAAGGGGGGTCCCATTGAAAGAGTTTTTACTTTATATAATCTTATTTTAATTTATTACTTGTTTCTGTTATTTTTTAACTCTATTTTTTTAAGACTTGCAAATGTTTGAAATTTGTGAGTGGCATAAAAAAAACTGAATGCTATTTTATGACTGCCAAGAGTCTAGAAGTCTGAATAAAAATATGAAAATTATATGCAGTTCTGCTATTTGTAGTGGATCCATGGATTTTTAAATCATTTAAATCAATCGCTTTTTGAAATTAAATTGAGTTGAATATGTCCTTTTCTAAATTCATGTTTTAATAGTTTTATAATAATTTTCTTGGTGAGGGAAACGCCGAAATCTTCCACATCCGGTTTAAAAACGAGAAAAAAATTCTTAACTTTGTATGTACTTAATATTGAATAGGCTACTTAAATACAAACAGACAAAAAATTTTTCAAAAATATCCTTTAAAGAAAATTATAGTCTCTCTAAATTAAAATTTATTAAATCCTGCTTATTATTATTTTATGTTTAGAAGAGTTTCGGATTTATCTTGAGCTGTTAGAAAGTAGAACGAAAAGTATTATGTGTAAGATAATTTATTTTGTTATGTTACCATTTTTCTGGTACAAATTATGTTATCAAAATTGTAAATAAAACTTTTAGAATACCCCAATTATTTTCAATTTGCCTTTTTATTCTGAACTGTTGTTTCTATCCATTGTGTGTCAATATTGTTTAAAACGCTGTATCTAGTTGAGAAATATTGATGACAAGATTTGTAGTTATGAGATTTGTTCCATTGTATGTCCAAACCACCAACAAACTGGCAGACGTGCATAGTTAAGTTTGGGTATGAAGCGGGACGTTATAATTTGAATTTGTTGTATAATTTGACAATATTTTCTTGGTTGTCTCCTAGTATTTTATACAGTGTATTCAGAAAGAATAAAATTTTCTTAAGTCATATATGCGACTTGATAGTAAAATAGGTTTTGTTATTATTTCTTTACATGCTCATTAAGTGACCCTTGGTGGTCCAGCAGTGCCCTATTCTCAGCCTACTCAATACAACCTCCTCCTTACTCTTTGACCTAAACAATGCCATTCCTATGTGGTAGACTTAATTTCCCAAAGCTTGTGGTTTGTAACTGAATGCAAGGTTTTTTTGCCATTGTAAATATATTTTCTCTCTAAAGGCCGCAATGAGGTCAACCTTGCTTATCTCCAAAACAAGGTTTCCATCTCCAACTGCCTCCTTGGCAGCCACAGCAACCCTAAAAGTACATGTAATATACAGTATTGATACAAGTGGATCAAGTCACTATAGGTTAAAGTATAAGTAAATACATAGTAAAGAAATGAAGGAAAAAAAATTAAGTCCAGGTGCTCTCAATCTTTAAATGTGTTAAGAACTGTCAGCTATTGTTCATGGGGCCCTGATTGTAAAGGACTAATGAGCCTATATAACGCTCTAGTTCGATCATGCTTGGACTAGAATGCAATGTATGTAATTCTGCCACCAAAAAATAATATTGGCATCACGGATCCAATTCAAAATATGGGGTTGAGGATTGTACTGGGGCTTTTCGGTCCAGTCCTGTCTGTAGCCTCCATGTCAGCTCCCCTTAAACTTTCTACATAATTTGATAGACTGAAATTCTGTGCTAGGATTATAGCTACTCCTACTCACCCTCTAAATAATCACTTTTATTATGCTAATTATCAGGGCACCAAATGTATACCTTTCTTTGCCTGATTGTATTTGCTATGTAGTTTTCAGTGACCCCACCCCAAAAAGAAACCAAATCGATTGTCTTTTACCTGACCCTAAAATTGTACTATCACTGGCAAAATATAATAAAGCCACCCCTTCTGACTACATATAGAAACAGGAGTTTAAAAAAAAATCAAAAACGCACTGCCCTCAGTGTCATATGTATATACAGATGGTTCCAGGGAAGTCAGGAAATATGTATTTTCACTAAATCTTCTAGTAAGCAACTATAGTGCTGAAATGATAGCCATAAATAAATCCCTCGACATTATCCCCTAACCATCTAGACAAGCAAATAATAGTTACTTGCTCTGACTCCATGGCTGTCTGCAAATATTTAATCATCCTTTAACCAATAACCCTATGGTACTGGATATATTGTACTCATTGAGATGTCTTAAGCAGCAAGGGAAAAGAGTATTTTTTCTTTGGATTCCTGGTCATTGGGTATCCCTGGCAATGAGAGCTGTTATGGCTGCTAAGGAGGCAGTTAGAGATGAAAACCTTATTATGGAAGTAAGCAAAGTTGACCTCATTGCGGCCTTTAAGGAGAAAATATATTTACAATGGCAAAAAAAACTTATTTTCAGTTACAAACAACAAGCTTCGTGAAATCAAGTCTATTACACAAGAATGGCCTTCATCGTTTAGGTAAAAGAGATTGAGTAGGCTGAGAATAGGGCACAGCTGGATCACCAAAGGCCACTTAATGACCTGTACCCTCTGTCCATATGCGGATCATGCAAAGAAATAATAACAACAAAACATATTTTACTATCATGACTTAAGAAAATTTTATTCTCTCCCGAATACACTCTTTGAAATGTTAGGGGACAATCAAGAAAATATTACCAAATTATTCAGCTATCTGCCAGCAGCAAATTTAATAAATGAAATACGATCTACTATACTGATAACAAGAATTAAATAAATAAATGATTAAAAAGTAAATAAAATAACTGGCGCGTCGACCCTGCTGGATTGGAGGGAAAAAAACGGCTATATTTATGAATTGAATGATTATTTAATATCGAACTGGTGAATGTAAAAAAAAAAAAAAATTACCAGAGCTTGTTTTACCAAGAATATTTAATAATCTATTATTAAAGTTCTGACAGTGGTACTGGTCAATGGTACTTGCACAATAAAGACGTACCACAAGACCTTACAGATCACATCTCCAATAGTATTTTACTAAATATTATGAAATCATTAAACATTGTAAAAACAATTTTCCATTAAAAAACGAACCTTTTTAGGAATTAGGGGATCTTTGAAGTTTGAACTTGAAGATCTAAGCTTGTCTTTATCCGCTTTTCTGTCTAATCTGACTGCCAATGATGATTACTAATTGATAAATATATCGATTATTATAGAAAGACCTGTTGATTATTTTTTAAAAATCGATTTTCTAGAAAAACTGGACATTTTTTTATTTTGGAATTCTTTTAATAAAATTAATTGGTAATTAGACAAAATGTAATAGTAAGATTTATAATTAGTTAAGCATCTATGTGTTTGTTTTTAATTGATGGAGAATGAAAGATGGTTTATAACATCAGTGTAACCTTCCCCTCCTGGTTAGTGACGTTAGTCGAGCCCGTTCACGATAGTCTGTTCTTTATAGGTCCCTGCATCGGCTAACGAATGAGATGACAGTCATGAAATAACGTCGATCGGATTGTTAATCATGGAAAACCCTTTTTCCCAGAGTGAGGAGGAGTACGAAATATTCAGTCGGGAGGACACGACAGGTCATCACGTCTCATACGGCGACATCGCCTCCAAACTCATCAAAGACAGGCTATGGCTCACCGCCCTCGAACTCCACACCGAGCTCGTCGAAGCTGGCAAAGAGGTGCCGAAGCTCAGAGAATTCTTTTCGAACCCTGTCAATTTCGAAAATCAATCCAGGCTCGACTTAATGCCATCGATGCGTAAGTTAAACAATTTCGAATTATCTTCGCAAGCTCTCCCCTTCTTCATACTTCATACTGCCAGTAAATCAATCTCATCTTTTGCATCGCGACATGTTTCATTCTGGTCTTTCCATCCTGTTTTGGATCTGTCAAACCATTTCGCCATCTTCAGACGTGGCCTTGTAGAGATAAACAACAAAAACTTACTTAAAGACAAACAAAATAAATTTTCTTCTTATTACAAGACTAACACAAAATTAAGTGATTTGCGATCATTGTTACACATTAAGCAATCATTATGATTTATTCATTTCCACCTCTTTGCATCCCTACAAATCCTTAACCATCACTAACAATTCAATATAATCCCCAAATTGTGATATCTGGTGTGTAATACACAACCATAATTGTCACTTGCCATATTCATAAAACTAAATGTCATCTAAAGCATGGTCCACACCTATAACGATCTACGCCAAATGCTTTCTTCGCAAATGTTATCGGATCGAAAGATATTTTCACACAGATACACTGAGAGGCAAAAAAGTGCCCACCATATTGTTTTCATGGTTTAATGCATATTTTTAAAGAAAAATATAAAATAATTAAATAAAAACTTAAACTGAGTATAACAGTTGTACCAAAAAAGAACAACGAAGGAAATATTCAATTCAGTACAGAGTATTGCCTCCTGTTGCATTGATCCACCATGTGCATTCAACCTGCCATCGATTTTATTAGGTTTTGATTGTAATGCTGTGTATATTTTCATACTCCTGCCATTCATAATTTCTGCAAATTCTCTGGCATCACTGGGCGACATTTTACCCACTTTGACAACTCGTCAAACAAAAAGTGTTTGTTTGGGTTGAATTCTACATGCTGGCCACTCCTAACATTGAATTGCAGCCGGTTCCAATTAGTCACTAAGAACCTTATCCCGCATAAAAATAAAACCATCGCCAATTAGTCGTATATTAGGAACAACTTCTGATAACACATCTTCAATGTATCAAGGAGCTTTTAGGGAACCAATGATGAAGATTTAGTTTGTGCGACCTTCCCAAAGCATAACACCACCACCTCCATGGCTTCTCAGGAGTGAAAATGTTGCGGGGATATATCGCTCTCCTGTTCTCCTCCAAATCAAATTTTTATGGGTATGGACCCAGTTTATGATATAAAATTTTCAGCGAGATCTTCAAGCCAGGCTACTCTAGATTCGCTGGACATGACAAGGTTTTCAGAAGACGGGGAGCGCATTGTCGATGATAAAGTGGCAATACTCGAATTTGAACTCAGGAAGGCGAAGGAGACGATCAGCGCACTTAGGGCGAATCTCACTGTCGCAACAGGTAAAAACATATATATGTATATACAAAAAATACTTTTTATTTTAATTTAATAACTTTTTTTTAGTTGAAGGAACAAACTGTCAAAAAAGTGGTAAATGTGAGCCAATCAAGCCACACGAGCAACGGGCGTTAAACTTCTTAATAAATGAATATCTCCTCATGAATGGCTACAAGCTGACATCAATTACATTTTCAGATGAAAATGAAGATCAAGTATGATTAAATTAAATTAAATGTAATTTGTTTATACAAAGTTTACTCATAAATTTATTTATGCACATAATGCTCTACCTTTTGTGGTAAACACTAGGGCAGAAATAAATAAAACCAACATACTTTACAGCAATATTTTAATTTTTATAATTTATCTGTTGTCATTCTATTTAACTATTTCACCAAAGGATTTTGAAGATTGGGACGATGTTGGTTTGAATATGGCAAAACCGGCAGAACTACTCCATCTGTACAGAGTCGGGATCAGTGAAACAGTGAAAAACACGGAAAGCCGTGAGAGTCAGACGGATCCGATTCCGAATGTAAATCAATGTCTATTGTATAAAATCAATATTGCCGACTGACTTTTGCCTTTTTGTTCCAGATCGAGGATTTACTGGAGTTGAGCAGGAAAGTTGAATTTCTTGAAGAGGAAAATCTTGAATACAAAAATGCCAAATCGGTGAAATCTGACACCTGTTCTATTGGTATTCAGTGTGAACAGTCAGAAATGAAAAATGAAGTGGTCACCTACAGATCAGACATATCAGGCAGTTTTGAAGAATTGAACCAGACCGAGCTCGAATCAGGGAAGCTCAGTTTGCTCAATGAGACCATAGACATGGACATCGAAGGCGATGTTGAGGAAGTGTCATCACTCGACTTAAGTTACAAAAAGGAAGAGAAGGAAGAGACGCCGTCCATCATATCGAGCGATGAAAAAGAAGAAAGTCCAAAACCTCTCTTGAAGCTGGCCAGCACAAACTCGTGAGCCAAAAATAATTAATTAAAAAACAAAACAAGAAAACTTTATGAATAAACCACATTTTCAGGCCATTCGAAGGGGTTGTTTGGTCGTATCTTCCTCATCTGAGAACCATAGATGGACAGATCACGCATGAAGGTCTGGTCGTTTATCTGGGCCAGTCCTTCTCCTCTATTTTACAGCAGCTGCCCAACAACAAAGAATGGCTGCACAAAGTTGTCCCGATACTCATCACCGTGATCTGCCTCCATCCCGATGAAAAGGCAAAGGATTCTTTAATCCACTGTCTCCTCACTCTGAAAAAACGTCCTAATCAGGAAGACAGAAATATTATTTTAGCCGGTAATTTATTTATTATTATTTAACAGATCCGGTCCATGTGCTTTTTACAGTGGCTGATCGGGGTAATGTGATTCGGTCTAGCAAATTTTTCCCGCCCACTGGCATCAGCCAAACACGCCTGAATGTCCATTTTTATTATTGGGGTAATTAATCATACAATTAAAGTGCTGCATTATTATTATGAGGGATTAGGTAAAATTGAAAAATCTATATATTTAGAGAATTAATTCTTCATTTGTGCTTTCATCCTTTTTCATGGATTGTGCAAGAACAACTGTAGGTGTCTTGAAGACTGAAGTCATGATAGATCAAGTGGTAGAGCACCAGGTTACTGAACCGGATGCTGTGGATTTGAGTCCTTCTCTTGACACTAATTTTTCTTCTTAGCCACACTTTACATAAAAAAATAAATCAATTAAAAATAATTACTTTGATTATGAGGATCAACTAAAACATATATATTTCAGAAAACCGAAGTAATTACTGCAGGGAAGTATTCAGATTACACAAAATTTCAGGTTATTGAGGGTGTTAAACCTCTCACTCGCCCACTTTCTCTCTTTTCTTTTTTTCACACAGTCCATCACTCACCCACTCTCTCTCTCTCTCACACACACACACTCACTCCCTCTAGAAATGGTGAATGATGGGGTGAGTGTGATGTTCAATCCTTTTTTAAAAAAGATAGTTCCTACTCCTCATCAGGTTGAAGGATTTCTACAACCATGTCTCTTGACATGAATTGCAAAAGTCGAGAATTTGACGATGAGCTAAGGGCTCAAAATCTGGATCGTTGGAAAACAACTTACTGTGAGTAGGAACTATCTTTAAAAAAAAAAGACTCACTCTCTCTTATTCATTTTTACTCTCCCTCCCATATTCCCAAATAATGTTTCATTTGTTTTCTTAAATTTTTTCAAGTTTGGATTACTGGAATGTTGGGAGTACTAAAGTTCCAGTTAGGGATGGGTAACCCCACCCTATTATGGCATTTGGTCTATCACCATCTTTACTCATACTTAATAAACGAAACTATTTATCCGTATACCATATCAAACCAATTATCATTTGCTCTCAATGTATCAACAGCTGATTTGTTTAGACATTTTTAAAAATGAAAATTTCAGGTATCTGCCGATTGTGCGAAACAGTCCAAGATGAAACGTTGAACAGCCAGATATTGTCGCACTGCGGGGAGATCATGGTTCACAAATATCCGGAAAAAAGGATCCTAATAGCGCAGGCATGCGCTCACTTGTCGCTTTTAATTTCCGTAATGAACATGTTAAAAAAAATTTCATTTAAAAAACATGTAATTGTAATTTTTTATTCGTTATTTTTAAAGAGCGAACTACGGGATTCTTTCCTGATTTCCATGCTGAAACAGCTTGTTGAAGATCGTGACGAAGGAGTGAGAGCCCAATCGGCGATGAGCCTGGCAGTTATCGCTTGCTATTTATCATCGGACAAATATTCGGATGTAAGTAAAGATTTGAAATCTTTATATAGTTGAATATATATATTTTTTTCTTTCAGATCGAGGAGTTGACGATGAAGTGTTTGTTAGATAAGAGCGAACAAGTTGTAAAGATTGTACAACATATTTTGCTTCCTGTTGTCGCGCGCCGAGCTCTTGGGCTGAATATTTTCCACACTCATTTAATTTTAAACTCTTTGAACATGTTAGATAAAATTATAGAGGTATTTATTCTATGTTTGCTCACATTTTTTTTGTGATAACCCATTTGGTTTTAGAAACTTGATAAGGATGTCGTATGCTGCAACATTATCAATGGGCTGGTACAAATTCTCCCTCATCTGATTATGTTTTCAGCATCGGCAGATACTGTGATAGAGTCAATGGGCCCTGACATACCTCCTCCTCAACACCGTATGTTGTTGCCTGCTATCACCCTCTCCTCTTTTGTTCATTCATTTTTATTCCAGGCTCAGGATTTACAAATATATGCAAAGGCCTGTCAGACCCGTTGCTGTTTTACGAGGGGCATCCTGTTGGAGCGCTGATAGGGGCTTTCGACTATTGTTTGCATCAGTTGTCGCCCTGGCCTCAGCTTTCCTGGGTCATCGATGTTTTGTAAGCTCTACTCTATTTTAAAAAGTTAACCACTTTATACAACTGAAACAACCAGAAATAAGAGATGTTAATTTTAGAATTCCAAAATTGTTGCAAATCCTAGATAAAGTAGATCCAGAAAGGGAAGAAATTATTTTAAAGTTTGTACACTATTTTGTAAATTTGACAGCTGGCTTTGGCAACATTTTTACAAAACAGCACGTAAGTTTTAATAGAATAATAGTAATTAATATTATTAAGCATAAAATGGCATGTTGAATTCTAGGTGAAGAGAGTTTTCTTGGATCAGTTGGTGAAGCTCGAGAAAGAACTTATTGATATGGAAAATGACGAGTTCCCATCTTTTTCATTCATTCCTGTATTCTGCTTGGGCATTTTGGCACCTCTTCAAGTGAGAACATTTGCAAAACTTTTTAAAACGTTGAATAAAACCCCTTTCTCTTTTTGTTTCAGTGTTGTGAAGAAGAGCTGAGTCAAGTTTTAGGAAGGCTTCTTGTGTCATTGGGTCTTTGTTCCGCGCCATTGTCATCACTGAGGTTGACGGTGAAAGAACTCGCACAAGGGCCAAAACATTCCAACGCTTTAATGTCTGCTCTTTGGCAAGGTATTACAACATATACAGTTTACCAAAATTAAAAATAAAACCGTATTGTTTCAGGAGTTGTACATCAAAGAGCAAGCGTAAAAAAGGCTACTTCCAGTCTTCTTATAGAAACGGTGGCTAGTAGTTCAGAACAGGTGATCTCTTCTAGAATCATCCCCGCACTCATAACACTTGCTAGTGATCCTGATATGTAAGTAAAATAATAAATTTAACTCAAATTTTTAATATATACATATTTAAAAAAAACTTAAAAACAGCTCTGTGAGGACATCTACACTCCCAGTTTACGCTTTGATCATCGAATACTCAAAGAACAAGGAAGTCCTCGACAAGACTTACTTACAGGTGCGCAGTGTGTTGGACGACCCTGCATCAAAAGAGAATGCATCTTTGATGACAGAAATTGTAGGCTCACTCATGAAAATAGGGATGAAATCTGAATCGAGCTTCCGTGAAGACAGTGAGTAATAAAAATTTTAAATAAAAATAATTCTTAAAAAATCATAAATTTTCCTGTAGCCATTTTCCCTGAGCTTGACAGGATAACAAAATCTGCATTTGACCTCAACACCGAAACAAGTTGCCTAGTGGCGGCATCTCTTGTTGATGCTTACTCCAACATGATTTTTTTTGAAATATCGAAAAACTGCATTAACACTATGGTATTGCCGACTTTGAGGTGAGACAGCCTTTAACTAGTTAAAAGTTTCAATATACCATAAAGCTCTTATTTGATATAGGCTCCTGGAAACGTTCTGTAAAGAAGTGCTCACGACACACGTCACAGCTGTTACAAATATGATCAAGGAGGTTGAAGGCAGAGTAAGTGTACTCGTAACTTCGCCTTCATCGAGGTGAGCCCACAATCTTTATATATAAATTTATATATATCTTTATACATAAATGTTAAAGGATCAAAGACCTGTTACCCATAACACATACTTTTCACTCTCCTTTTTCTTCCATCTTTGTTTTCTTCCATCTTTGTTTGGATTTCATTAGCAATGTTTGACTAGACCCTATAAAGGTTTTTAATTTACAGTACTCTCTCAGTAATCTAATCTAATCTGCATTTGTATTAATTAGTTGGGGGTATTTGGATTAGTGGAAAAATTTGAATTGCAAAGTTGTTAAAAAATATATATATTAAAATATATAACAAATTAAAATAAAAATTCAATATCACGCTTAAAATTCAAACCATACTCAAAACTTTAATCCTATTAGAATACATATTTGTATACACTCAATTTCTCTAAATGATTTTTTTTTATTTTTATTTGTTTAACATTGCCTTCATTGCTTCTTCCTCTTTTTCTCTCATTTTTAAGCAGTTATTATATTTAACACAAGAAAAATGTATACGAACCTAACATTTCATTTTTTAGTAGTGAATGAAGATGTTTTCACTGATCAAAAAAAAAAAATTGTATAATCTAAGCTGGTCTTGGTCTTTCGAATGACTCATACACACCCACCCACCCCTCATTCATTCACTTACTCACTACCTCATTTTCTCTTCTCATTCACTCACTCATCCACTCCCTCACTTTCACTCTCTCTCTCTCATTCATTCACTCACGCACTCTCTCTCCCTCTCTTTTTCTCCGACTCACTTAGTCTCATTTGTTTCCTTTAAAATTCTGACCATGAATTTTTGTTCAGTTCGTATTACAGGAATGTTTAGAGTATCAAAGTTCGGATTAGAGAGAGCACTATATATTTCTGATAGAAGTAATTAAGTATAAGTGTACACTTTTTTAAACTTAATTCTGATTTTAAAAATATGAAATCTTGTGGGGGGGGGAAACCATTTCCTATCATCTGCACACTCATAGGTGTCTGAACAATTTTAGCTCCTGGTTTCCATAGCAACACATATAGCTAGAATAATGCTATATCTTTTTTCGTTATTTTTTTGTTTCAAGCCGATCGAACATGAACCTGGCTGGAATCTCGTCATCAAATGTTGAAGAGATGAAACAGAGGGTGACCAAGATCTTCAACTCGCCCAAGACCTCCAATATACAGAGTATGTTCTGGAAGAAATAGACTTAGAAGGACGAAAGTGAGCACATTACAATTTTATATAATTACGTTTTAAAGTATGACAATCGTATTTATGTTTGTAAATTACGAGAAAGACCGTATATGTTTATTTAACCGGATCTATATTAGGTTAGTAAGATGGCATCCATTCTTCACATTTCCACTAGTGGCATGTCTTTTGTTTATTAAAAGTTGGTGAGAAAAAATATTGAAAATGTTCTAGTCAACAGTCTGCATTTAAATCAGAATTGAAATTTATTTTTCAAATTGAAACTTTTCCCTAACTGCTCAATCAAATATTAACAAAAATTATATTGACCCAATGAAGCGCTAAATCTGAAATATATTTATTTATTTATTAAACAAAATTTCACTATTCCTTTTAATAATACACCAGGATAATTATGCATCTACGTGCTAAATCACTTCATCAAACCATAATTTAAAATTTATCGTCAAGATAATTGTTGTAATAGTTTGTCACGACTCGAACCAAACTACAGAATCTAATCCATAGTCAAAAAAATGAAATCATTCGCAAGAAGTCCTTTTAATAAGTTGTCAAAGATGAAAAACCATTTTAAACTAAAGTGAAAATAAATACGGAGTGAGAAAAAAAAAAAATCTCAGCATAAAGCACACCTCTTTTCTGTCTCATTGTCAGTTAAATATATAAATAAAATAATTTTAAAGTATAACGTAGACCGGATGCCGAGAGCCATGAATTGAACGAACCTACACACGGAGCAACATACCAGCTTATTTGAAGAAAAATCACTGTTAAGAACGTTACCCTTTTTCTACAGCTTTTCATCCATCCGGATACAAATCCATTCCAAAAAATACATTTTCTTAGTTCTCTTCTCTTTCCTGTCTTTCTCGTGTGTTTTGTATTGAACTGCAGCCATTTGAGCATCTCGATCTGGTTACTGACTCTCTGCTCCATGTAAAAAATATTTTGAAAAAAAAAAAAAACTATTTTTAAATTGTTTGTTATATTTTGATGGTTTTAATTTATGAAGATCTTTTTTTGTAACGCAATGGTGTATTGAATGTTGTGTATTGAAAAAAAAAAAAATTAAAATTGCATTATTTCCGTCCAATTGATTATGAGTACTTAATGTTATCGATATATTGTTTTATATAATGTATTATATGTAAATATACTTATAAATAAATATTTTTCCCTCAACATGTTATCGCCTGCAGAGACTTGCGCATGCGAGATCCTTTCCTTTTTAAACGCTTACTTCTATATTCAGGCCCAGGGAAACAGTTTGTCATGACATGCGCCATCATGTTGAGACCTGTTTTGATGGATTTTGTACAATGTTTGAACTCAGGAACTATTTGATTGTTATTTATTTGACTGCCATTACAAAATTATAATTAATTAAATATCAGAACGCAACTAATATTAGTACGTTGTTACTCTTATTTGTTCAGTATTTGACACAAATACACATTGGAATAACTTTGTTTTTTTACAATTAAAACTTCTTTTCTTGTTTTAACTAGACGAACTTAAATTAATTATAATTAGTTTAAATTGGGAATGTGAGGCATTTAAGTAGTGATTTATTATTTTAAATGTCAATATGCGCCGTGTAAAAATCAAACACTTTTGGCACACGTTAAAGCAACAAATGTCTAAAAAAAATAGAAAGAAAAACATAACAGATAATAAAATATCAAAATAAATAACTAAATATTTAGAGTAGAAATTTAAAATTAGATACAATATTTGCACAAATCATAGTTGATAATTTAACACTAAAAGCGCTGTTTTCGCAAGGGGTTTTTCTTGTTTATAATAATAATAAAAATGACGATTAATATTGCATATAATAAAATACATTGTAAAAAAAATTAAAGTGTCTCGATTATTGTTTAAAATAAAAGGAAATAGGGCAGAACTAAGGCTACGTGTTTCGTCGGATGGAAGGTAAAATCAATTCATAAGTTCAAGTTGCAGCTTTAGCGTCCGTTTCGCCTACTTGTTTGTTCAGGCTGGCCGCTATGTCCCTGACGGACCTCTTGTCACCATCTGTCAACCAAAAAGAAAGGATTAAATACGATGTGCAAATAATACGACAGATGAGTCTTACCTGTCGACATAATAGAAAGGGTCTCGGCCGAATCTGGAGTGTTCGCCGCCGTCGACGTTTCACTGCCTAATTCTGAAACGTAAAGAAAAAAGTAATTATTAGTTTTTATCTTCTCGATGTTTCATCGTGATTGATGGGATTTTTGGGATGGCTATATATATCAATACAATACACAAATATCAGTGTAGCACGATAGTTATTTACTTTAAAATTAAATTCATTATCTTTCAAACAGTTACATGTAATTAGGAGTTATTGTAGCGTTGTGTCCTTACATTCTACTACGATTAAACATCACTTTATGTTAATCTTTTTCCTTCATTGACTTCATTTTATATTATTCTTATTCTTAAACCTTTTTCAATCATAACGGTTAGGCATTTAAATATGACAGTGTCAGGGTCTTAACATTATTAGAAGGATACAGCCAGCACAGTCACTATAAGACTGAGTGTAAATAACTCTGCAATAAGAAACATTCTTTGGCACTTCAGAGAACCAGGACTTAAGACTAGAAGATGTTACAAGCGAAAATGAGAGGGAAATAACTTTTTTTTGCACGGGGCGACAAGACTCGAGCAGAGACGAGGGTGCCCTCGGCAAGGTTGAGCGAGGTCTGGACGAGGCCGAAGACACACGGGTGGTATTTGGAAGCTGAAAGAGGCCTAGCCAGGATGCTGGTGAGGAGTGGGGCCCGACCGGGGTGAACAAGGAGGACTCGAGCTGAGACTGGTCGGTGTGGACGAGCCGGGTGGGAAGAAAAAGAAAAAAAAAGGACATGACAGTGTTTTATTTGATTATTTTGGGACTGTTCTCATCGATATGGAGTGGAGGGTTCGCTTGTGCGAGGGGAGAACCGCTGTGGAACAACAGGAAAAAGAACGTACACGAGGTTTGAGCTTTTAAGTTATATTATAAGACTGGTTTCTGAACATTTTTTTTTTTTAAATTTTGAAGAGACTTGTTTTATATTTTATTCACAATACAGAGGACATTGATATTTTACTTTCTTGTTTTTTAAATTTTTATTTATTTGTTATCTTGTTATTTCACCCTGAGGGTTTCACTGTTTTCCTAAAAGAAGGGGGGGAAATAAAAACAGTGTGGCGCCTGATTATTTCACTTTTGGAGACAAAGCAGCCACGGAATCTCCATTGAGCCCCCAGGTATCCGGCGACCAGGTGAATTGCCAATGGTCCGGTGAGGAACCGGTAACAAAGACCAAGACAAGGTTGACCTAGGTACAGACAAGAGATTCATCCAGCATCAGGCTCTATGAAACCACAACATTACAGGAAACAAGATAAAAAACCCTATTAAGACAAGTCCGAAATGTTTCGATTTCCTCCAGTAATAAGAAGGCTCAATTAAAATAACCTCAGGGAACGCTACCCGGAACATGGGCAGGCTCCAATTCGCATGAGTATGGTAATTCATCTTTTATAAAAAATACTTCTACCCAGAAGTAAACTCTACACCTACTAAATAAATAAACAAACAGATTTAAAAAAAAATTTTTGTTTAGTTTATCAGGAATATTTTTTTATTTTTTTAACAACGCAAATGTTAAAATATCACACACTATCTCTAGCCCGAACAATCATGATATCTGGTATTCAATTATTACATGCATTTTTCACATTTTCTTCTCTTGGAATCATGAAGATTATCAACTAATGGGATTCCAATATGTTAAAATACTAAATAAATGTAATTACCTGATTTTTCAGCCCCTATTGTAGACCATGGTCTCGGTTTAGCAACACTACTGCTCAGATCACTAGTTGTACTCTAAAATTAATGTTATTTTTATTGATTTATTAAAATTAAAAAAGAAAAAAAAAAGATATAACATACCTGATTGTCTGTTGAGTCGAAATCTTCCGAATCCGCTAGCCTGTAAATTTTAAATTGATGATTTTTCATAATTTGTTTTACAATTTAATTAAGAATGTGGCTTACGTAGGAGGATTGTGGTTGGGCCGTGTTGGTGCCCTTGTTTTAATCCTTTTCGGCCTTCCTTTCACCAAGTGCTGTAGCCTTTGACCGGCTCCTTCACAGACTGAGTCGAGTGAGTCTTGAGGCGACGTCGATATCGAAGGAAGAAGGTCAGGGATGTGCTCAGCGCTGTATGTGTCGACGACAGAGTTCGGTCTCAGTTTCCAACTATGGATGCTTTTTCTCTTATTTACCAGCTGAGGTGTCGCCTGCAGAAAACAAATTTATTTTTCCCCCTGGTGCTCATAAAACGCACATAACAAAACCTCTTTTCCAACAATGGTGGGAGATCAGCGAAATTCTTTATTTAAAAAACTTTTCTTAATAAAATTAATTAGGGGTTAGGGATGGTTAGGGATGGTGTGAGATTTATAACCCTCATCAACCGACAATTATTTAAACTTCAACTATTTTATCTGGATTATAACCATTTCAACCTCACCGCATGAAGATGGTGAGAAGCAGAAACGTGCCTAATAGACCAAAACAGTGTGGATAGGGAGGCCAAAATGATCAGAAATGATCAAGCTATGATAAGATAAAAGAGAAGAAAATACTTGGCATTTTGTTTCAGTGCTTTGTAATTAAACGTGTAGTAAAACGATGCCAAGTTTTTAAAATTTACTTACCAAATTTAAATATTCCAATTTCTTTATTGCAGCATTAAATGTTAACAAATTTTTATTTATGTCTTAACATTAAAATAATTTATACTCAAAATTTAAATCTTAATTAATAATAATAATTACCATAGGGTGTGTAGGGTCTGGGAATTGCCTAGGCATGGTACGAAGTACATCGGGCGTTGAACTTCTTTTACCACCGAGCTGAAAAGTTTAAAATATCAATATGATTGAATTCTGTCAAATATTTTCAATAACTTCTTATAAAATTGTCATTTACAAGTGATGTTTGAGTTTTATTGAGCAAATCAGTGACCTCGTCAGTGATTTTATCAGCCAAGTGTGTAGCCGCCATGAGTCCCATTTCACTACAAAGGAGAATAAAAAAATTAATTAAAATCAGTTGTCACTTAAGAAAAAGTGAAACAACTCACCTAGCCTTTAAATTAATTTCAGTTGTCGGTTGTGTGACTAGACAGGAGGATAAGAAACCGGGATCGACAGCGATTTTCGGCATCACCGAAGCTTTGAGTTCAACTTTAAGCCTTTCATTTATTACAGTCGTACCACAAAGTTCTTCAGCGCATATAATCATTTCATCAATGCGACTCTAGTAAATAATTTTTGTTAAAAATATATCTAATAAGTGCAAATTTGCAAAAGCTAAGCTTGTAAGGTATGGTGATGTGTTGTGCCATCGCTTACGTGCAAGTGCTTGTGCAGGAGGGATCCAATCTCGTGCGATGTAGATGTTAGCTTTTGTTGAACCACTGATGAGATATCACCGCCTTCGGCGATATCTTGCATCCTACTAAATACCTTTATAAAAACCGAACAATTATATTTACAAGGTTTTTTTTTTTCTTTCTATTTTTTGAAAGATCATACCTGCTTTGCATTATCTGCATCTTCGATAAGCGCAGTGGCTGTATTGATTGGCGCGACATAGTCGTTGCTGGTCTGGGACAGCGTTTTGATTGTTTCCTGGGTCTGGGCGATGGCCCTTTCCAGAGTCTGTTGCCCATAGTTGACCAAGGCGCCCTGAAAGTTTTCGCAAACTTTCAATTTCATCTATAAAATTAAGCCAAACATCCCGTTATAATATTTATTTTTCACTTTTTCGGTTGGTTCACCACACTCGTCTCTAGGCCAAGTACAGTTAAGTGATATAAATAAAAAATTGTTGAAGTCATGAGGAGCAGTCAATGAAAACAATTTATTACTCTAGAGAAAAATACAGCTCCATTACTTACAAACGATTGCAAAAACAGTTTAAATTCCTTGTTGTCTCAACCTTATCTAACCATCCTTCACCATCTCTATTCATAACCTTATCTAACCATCCCTCATATTATTAAGCATCTCAAACCAAAACTTTAGTTTATTATTTATTATTATTTTATATATATTTTTCGATTTCTCCAATTTGCATTAAAAAAAAAAAAAAAATCACAACTTCTGATGTAAAACTGATCGTATCTATTCGCCCAACACTGTAAATGGATAAATGTCAAAAAAATACGGGCAAATCTGATTTGGAAAAAAAAATTACAAACTATAAAATGCGATTGAAGGATGAAGACATGCACTAACAAAATATTCTTAGCAACAAAGCTTAACGAAAGCATCTACAATTAATAATACTTAAAAAATGAATTATCAACTCACATGCTGCCTTCGAAGAGCTTTGGTGTGGCCAGGTGTTGAATTTCTGTAAAGCGCTTTATGGATCGAACTGAGAACGGATTCGGTTTTTTCAGGGGATAATTTCATACACGATGAAACATCATGCAATAATGATCCCATGTAAATGATGCTATAATTGCTATTAAAAAAATAAATAAATAAATATTTTTACCAAACACATGAAAAATACAATTCTTTGACAATTTACCTATTCATGGCATAGGAAATGTCCGAGTATCCTTGAAGTGTGATGTTATTTCTGTCGAACGATAGGCTTTTCAGTTTGCAATTCGTCTGTAGTGCTTTGGCCAGTAATCTGGCGCCCAGGTCACCCATTCCGTTGCCGCTGTATTCATACAAACATTAAACTAAAGATTTTTTCTTTAATCTTTGATTTTTACCTTATATCTAAGGATTTAAGACACTGGTTGCTCCCAAGAGCGTTAATAATGCTGTGAACTTCATTCTTCAGACGGCAGTCGGCTAGTGACAGTGTTTCCAATACGCAGTCGTCCTCCTGAAATATTAAATTAACAATTACAAAAAAAAAAAAAAAAAAAAAAAAAAAAAAAAAAAAAAAAAAAAAAAAAAAAAAAAAAAAAAAAAAAGTGAATTGCAGGAAAACCAATACGGACTTACTTGTATTGTATGAACTATCGAGTCCATGACAGGCGCAATGTGTTTTGGCTTCATTCCGAGTAAATTTTTACATATTTTTAACTCGACGATTGATTTATTACGGCCTACTGCAGTTACAACTCCGCCTAGTTCGCTCTCGATTCCTGTGAAGTAGTAATTAAAATTACAATTTATTCACTAGATTTCGTGGTCTGCTTGACCAATTAATATCTTTCAATTAATTAAGGTTTTTAGTTGAGATAAAAAAAGTCAGTGCACGAGCGGGATTCGAACCCACGACCTTGAGATATGCTGCTGCTCTACCACTTGAGCTATCGTGACCTCGATCCACTCGGACACTAACTTCCCATCTCAACCCCACCTTTTGAATTTTTTCTCCTTTTTGCCATTTTTCAAATGTCGTGTAATCTATTTGATTCTCGGCGACAAATGAAATGGCCAAGGAGAGCTTTAGTGAAGGTATACTTCATTTTAACTTATTAAATTCACTAGATTTCGTGGTCCGCCCGCTTGACCAATTAATATCTTTCAATTAATTAAGGTTTTTAGTTGAGATAAAATTACAATTTATATTTTTAACATCCGGAAATTTTATTTTGTGTTTATCACTGATGAAATTATTGTTTTAAAGACTCCTTACCATTATCTGATATATCTAATGATGATATCGCACGCACTCCATGAATGCATGATTCTAGAATGTGAGCGCCGTGGCTTGTGAGCTGGTTGCAGCTCAGGTCGAGCTCGAGGCCAGCAGTCGACTCGTTGCAGGCCAGGCCCAACAGCAAATTTCTATTCGAAATAGTAAAAAGTCAATTTATAAATTTAAAATTGGAGCTTTTTTAAGACTTACTTGAGCGCCTCCATTGGTAATTTGCAGTAACTCATATTCAGGTACTTGAGACATAAAGTGCTGGTAAAAAACTGTTTGAAAGACGGAGGCATTTCTTTTGACTTTTTGACTATAAAACTGTTTTTCGAACAGTTCAAATGGATCAGACTTGTTGAGCAACCACGGAGCAGTGCGCCAAAAACCTACACATTTTTTTTCATACAATCTTCTGTTACATAGAAAGCATAATACCTATCTTAATTAGACTTACGGTATCTAAAATTGTTTCAGTATTAGAAATATCCAAATGCGTAATAGCATTCGGCTCAGCTAAAAGACTACAAAGTCCCTGGAGAGAGAGAAAAAAAATTAATGTCACCTTTATAGTAAAGCTTATCTTAAAAGGTTGAAACTTACAGCAATGTCTTCTTTAATAAGGCAACCGCTCAGATTCAAATAGGTGAGGGTTTGCGGTCGAAGGGCGGTCAGGCACTGCGTCAGCTGAGACACACCTTTCGTGGTAAGGCCACAGTGGCTCAAATTCAAATGTGAAATCCCTTTGCCATCTAACGGTTTAAACTTCGATTTAAGATTTAAACAACAAAGACAGTAAAACGTAAAAAATATACATACCTTGCACTAACTTTGTTAAAATTCCACAAAGGCTATTTACACCTGGAGGGGAAAATTTTTTTTTAAAAACTTTAATAACAAGTTTATTTTTAAAAAAATCATATTTTTAAGTGACCATGTTCTCACCTTTGTCTTCAATCATGGGATTGTTCGAGAGATCTATGGTATTCAATTGTATGTTGTTGTTGGAAGTCACAGACATGCAGAGACGATTAACAAAATCACTAAAAATTAAAAAAAAATCAAATTTTTATTTAGTGCAATGAATAGGCATTTTCAATATATGTACGTAATTGAATGATATTTTCATTTACACGACACAACATGGGTACTTTTGGTCTGGTACGATGCGTTTTAGCAATTTAATATTTTGAAGAGGTGATGGTCTCCACAATATATAGTTTGGGCTGGCAATGGCCATGAATGGTTAAAGGGTTATTTAACCAATTTTGGTGTTAAAAGGTCATTTGATAAAATAAACGAACTTTTTCTGAATTGTCTGTTGTTAAGAATTTGCAACGTTCCACACCAGAAATGATATTTATTTTTTATTTTTTGACAAGGGTGTTACTATTATGTTATAAGAACCAGTGGGGTGCCGGCATTTTTCAAAAGAAGCAAATTTGTAAGTATTGGGGGTCGAATGGCTCAAAGAAAACAATTTGCAACTCCTTAAATCAATTGAATAGGCTAAACCAGCAACGCTCTTTTGTATTGCAAAAGTGTTGACCCTAGCGCCGTCTAGTTCAAGATCTTAGGATTTTATTTATTTATTTTTTATATTATTATTTTTACGAGGGTATTTCAACTACGAGATTATATGAACCTCAGGGTGCCTGTGTTTTTGAAAAGAAAAAAAGCCCATTAAGTATGACGGGTTCAAATGACTCATAGAACAATTTACTGCCTTAAATCAATTGAATAGGCTAAACCAGCAATGCTCTCTTGTATTGCACAAGTGTTGGACCGTAGCGCCGTCCAGTTCAAGATCTTACGATTTTATTTATTTTTTATATTATTATTATTTTTACAAGGGTATTTCAACTGCGAGATTATATGAACCTCGGGGTGCCAGTGTTTTTTGGGGAGGGAGAGGGTGAGGGAGAGAGAGAGAAAAAAGCCCATTAAGTATGACGGGTTCAAATGACTCATAGAACAACAATTTACTGCCTTAAATCAATTGAATAGGCTAAACCAGCAACGCTCTTTTGTATTGCACAAGTGTTGGACCGTAGCGCCGTCCAGTTGAAGATTTTACCTTTTTTTTAGATAATTAATAATTTTACATCATTTTACTTTTTTTAAAAATAATTTAAGTACTAGCACATGGGCCACTGGTGCATTCAAACCCGGGAGCTTTATCTTACAGTGATGAGTGCCGTATAACACCTAAACCATTGCAGCCACCGACATCCTTTATTTATTTATTTTTTTGAGCACTGAAATTTTTGACCAAAAATTTTTCCTTTTTTTTCATTAAATTTTTTTGTACATATTTGTGTGGGAAGTACTCAATTTAAAATTAAAATTTAACAAATACCTGTAGGATGTGGAAAAAAGTGAATTTATACAATGCAAAAAAATATTTTTAAAAAGTTATATTCAAAGTATTTCTATTCACTCAGTGTTTGTTTTCTGCGTAAGTGTGCCATTCTTGCGTGTCGTGTTGTAGTGCCAATGAGATTTTGCTGTTTTATGTTTATATACGTTGGATTTTGAAGGGGTGGGGAAGGAAGTCGGTATGGAAAGACATTTCTGTATAAGGAACTGTTCTTTTCACCTAGAAGAAGCCGCTTCAAAGAAAATGTTTTTCTGAAACCTACATCACACCAGAACGCATCTCACGATTTCTGAATAATCTTCTTATTACTGGAGGAAATCGAAACATTTTGGACTTGTCTTAACAGTTTTTTATCTTAACGAAACGTAACAAAAAACACACTGAAAAATTCAAAAATTGAACAATCGGATATAAACAAAACAACCGGTCACTACACACAAAAAACCTGGTGAAAAGGCAGGTTTTTTGACCTCTGTGTTCCCTTTTCTTGGCATCTGTTTGATATTTTGACTGCTGAATTTTTTTAATGTAACAAAAACGAAAACTAAAGGCTTTGTTGAGCCTTTTTGAAAATAAAATTCAGGCACTGAGAATTTTTTTTTTTTTGAATTACGATGATTAGGAACAGATTTTTACAAAACATTCATCAAGGAGAAAAAAGTTAAGTTAAGCCATTCTTGATAAAAAGGAACAATTCAGGAAATAAAAGAAGAGTGAAGGATTACAAAAAAAAAAATTAAAAAATTGGTTGACCTCCATCCCTCTTAAGGATGGGTAGAGTGGTCCGTGATGGGCAAGGATGAACTGAACTAGATATCAAATACAGCACCCAATAGATCAAAACATTGATTGGAAAAATTAAATAAACCTCAATATTTACAAGTCCTGCTCAACTCTGAATGCTCGCTAAATTGTAATCAACTTACGTTTTCAATGAAAGATTTTGTAAATACAGCTTTTCCAAGGTGACAGACTTGGACACAACGTGCAGGATCCTGTCCATTGCCTCGTGCGTCAGCTTTGTGTTTACGGCACGGAACCCGGTAAACCATCTGTTGTGCTCTAAAGCTGATATTATTGGAACCATATCCCTATAAAAAAAACCATACCATTTGAGAATTAAATCTGCCTGAAACAGTGGAAGCATATATGAAGATTTAGGCTATTTTATAGATAAATTTTCAACACGGCATCAAAAAAAATTGTCTCATTATTAACGGTATTTATAATTATAAAATATATAATGTTATTTAACTCACTTTGGCTCAAGGTGGTCGAAATCTTTCAACGAGAGTTCCCTCGTGTTGTGGCTTACGTATATTGTATCCACATCCTTTAATGAAAGTTTATTAAAACATTACCATTAAAAATGTGCATGTGATATTACTTACCCATGCAACCTCGTCTCTGTAAGGCAGATTGTGGTAGTCGCACATGCAGGCATACTGCGTAGAGAATGCACCGCACGGAAGCTGGTTCGGCGAGGTGTTCATTATCTGCTCGAACCCATCGACAGAGACTCGATCGACGATTTGCCTGAGTAAAAGGAAATGGAAGTAAAATTAATTACATTATGCTCTAGTGCTTCCTATGACCTAACACACATCAACACTAATTACCATTACTAATAGTCAATAATGGAGTGAAACTTTTTTTATTATTAGCTCAATTAACACGCCTTTCATTAATTGAATGCATTTCCACCTTTTAATAGCCTATTTATACAATTATTTTTCAATAGAAACCGAGTAATTTGAAGAATATGTAGGTGGAATTTCACCTTTTTTCCAGAGACGAAAGTTAGCCCAAATAACTCGGAATTGCATTGAACAACTGAACTATTTTACATTTTTATATTGTTATAGTTGGGTACTCACTGAAGAGGAACTGTTGGGAAAATAACTTGTAGCGCGGCGCATAGAGCATGGAGCATCGTCTCCACCTCCCCATTCTGGCAAACGAACGTATACCATTTTTCATTAATAAGGAAGCTCAGCTGAAATATATATAAAAAAAAGATTATTAAAAAACCATTTGATTAAGGCACGCTTAAAAATTATCAACTCGACAACAGAGCTGATATTTGATAAATTCTAATCAAACTATGAATAAAAACACATTGAAATATCACTTTCAAAGTTGTTTACAAATATATTATATCTATAACTGTACACAAATACTTCATTTATTTATTTGGTATGGTACTTACAGTATTTTCTTTTCTTGTTTCAATCCCACGAATTTCTAAATAATGGAAGTGGCAATCGATCTGCAAAAGTTGACAATAAATTAAAAATAATAAAATCATTTAAATTGTTAATTTTTTATGGAAGAAAATAATAATAATAATATTTCTTATATCTTCACTTTGAAGATTCTGTGCTATTAACAATGATTTTTTTTTGCTATTTCTAATTAAAATAACAAATATACTTAATATTACCAGGTCAATAATGAAATGGTTTAATTAAATTTTAATGGATCCACTTTTCAGCGGGTGTTCATGGGTGAAATGCAAATAAATGCGGCAAAGCGCAAAAGCTATGCAAATCGAGGTAAAAGGCAAGAGAAAACGTAAAAAGAATTTAATAACCTTTATTTATTATCAGTTTTCTTGACCTGTACAGTCATTTATGAACATCCTGGTCTGCTCAATATCAGTTAGAAATGTAATTAGAGATGCTATGATAGTTTCAGTTTGGTAACATACCAGATATGAGTCGAGCATAATTATAAAAGGTAAGAATTGGTAAAGTATTAAGAGAGGGGCATAGGTGACTACAACAGTTTAGGTATTGGCATGGCGCTCATCACTGTAAAGTAAAGGTCCTGGGTTTGAATCAGCGGACTTGCGTTACACATTACAGATGGGATTTTTTTTTTTTTTTTTCAAAAACACCCACACCCTGAGGGTTTATAACTTACATGAGTTTGGATGGTTAGTGAAAATGAGAGATGTTGGGTTTGTACGAAGGATTACTGATAGCATAATTACAAATTGTAACAAACCGAAAAATTTTTTCCTGTCAGTTTCACTAATAAATTGATTATTTTATTTCATGGCTACAGAAATAACAACCAGAGGACATAGCACAACACAAATGCATGATAGACCAAGAGAGGTGAGCTGGACCAGGACGTTCAAAGCACTAACTGCATTTCTTAATTATCAGGATATTTAAAAAATAAATAAATAAATTACCCTCGTAGGGACCTTTGCTGTTAGGAAGAACAATCGACATGGTGAAAAGACCTGAAAAAAAATTGTTTTAATTAACGAGTTAAAAAAAAAAAAAAATTAAATAAATGTGAATAACATACCAGTACACGGTTTTCAGTTTTATCCCCTTTCGTCTCTAGTTTCACTACATTTTTCAAAAGGATTTTTATTCTCTTTCCAAGCAAAGCAGTAACGCTTTCTAAAAAAATAAAAAAGGAGAAACACAAGAAATTAACAGATTGGAAAGATACACTTAGCAATTAGCTCATACGATGGGGAAGGGGAGCCAAGAGTGGTGCAGGCACTCAAGCATGCAAACGTTTATCTGTCTCACAAACATGTGATTTTAAGAGTTAATTAAAACCGGAATAAAAATACAAAAAAATAAACAAGGCAATTCAATTTATTTGTTGGTTATAACTATTCAATGTATTAATGTATTAACTTATTAAGTTTAAATTACATCTAATAATTAATGTTACTCTCTATTATAAACCATGCTTGACATCATTCTTGAGCACGATATAATTAAAATGCAACCAGTTTCTATGGCACAGAGTTTGCACAATCAAATTTTTCTTCTTTTCTTACAAATACCTCATAAACATTAAGAGATCATGATCACCATTACTGATCGGCCTTGAAATTAAAAAAAAAATGTTTTCAATATTTTAAATCGGCATGGCTGACTGTACGTAAATCAAGGTCGACACTTTTGTTGTTGGAAAATTGGCGGTTAAAGAGAGCAACAGTGCACTTATCACCTATAATAGCAGAAAAAAAAAAAAAAACTTTTGTATTATATAATAGAAACTATCTTCAAAATAAATTTTAAATCACTTAAAATTTTAGTTAAACACATTGTGTTTGTACAAAGAAAACATCTATTTCATTAATACTTACAAATAAATATAGTTAATCAATGAACAAAAATTATCATCTTAATTCATATTTAAGACAACTTCAATGTTTTTAAGAGTTAATAAGTAGCCTGTAAATTGAAACAAATTATTACGAGAACTCTCCTACCAAACTGCAGAATGAACCTGTACTTTTAGTAATTTTCGATTGTCCTGATCATTCTCGCTGTTCTGGTCTGTAAGATACGTTTTGGTTTGTGAGCTAGATGGCTTATAGATGGGTAGAAATGGATCAGAACGTTTCTTAAAGCTTTGCACAGATGGTCAGGAAAAATTCCGGCCGGGGTTTACTGATTAATATTTCAAAGTATTTGTTAATTTTTGCTTTTAATTTTTTTGTAAGTTACTTTTCTTCTTTTTTCTGAATTTCTTCCTTTTTTTATTTTTATTTAGGCTCCTCATTTAAATTGGTCCCCACTATACTTATACTTCAAGAATGATTTGTAATTGAATGACTTCTCTACATCTCGCATTTTACACAGGTCAATAAAAATTCTGTGTGAACAATACTGATTGCAGTACAATTGTCGTACATTTCAAGCACAACGGGGTTTTCCTAAATCCAATACGATACAGAAAAAACACACAAACTCCTTGATTACATCTCAGTCTGCTGATTGTAGTTCATTCTTTTTTTTGTCAATCTGTGTGGCAGAACCAAGGAATTTTGGACATTTGGAGTTTCACTGACTGAAAGAAATCTCTTAATCGCTTTTCTTCCCAATCTTTCTGCCAATTCCTCCATATTCTGGTGTGAAAAAATCTGTGACTGTGTATCTCCAAGGGGAGACAGGTATGTATAACAGAGTCTCCTCTTTTGTGCCACTCTTTCCAAGACTATCATTTTATTATTTTTTATTCTTGAATGTCCTTCAACCCATAACCCTTCAACCCCCGACCTTTCTCTTGTGATAAAACTTCTAGATTGTTAACAATTTATCATACAATAAAGTTGCTGCTTTGCTTTATGCCAAAGTTTCCAATACTTTCCAGGGCACTTCGGGAGTCTGACAAAATATACAACTTTTCCGACATTGAGTTTAGTTCTCAAAAGTATTGCAACACTTTAAGAATAGTTCTGCTGATTGTACGGTAATTTTTGAGGGGAGTTAGAATTTTTTTCCAAATTTTAATTGAGGGGTCATACACTGTGCTATTTCTCGGCTGTTCAGTGAATCTTTTATTTTTGTAGTGCCGATTCACAAGTTTTCTTTCTGGTACATGAGTCGACATTTGTGTTGTCCATTTATTGTTTTCATTGCCCCTGGAATACTTAGATTTGCCATAGAAATCATGATTAATAATGATAAAGGTGGGGTGTGTTGTTCAACTTCTTTAAAAGATAATTCTCACTTTGTTGTTTTCAATGATACAGACTTCAAGCATTAAACGTTCTAATGAGAAGATGGGTTTTAATGCCGATCAATTTTGAATGTGTGAAATACGTGTATTAAATAAATAGTATTATCATACTAAATACTAAAAGAGAATTTATTTTAAATTAGTGATTAATTTTATATCACATTATTTACGAACATGTTTAAAGTTGGAGGTAAATCAAAATATATTATTTATGCATTTATCTCTGTTCAATTTTTTTAAAATTTCGCAAACCAATCTAGTTTGTTCCTTTGTTGAAATTGGGTTTTGTTTCCTTTAGATGGTCCCTAAATTTAGAAAATTTGTTCAATTTAGTCAAGTGTTCTTTAACAGTCATCTTTTTTATTTCTCTGCTGTTTTGTCCTATATATTTAATATTGCAATCGTTACAATTAAGTTGGACGTTAAATTTGCCAGTCTGTATGCTATCGAATGTTTGGGTAGTTTTTGTTGAGCTTGGTACACCAGATCAGGTACTTACCCAACTTGAGCACCTGACCTGTTTGGACTGTAAATTAAATTAAACCATAGGAAAGTTTAGGCCTTATTTTAGTCGTATATAGACAATAAGCCATTTTTTTATTTTAAACCCCAAGATTTGCCTAGAGCTCTTCTTAAGGTTATGTGATATTTTGAAATGGCATAATTAAATAAAAAAAATCTATTTCTTCATCAATGAGAGCATTTGAGACATCTGAAAAAAAAAAAAAAAAAAAAAAAAAAACCATCATTTTCTGCTCTGAGTTCCACCTTTTCTTTATATATAATGTTATATACTCAGGCATTATTTTCATGGTTTCTGAATGCTTAGTGCTTTGAAAAAGGCTCTCTAAAGGCCTAAGAGGTTTATCAAATTATACTTGAGCAAGTAAAGACTTTTTTTAATTAAAGTTTCATTTATCGAATAAATGCTAGGCACGAACATACACATACCAAACAGTGACGTTTGACTAGGACCAGGGCGATCAGAAACGACTAGTTGCTGGAAGTAAATTATAGTTTGAAGGTAGAAAGATAAGAAAAAAAAAAGAAAAATGGTTGGCTGATGAGTAATAATAAAATCATCGCATTATCAATTAACTCTGATAAAACCACATTTGTCCCAATATATAACAAGAAAACAATCCAGTGCCTGAACTGTATTGATAAATTCTCTGTAAACTGGTTTTTGTACGACTCGAGTACAAACTTGTGAATTTAAAATTTACTAAATATATTTGATTTGAATCTTTTAGCGAAATTTGTTTAAATTTCTTACCAATAGGATCATTAATTTTCAAAACGCCCTAACTGGGTAGAAATATAAAAACTAAGCTACTTCTATATTATCAAAGTTGGACCATAAATGTATTTTGCATGTATTGTACTGGAATTATGGCGCGTTATGATATCATTGACCTGAAGGCGCAGTTTATAAAGAGAAAAAAAAAGAAAGAAAATGATTAAGGGAAGTTAGAATGAAATTGCAGAGAGATGACTCACAACAGGAAAAACCACTTAATTGAAAAAAATAATAAAATAAATACACGTCAAAATTCGAGATTCCTTTGAGAAAAAAGAGTGTATTAAAAAGAAAAGAAAAAAGCAACGCCTTTTTCTCCTTAAGTAAACAAAATGGGGAAAAAAACCCGGGTTCCGCTTACCGTTTAAATCCTTTGTTAACTGAGACCTGGTTGACATCCCTTAACTGAGTCGGAACATTGCTGAGCAATGTCCGCTTCTGGCATCAACTGCTCATCGCCCCTGCTGGCTGGTCAAGCTGGTGAAACTGGCCGGGCCCGATCCAACGTCGTCTCATCAAGGGCAGGGAGAAAACAACAACAAAAAATGTGGACAAAACACACCCACTCACAGCCAGTCGAACATGTCCTTTGATAATGGAACTCGGCCGACCACTTCCACTACAACCGACCGCCCCACCATGCTCGCCCACGGCCTCCTCGCCAGGCGAAAACACTTTTTCACATCGACTCTGATGGTAATAATTATAATAAAAATAATCTGAAGTGATAATTTATTCTTTAATTAGTCTTAATTAGTTTCGCACCGATGGAATTCAAAACGACTCAATTTAAGTGGTCAGATTCGTTTATACAACGTCATCGAACAATCCTTGCCGAATTAATAAATTTTATTTATTAAATAACGTTCCATATATAAAACAAACGTTTTGTGATACATTAATTGATTGTTATAATCATAGTGTATAAATAATCAGTACAAGACATCGAAATTAATATATAAAAAATATCGATATTTTGTACCATATCAATTATATACTCAAGAGAATATCGATAATCTGTACAAAAAATTTAATTAACTTACCCAAGAAAATGTGTTCAAAAATAATTTAAATTGCTTATGGAAGAAAATATTGATAATGGTACAAAAATAATTTGAATCTCTTTCCCAAAAAAATATCGACAATCTGTACAAAAAACATTAATTTGCTTACCCAAGAAAATGTGTACAAAATTAATTTAAATTGCTTTCCCAAAAAATATTAATAATCTACACAAAAATCTTTAAAATGCTTATGCAAAAAAGTATTGACAATCTGCACAAAATAAAATTAAAATGCTTAACCAAAAAAATATCGAAAATCTGCACACAAAAAATTTAAATTCCTTACTCAAAAATATCTAACAATCTGTAAAAAAATTCGAATTGCTTACCCAAAAATGTTAACAATCTACACAAAAAAATTTAAAATGCTTACCTAAAAAAATATCAAAAATCTGCACACAAAAAGTTTAAATTCCTTACTTAAAAATATCTAACAATCTGTAAAAAAAATTTGAATTGCTTACCCAAAAAATATCGACAATTGGCATAAAAAAAATTTTATTTGGCTTACGCAAGAAAATATGGACAATCTGTATAACAAAATTTAAATTACCTACCACAAAAAATAAATAATAATGACAATCTGTACAAAAAAAAATTAATTTGCTTACCCAACAAAATATTGTCAATTGTAAAAAAGAAAAATAGAAAGAAAGAAAATAAAATAATTAAATTGCCTACCCAAGAAAATATCGACAATATGAACAAATAAAACATTGATACAATTTTCTCATGAAAATATAAATATTATTTACACACGAGAATATTTTGATTGGAGAAAACATTGATATTTTCAAAATATTGATATTCCTTACAAAGAAAACAATATATTCTTGCCAATTACAATATACCCCAAATAAACTACAATGAATTAACAAGCTTATCAGTCATAATTGACCATATTAATTAATTAATTTAATTATTCTTTTTATCCAAGGTCTTGATTGAGAGAAAAAGTTAGTGTCACAAGGGGGATTCGAACCCACGACCTTCGGCTAAATACACAGTAAGGAGTTGGTGTTCGGGTGGGTAGAAGTCATGATATCTCAAGCGGTTAAAACTGGCGTATTCAGCCAAATATGTGGGTTCGAATCCCACCGGTGACACTAATTTTTTCATTTCAACCAAGAGCAAGGGAAGGATGACCAGATAAACGTATCGTTATGGTTTTCCAGCCGCATAGATTTGTACGATGATTTTGCCAAAATTTTAGAACAGGTTGATGTATTGTTAATGCTAGACATCTATCCAGAAGGAGAGGAACCTATTCCTGGATCAGATCTCGCTCAATATTTCGGACAATTCACAATCGAGAAGACCTTAGATAAAAAGAATAATAAGGTGTAATTAATATAAATACATTTAAACATGAAAATATCAATTTTCCTAACCAAGAAATGCCAATATTCTGTACCAGAAAATGTTGGGCCTCTACCAAGAAAATGTTATTCTTCTGTATAAAAAATTAATATGTTTAATGTCAATAGTAAATTGCTATCCTTTTCTGGCATTATTATCAATGTTAATTAATATACAAATAACCAAAAACCAACTTAATGTTGATACTTGATGATTTCTTATATCCATGTGCTATGCAATAATTCATATATATTTAATAAATAAACTTTAGAATTTTAGAGAAAAATAGAAAATTATAATGGTGAAACAAGAAAAATATCGATAATTCAATCTGACAATATCAATTCGTAATTTTCAACAAGCTGACTGGACTGATAAACAAAGAAAAAAGGTCAAATAAATTAAAGAGTAACAAAAAGCAAAACATTGAATCTAATAATTTATTTGTAATCATGATAAATTATAATATATTATATACATTATTATAATAGAATACAATAATAATTTGACTGGCTTGAACGCAAGTCAGTCTCTTTGTGAATAAGTAACAACGTATTTGACATCTATTGTCTGCAACGACAGACAACGTATCAGAGGTATTTGTATCAGGGCACCAAACCAGCTGGTAAAACCCCAAACGACCAACTTACTTCTTAATGATGAAGTGTACATTTTAATTTACAAATTTGAGACAATACTTTTTTTTAAATATAATTTTGTTGTCACATTTGTAAATTAGAACACACGCACACAGCCTGATATTTATATTCTAATATATAATTTTTGTACCAATAAATATGTCATAAAGTGTACTAATATAGTTATAATAATGATCTTTCTTTTTAAATATAAATGAATTATTTACATTTTTTTATTATTATTATTAGTTTTGCTCACTTGATTCTAAAATTACAAACAAATTATAAAAGGATTAGAGATCTAATTATTGACAAGTTTGTTAAAATTGTAGATATGAGCAAATTATAAATACAGTGCTCTCTCCCTAATTTGAACTTTGGCACATTCCAGTAATATGAACTGGGGGAAAAATACAAGAAGTGAGAATTTTAACGGAAACAAATAAAATATTATTTGGGAGGGGAAAGGGGTCAGAGGTAGAGAGGAGAAAGGGAGAGAGTGAGAGAGAGAGAATGAAAGAGAGTGAGTGAGTAAGAGGGAGAGTCATACAAAAGACCACGACCAGCTTAGACTATACGAACCTTCGAGAATTTCTTTTGTCCCGTCACTCCCTCACTTTCCTTCACAACTAAAAAATCAAATGTTAAATAAGTCTACATTTTTCTTAAGTTAAAATACCTACTGCTTAAAAATGAGAGAAAAAACAACAAAGAAAATATTAATTTTTTTAAACTGATGTTTTAAAGAAAAATTGTTGGTACAGATATATTCTATATTATAATAGGTCTAACATTTTGTATGCAATAATAATAGTGTGTTGATTAATATAATATAACAACAGTGTTAAATTTTTTGTTACATATGTATGTATTTTTTTAACACCCTCTTTAATCCGAATTTTTCAATAATTCGAATAATCCCCTATCAATAGTTCAGATTACTGAGCGAGCACTGTAAATGTATATAAATGTGAAAGGAAAAAAAATATATTTTAATTTTAAATTTAAAACATCCACCAACAAAAATAGAATTTTCCACAACAATGGATGTCCTTCAAGAATAAGAATTTTTTTTTTTTGAAAATAACGTACTGTGCGTATTTTGAGTGAAATACATTGTCATCTTGTGTGTGTGTGTGTGTGTGTGTGTGTGTGTGTGTGTGTGTGTGTGTGTGTGGGTGTTGCGTTTGTTCGTGTGCGAATTAAGACGGAATGAAAAAAAAAAAAAAAAAAAAAATCAAAGGTACAATCAATCAAATCTAGCACTCACTACCCTACGCCCAAAATCTGATGTGACGTGAACAAAATGCATTAACTATTATTTGGTTCAACAAACAAATTATTTCCTACAATGTTTTGTCAATTAAAAATACTTCAGTTTGTTAATGTTAAACACTTTTTGGGTACATTTTGTCCTTATCATATACGTTATTATCATTATTATTAATTTGTTTTATATTATTAGTAATTTATATATTTATTTCTTCATGCATATGTATATAGAAACACTTACTTTGCTAGAAAAAGGTACAAAACAATCAACTTTTTTATTTGAAATTACCTAGTTTTAAATTGTTTTCTTTTTGGCACAATACAGGATTTTTTTACAACCTCCTAATAATCTGAGTTTTTTTTTTTTTTTTTAAATTTTATAGTTTAAGCTCTGATGAGAATACAAGGAGAAAAACCCTGTTTTATGTTACCTTTTTTTGTATTTTATTTTCATTGAAAGAGGCTAAATAAAATAAATAATAATAATAAAAAAAAAGAGATTCAACTGTTATTTAAAATAATGATGGTATGGTATTAAACCAAAACTGACCATATGAAAAAAGAGAATCCAAAAGGTCTCGCGTGTACAATTTAAGATTCACAGCCTTCAAATTCTCCATCCTTCCCCTCAATAAATAAACCAATAAAAAGAAAAGGACTGGCAATAAGACTAAAGCTTGTGATGTTCTAAGTTGTTTTTTGATATTTCACTTTGTTCTGTCGTTACTTTATGACTAGGACTGTTTTGTTTTGTCGGGGGACTAGCGAGGTGACTGTCATGCACCGGAGGGATTTCGGGTCAGCAGAGGGAGTAGCACTTTTGCGCCGGGTGGACTCTGCCGACTGAACAGTGCTTGTGATTTTGGTTCACGTCGTCCTTGCATTGTTTGCTCTTCGAGGAGCCGCCCAACAACGGGAGGCAGAGTTTACGCTGCAGCATTAGATATTTGCCCATAAGAACGTTTCGTTTTCCCCCTCCTGTTTTAAATTTAAAAAATAAATACATAAAGTGTCGCTGGTGATTTAATTAATTCAAAAACAACAAATTACCATTGTTTACAGGACTTGATGATTTTGATTCTGAAACAGTTTTAAGCAGTGGCTTGTTGTCTTTATTTGATTCGGGCTCTTTAGGTGAGGTCGGTTCAATCTCCTGCACCTCTGTGATTCTGTTTAAGGATTGACTCTCTCTCAACCTCGTTTCACAGCGTCTACGTCCGACTGAACCCCCAGTAGGACAATCCCCCTGGTTCCCTCGCCCTGAATGTAAAAATTATTAATTAACACAGTAAATATTACTAAAATTTCTACACTTCTATCTACCAACAAAGACTAATAAAGAAATCATTACACAATTACATATATAGTTTGGTCATTTACAATCATCCTGGTTTTCTTATCGTAACTATTTAAATCATGTTACAAAACAAGATAAGCGTTTAAGTTAGATGGTTAAATCAGGGATTTGAACGGATGGTAACTCTCTTATTGTAAAGCTCTCACGAACTTTGGGTAGGGGTTGGTTAGAGTGGTATCGCAGTGTAAATGTAAAAGGAATCATGAAACTTTAGGTTGGCTGATGATGGTATCACAGTATTAATGGAAAAAGTATCACGATGGGTTGGGGATGGTTACACACCTTGGTGGCCCCAACGGTTTAGGGGTTGACACAGCATTCATCACTAAGGTAAAGGTCCTGCGTTTGAACCTGGCATAGTTATAAATAGGCTTTTTTTTTAAATGTCCACAAACATACCACTGAAGAAAGACAACTTATTGGGCAGATAACGTTGGCAAGGATGGATAGTGACCAAACTATGGGTTCATATTTATATTTTAAAATATAACAGGTAATGACCTCTGTTGGATGGACTGTGGTTTGTCCCATTTTGATCCCCGGGCGTACTTTCACCTCCTGATGGAGGAGCACTGCCAGTACCTCCTGCTCCTGCACCTGGATCTTGAGGGCCTCTTCCTCTTCCTATAGACTTAGTACTTCCTAAAAAATAAAAAATAGAAATTATGGATTAAGTTACACTTTGTTTTCACCATAATTTCAACAGTACCTTTCCGTTTGTTCCTTCCCTCAGAATCTTCGTCACTCGCATCGGATGAACTACACGAAGCTGTGCTGCCTTTTCGTAGTTTTCCCCTTCTTTCGTATCTCGAGATGCCACTGTTGATCCCCAAGGGGGACGAACCGATCGGCCCGATTGGTGTGGGCAAGGTTTTGACCGATCTGACAGGTGTGTGGTGTGACGTGTTTGGATGGAGGGGTCCGGGCGCAGTTGAAGCCTCGGTGATCGAATTGATTTGAACCGCTTGTCTGCGTATCTCCTGTACCGCAAGATGAAGTTTGCCTTCACTCCTTGACCCTCTTCTGTTGAGACCTCCACTCTCTCTTGAACTGCTGCTCTCCTCTTCATCGTCTTCATTGACTATCGAGCATTTCCTCGTCCTCTAAATAGAAATGTTATTTGGTATAATCTTTGAAAATAGTAAGATTTAACTTTTCTTACTGGAGCTATCTCGGCCCTCGAATTTATAATGTTTGACATAGGTACAGGAGAAAATTCATTTTCAGCACAAGAATCTACCCTCACGACAGGAGCAGCTTTTCTGTCCAAAAAAAAAAAATAAATAAAAATCAATATTCACCCATAAATAGTTTTAAATAACTTACGGAATTATTTTTGTGGCTGGTTTTGGATCTAGAGCTCTCAATTTTCTTTCTGCTAATAAATAGTAAGTAGCAGTTATGTAATTGTAATCGTTTTTTTCTAATGAACTAAACAAAAAAAAACAGAAAAAAAAACAGTTTTTTTACCACGTGGAATCAAGAAATGTTCATAAATGAACAATAATTACTCTATTATCTCTTCTTTTGTACAAATGTTGCCATTCACCATTTTTTGTACGACTGTCGCATGGTCGGCCTCGCTCAGCATTCGGCTTGATATGAGTGGCATTGCCAAACTGGAAAGCGTATCCAACGACACCCAGGGATCGGATGCAATTTCATCAAGCGTTGCTCTTTTGTCAGGCTGTCTCACTAACATTCTTCCTATCAGTCTAAAATAAAGTATTTTTTATTTTAATAATAAAAATTTAATCTTTAACAAATAAAAACAATTACACACCAGACACAACACATTTATTCGGGTTAAGGATGATTACACACAGGTCATGATAGTTTAGCTTGAGAGGGGTGAGCGATGGTAGTGATTTTAATGGGTAGCAGGTTAGTAACAAACTATATAAATCAAATACTACCAGTTTTGTCCATCCACGAAGAAAACTAATTAGATAAATCTGGGTTCAAAATCTATTCGAAACCATGACAAATCCGGTAAGCAGTTATCCCCAAAAGTACCATAAACTTTAATAATTTTGTTTACATACCTTTTGCATTGTGGTGATACATGGTTGGGCACTGTATATTTACAATCCATAATCATAGTAAGCGTTTCGCTATCATTAACCTCTTGAAAAGGAGCTTGTCCACAAACTAGCATGTATAGTATCACTCCAAGGGACCATACATCTATAAAGATTAATATTTATAATATTACACTATATAATTTATTATTTAACATGTCGTACCAACAGCGGGAGCGTCGTATGAATCTCCTAGTAAAATCTCCGGAGCTGAATAAGCCAAAGATCCACAAGAAGTCTCTAGTTTCTGACCCGGGCAAAACTTGTTGCTAAAACCGAAATCTGTCAGTTTGACGACACCGTCCTTCTCAAAAAAGACAACGTTCTCCGGTTTGAGATCTCTGTGGACCACGTGGAGGCGGTGGCAGTACGAAATGGCTCGGACAATCTGCCCAAAATACTCCCTGGCAAGAGGCTCCGATAATCCAGACTCATGTCTCATTATGTAATCGTAAAGGTCACCTCCGTCAGCCAGCTCGAGTACGAGATAAAGCTTCGTCTGTGTGTCTATCACTTCGTACAGCCTCACGACATTAGGATGCTGCACTAATTTCATGCATCTCACCTGCAATAAGAACAACAGAATTAAACAAAAGTTAGTAGGTAAAAGATGTCAGATCGATAAAATTTGACGGTTAAGCACCAGATTTTAGAATCGAAAGATCTCACTCACTTCTTGAAACAAGTGTGCCCTGGATACGCCGTCCAGTTTACACTTGTCAATGACTTTCACAGCGACTTTTTCCCCAGTGAATACATGCCGAGCCAGCTTGACAACGGCAAAGTGCCCGCGGCCTAGAGTCGCTTCCAGATCGTACAGCCCGGCAATTTTCCCGTCATAGCCACTCCCCCCGACCGTGCAACGTTGGGAACGTTGCATCCTCCAAACACTGAAACAGCAGCACACTATTTCTAAAAAATAATTTAAACAAATAAAATAACAGTAATGTATTCAATATCAAACAATAATTAGTTCCTCCTTCGTTTCTCAAAATTTGCGATTAACTCGAGTCCAGCCTGCCCTCAAACCCCTGCATCCCACCCAATTCAAAGTCTAAGGTATTTACGGAAGTATATCGGGCCTTGGTGTGCTATGCTTCTCAGGTTTGGAGATAATGTTTTGATTTAGTCAAATTCTTCTGTTTCTTTATTAAAAAATTATATCACCTCCAAATTTTTATTCCAAATTACATTATCTGATCTGATTAATTTCAACTTGTCCTGGAACATCAATTCTCTTGCCCATGAATATAATATGTTTGTTTTTACTTTTAGTTACCATGAAGAATGGTATCCGAAAATCTCAAGTTTTAAAATATTCATTCGTTTCAGACATGTTGAAGGTTTTCCTAATTGGCTCAAAGACCAACTAGATTTATACTTTAGAGAGAACTTGACCATTCAAAAGCTTTTTGTAACTTCAACAATAAAACCCTTGTCCCCGTTTAATGATGGTTCCTCAAGCTTAAGTGAGAACTGATATACCTTAATTTCTCACCATTGAGAGATGACTAAAGTTCTTTCATCACTCATTCATTGGTTTTAATGTTTGAAACTAGTGATTTTTGATGTTCAATCATTCTTGCCCAACCTTAACCATATCTTAGGCTCCTTTCACACTAGTCCGATTGTTGAACATCTGTATACACCCAACTTTGCCCAAACATTCTCAACCTAGGGGATGTATTCAGCCCTCTCACACTGGAACAAACTTAACCGTGTATATGTCTGTTTTGTTTTTACCTGTCTCAATCCTAGAAAGATTTTTTTTCCTTTTTTGTTTGTTAAGACTGGCTTAATATAAGTTATATATATAAAAAGTTATATATANTAATTTATTCTTGAAAAAGTGCACACCAAAATGTTCAGACATTCTGTATGAAGTAACTATTTTCTTGTTGGTTCCATAAATGTATCCTCTCCTGGATGAGAATTTGTTTTAGCCCGTGTGTGCCGCCATGTCAGGCCAGGAGGACCAGTTCACGCCAGTCCACAGTAAGAATTGAAACTGTTTTGGATACATTCACTTCCTGCACCTATATACAATATTTCTGATAAACAAGACAGGCACAAGAGAAGAGGGTATGTTCATTTGTTTGGATCATACGCCCATTTTCAAGCAAATTCATATTTTTCGCATAGGACACTCTTAGGCCTGAGTACATTTTTGATGTGAAGTTGCTAGGATTTTCCTAGAGTAGTCATGGACACAAAAATAGTAGGGTGATTCTTTGAATTAAGAAACTTTTAAAATATCTAAAAAAAATGTGAGCAAAACAAAATCATTCCAAATGCATGACAACCAAAACAGAGCATCCACTACTGATGTACAAACAGCTCCGATAAGTCAGTTCTAATATGAAAGCTCACGCCGTAAGAGTAAGTTGTCCGTAATTGCAGTCAGATGTAGTTGGTTCCATGTGAGCCCAGTCTATCATCTCAGCATATCCACGACCCTTTCTAACCATCTTTCGTCGACGATAAACCAAACAACTGTGATATTTTTTATGTAACCATCACTAACCACATATTGTTAATAACCACCTCTATAACAAACTTCATTATATCAAGTATTACTAGCGACGTGAATCACGATTCAATTAATAGCCGGATGAAATTCAAACTGCTCAATGAAAAATATTGTTATAAAAGTAATAAAAATGACCAATAAAGGATTTTACACTGTTAAATCCCTTTGGTTTAAGTATGCGGATGATTTTATTACAGGCAGGGCGCACAACAGGACCTTTCCAAATTGTTAAACCATTTAATAATACGATTCCATACCATTTTCGGAATTTTTTTTCCAGTAAATTTCTGAAGCAAAGAGAGAAAAAAAATCGTTATCTCTTCCGAGAAAGGAGTCGGAATTCGGTCGCCCTTTTGAATATATATCCTGAACCGTTTAGATGCCCTGAAAATTGGCAAACGTGTCAGAATTCATTAGCCAAGTCTGCCAAGGGAGTCTAGGTTTTAATAATATCCAGGTATTCTCCGCTGATTTTTTTTCACTTCCAAAAATGCCCTGAAATAGATGGGATGGCCGGTCAGACTGAAGTGACGTCTGGAAACTATTCAACCGGCGCTTTTTAAAACCTTCAAAACATCCTACATTGCCGTAAAACTAATAAAAACAAAGGTGTTTATTGGAGAAAAAAATTGACAAAGCAAAAATCTGTAGTTTATGCCTGTCAGACGCGTTTAGGCATTCACGATCTTCAGTGGTGGGAATTTGATTGCACGGACCAAGTGACAGTTATGATTGATTGGTTAAGGACGGGTACAGATAGCCACATACCAGATATAACGATAATTGGGATTAATATGTATTTGTAAGGACGGTTAGAGTTGGCAATTACTAAATAATTAGTTAATGGTGTTACAGATGGGGATAAATGTTTAGTAATGCTCATCACTCGATTACCAATAATTAGGATGGTTAATCACTATACATACGAAAGGTGTGAGACAAGTCCAACTAAGATCTTCAACTAAATTGAACAGGGAAAGGAATTAGAATATACGGGCTATGGTTAAATCTTCTAGACTTTGCCGATGATTTAAGCTAATTGAAGAAAGTAACTATGAGCTAAACCTAATGACCTAAGACCTTATTAAAAATGCGCCATGGTAGGATTCATTATAAACCTCACAAAGTTCCAGCTTATGTCAACAAACTTTCAACCGGAACATATGAGCCTGAATGGTGCTACCATTGCAGGAGTTGAGGAACTAAACTATCAGGAAAGTGAAATAATCCTTAGGTGCACATTAGGGTGAATGAAAATGCTAAACAAACACTTCCTCAGATCCCAACCTAGTCTCCAGTACAAACCCAAAAGCGAAAAACTGGTCCTGCCTTAACTGACCTATGGTGCAAAACGAGGGTGATGGATCACAGAACAATAAAAAAAATACGGACTAAGCAAGAACTATGAACTACATGGTAAGATATATTTTGGGAATATCCAGGAGAGACCGCAAGAGGAACACATAGATCAGAAATCAAACCGGCTTTATAGATGGGTCAAGAAATGGACATAAAAAATAATCGAGTGGACAAAAAGGGAGAGGAAACGGATTAGAGGACGGCCGAACTGGGATGAAGAAATTATATGAAGGAGCATCCTAAAATGGAAGCAAATGAAAACAATTTTATACGAAGTGTAGTGCTTATTATTATTATCTAGATATGACGATAGTTAAATATGATTAATAATGGTAAGTATAAACTGTACCAAACAAAACCTTTTCTATAAATTGTCATTAGATTAAATTATACTGTTTGGTGGTTACATCCTCCAAATCATCGTGATACCTAGTGTATAACCAACGTCTATCCAGCTGATGCTGAGTGTTGGACTGCGAGTCGATGAGCGCTTTGGGTTATTGCGTCCATCTTCAATCGCGGGTTTGTTAAGTTAATAATAGTTTAGTTTCTCACTGAAGATGCAATGCCGAACTCGTTTGGGTAGTTCAACAACAGCATCCTAAATTTAATACTGTAAATGTCGAAATGGCTAAACGCGTCTGAAAGGGCAGAACAACGAAACTGAGTGAGCAAGTCTTTATTTTTGCCTTCATTAACCATAACTTTTTTGTCTGAGTTATAACTAGGGCTGTGAAATATATGCATTTGCATATTTTTCCTGGTTAACTAAAACATCCAGTTTTTACAAACTGTATGTTTTGAAGCATTTGGAATCAACTTAAGCTATATTTATTTTGCATATTTGTGCATATATTGCCATAAATGCATATTTTTGCCTAAGTGGGCTGTAATTGCATATTTTTTTACATATCCGGCCTATCGGTATTTGGCACGTCAAATCTTAATGTTTCTGAGCAAACTTTTCAGCTTTACCCAGTTTCATGCGTTTTCCAATGTGAAAACGTGTTTTCCATTTGTGTGTTGTGAACTTACTACCCCTAAAATGCCGAAAGTCACCGCAAAGACGAAAGATCTTGTTCAAAAGTACGAGTAATTTTAATTATTATGAGTAATTCATTCAAAAGTATTTTTATACTGTGTTTGTTGTGATAAACCTGTATCAACAACTACATGCTTTTTGGTAAAACAGCACTTAAAGACAGCAAAACACAAAGCAAACAAAGGTAGAAAGTCAAAGTTTCAACAAACTTTTGCGACACAAGCTGCCACAAGTGCTGGGTCTGGAAAGTCCGGTTTCGACACCGATTTATGTCGTGCTATACCCCTCCATAAACTAAGCCATCCTGAATTCAAGAGTTTTTTTTTTTTTTTTTTGTAGAAATACACAGGGAAAACCATTACCCACTAAAGTACCCTTAGAAAATCTCACCTGGATCTTATATACAATGAAACACACTATCAAATCAGGGACTTCATCGAAAATGGACGGATCTGAGTTGTAGGCAGATATGTAGTCGAAGTAATCGTGGGAAAACTCTCCGCAGATTCACCTTCACAACCTTTCTTACTGAACTGTGAGGTACTTGAAAAATGTAATCATGCCACCATTGCCAGATATTTTAATGAATGTATGTGTCTTCTTTGTTCAACATGAAAATGTTCTATTGGTAGTTTTAGTTAGTGGTAGTTTTCGCATATTGTCAGTTTTAAATTGCATTTTTGACCAAACATATTTACATATATATATGCATATTTGTCTGTTTTTATTGCATATAAATCACAGCCCTATTTATAACATATCTGCTCTTGAAAAAAGTACAATTTGGTTAAGGAATCTAAGGTTAGAATCAGACTTGTCAACGATGATATTGATCAAGATATTGTAATGCTAGAACAATACATCTTTCCCATTCAAAACCATGAATCCTGCCATCGTGTGAAATAAGGCTGTTTGTCGTTTTTGTTGAATCAAGCTGACGACTGCACGATAAAAAAATAAATATCGATATTGCAAACGTGCAACGTTATCAGTTTTTTTCCCATTTGGAATTTCAAACAGGAAACTGTTGGCGATATCAGTTTTTACAAATGGTCTGTGCCTTTCAACTGTATCGATCAGACCATGACCGAGGTTCCCGACTCGTTCTACTCCAGTTGCACCTCAGCCCGATTAATACAACTATTTGCCCAGTTAGACAAATAGCATTTTTTTTACCAATGCTTCTGAATGACCACGGAGACCAAACGCCATGTTTCTTTATCCAGTATAAAAAATTCTAGCTATGGTATGCAACTCAGCATGTACAAGACCTAGAATTTCATGGGGGGTACGTGTCATATCTCAACTGCAACAAAATACTTCTAAATGTTGACCAAATACTTCTACTATAAGATGATATTTAAAACTAGATATGACATGGCTGGTAAACTTTAGGCAGAAGAAAGTCTTTGTTGTTTATTTCAAAGTGTAAGTATTTTTATCGTTTTATTAATTACAACATTAATTAACATAAAACAAATTAAAGGAGATCTGAAATTCATGCGTTTTAATAAAAAATATTAACTTATGATGGTCTGAAGAAAATTCACCAAAACATCGGAAAATCATTTAGTGTTAGATTAAAATTTAGACACAGAATCCTCCATCACAAAATGGATCCAAAAAGAGAAAGGGAGAAGTGGATAAACTCTAGGGGCGCTAGACACAGTAAAATAATACTTTTTAAAAGGATAGTTCCTACTCACAGTAAGAGAACTCACTTACTGTGAGTAGGAAACTATCCTTTTAAAAAGTATTGAACACCACACTCACTCCATCATTTATCATTTCTATTACAGTAAAATAATACTAAACAACCCTCACAAAGACTAGCAAACAGTTAGAGAGGGCTAAACTCAGAGGAGTGATAGGGCTGTTATTAACCGATCACTGGCATGGGAGAAAACTACACAACATGGGCATATTCACTTAATAACGCGTATTACCTCCACCGCCTCGCGGAGGGCCTTAAGTCTCCGAAGTACTCGTCCGTTCTACCCGTCTCTTTATCATGTCTTATACGGTTAAATGTTAAAGTTAAGTTAAATGACGATTCCGTAGTGCGGTAAGAGCAATAAACGATGGCAGTCGACCAGTACTTCTCTTCCATTGAGACTTCCGATAGCCCTAAACCGCTGAAGACCATCGTGGATGGTTGGGCGCGACATTACTAACTATGATTGTCGTGGTATCTTGTAAGTTGCCATCCCTAACCATGATCGACGTGGTATCTTTAAGTTACCATCCATAAATAAGATTGTCGATTATCTTGTAAGTTGCTATCCCTAACAATCTCAAACACACCCTGACCACAGGAAAGCTATCAGCTGTATCTGCTATTGAAAAGTTGTTCGCGTTCTTATTTACCCATTTACAATTGAGTTCGTTTTTTACGGGTAAATAATAGTGGAAATGAAATAAGCGATTTTTGAAACAGACTAAGTCAAACTTCAAAATCAACCACTTTTCGCGGTCATTTCAAGTTTGAAATATATTTTAAAAAATTTAAATCACAAAAAAACTACGATTGATGGGGTTTATCACGAGGGAAATTTTCTGATTTTCTACTTTGTCTTAAGCCTTCCTCTAGCCCAAAATCGCCAAATTAAGACTTTAGCGTCGTGAAAATGAAGCCGTGTGTGAATTTTCCAGTCTGGTTGCGTTCCACGACCCGTTCCGCCCGGGTGGTCAGAGCCGAACATAGGTTCACAACTTTCCAAGTCCCTCACAGACCAGATAAGTTCAAAATATAAAGTCCAAAAATTAAACTAATTAAAGAGAAAACGTAGAAAACGCTGACCTTCAGACGCGACACACCTTACAAATCTGCCCCACTTCGGGAGACAATTTTTTTCCAATTTTGAATGTAATGTGGCTTATTTCAGATTAATAAAATAATTGGTTACCAATTAAAAATAAATAAATAAGTAAAAATAACTAAGGATTTTAGATGCTAACCATAGCTATCACCACCCACCAAAGGAAATGGTGCTGGAATCTATATACCTAAATTAGGTATTAGCATCTCCACCCCTCTTGGCAATAACACCATCGTTTTTCAGGCGGAAATCTGGGCCATTAATGTGTGTTGTAGAACACTTATGGAAAATAAAATCAAGGGAAAAGATATTAGAATTTTTTCTGACAGTCAGGCTAGACTTAGGTCATTACAAAAAGATATATCAACATCTAGACTCCACCAGGAGGAAACTGTTTCAACTATAGATCTTATCAATAGAATCTCTTCCAGGTTTGAGAACAAAGTAACCCTTATTTGGATACCAGCACATAAAGGACACTATGGCAATGAAGAGGCGGATAGCCTGGCCAAAGAAGGCTCTAATACTGCGTTTGTCGGGCCACAACCGGTATTACCTCACTCCATGAGCACAGCGAAAGACAGTATTAAAAACGGATATGAAACAATTCCTTAAGGAATGGAATCTATCCCCCGGACACAGGCAATCGAAAGAGTTTGTTAAGGAAATCAAACCAGCTGAATCGAAATGGCTATTCTCTAACTCAAGGGAATTAGGAGGCTGATGGGTATCATGACGGGCCACTGCCCACTGAGAAGACACCTCTCCGCAATGGGTATTCTACCAATCCCTTTTGCCGTTTTTGCGAAATAAAAGAAAAAAGGCAAGGCACTACCTCGCAGATACGTGATAGGTACGCCAGGTCTAGATTTGAAACTTTTGAAGGAGAGGACATCACCAAATCACTCCCCGCGATTAAATGGTCCAAAATCTTGGGGTTTGTGAACAGGTCCAAGAGGTTTATGCAGGGCTCGTGAGCCGACCAAGTCCCGGCCCTTTTAGGGATGGGGTACGAGTCTACCCAGGCATTTAACCCCTCGGGTACAAGGTCACCCACCCATAACATAATATATATATCACCACCCACCCTTAGCAATCTCTAACCATTTCAAACAAAAACTACCACGATAACTGGTGTATAACCATCTATACTATATCTACCATTAACCATCACTAACTAATTTTTATCTTGAAACTACGCCGATACTATCTTGATACACTTAACCATAACCATTATCCGTCCTTAACTGTGTTTTTTGCGTAATCATCGCTCTTCATCTCTCGTCACTAACCATCCCTTCAAATCGTAGATCATTCATAACAATCCTTAAATACGACTACCTTAAATAACTAATACGATATCTGGTGTGGTAGGGATGGTTACCCTACAAACATCCATTTCCAGCCATCTCTATTCATTAATAACCGTTACTGGAAAATTTGTATATTGGTTCCATTCATATTCTTTAACCATTTCTAACTTTCCCTACAAATACTTGCAAATTTTGAAACCATTTATACTTTTTAAGGAGAAATAACAACCTCTCCCATCCATAACTATCACTGTCTCTACCCACTTTTAACTATCACTATACTGAACATTAGCCATCACCAACCATCTCTTATTAACCATTAGCCATCACCAACCATCTCTACTAACCATTAGCCATCACTAATTTTTGTCAAATAATTAATCTTTATATAAGGTATACGTTGAAATGAAAAAGGTAGTGTCACGAGCGGGATTCGAACCCACGACCTTCGGCTAAATACGCCGCTACCATTTGAGCTATCGTGACTATAGCTATGTCGTCACGATAGCTCAAGTGGTAGAGCAGCAGCGTATTTAGCCGAAGGTCGTGGGTTCGAATCCCGCTCGTGACACTACCTTTTTCATTTCAACCAATAACTTACATAAAGATTAATTAATTTAAAGAGGTTATTCGGTCAATCGGACCACGAAATATAGACTAATTTTTATTTTGAAACCATTTATGCTTTTTAACTAGAAATAATCTCTACTCATTTTTGACTATCGCTATTCATTCATTGCCATCTCTGACCATCGCTACAAACCTTTAACCACCAACCATCTAACCACCGTTAACCATTATTAACTAATTTTCATCTTGATACCATCCACACTGTTTAACGAAAATCCATTTCAAACAAAAGCTCACCATGCCAACAAATCCTTAATTCTCTATCCATCCTTATCTCAAACTTTCCTGATATCTCGCGTAATATCATCCCTATCTACCTCATAAACCATCTCCTAAAGTTGTCGAAATGCTGGAACAAATCTGACAGACCAAGAAGACGGAAATGACCAAACTACAAATGCTTGTTTTTTTTGTTTCATGCTAATTGGCACTCGACCTACAAGGTCTTATAAAAGATTTTACAAAAAAAAAAATCATGAGTATTAAAAAATTAATTAAATCATTCACCAAATAGAATTTACAATCTTAGACGTTAAGAGTGTTAAAATATTGAAAAATAAACGAGGAAATAGTTGTTTGTATTAGTTTGACCCTCGAGTTAAATTGTTAACATACAGTTGATACTTTTAGACAGATAAATAAACAAAAATCATGATTCATGAACTCCGATCAAACTAAGAAACATGAAATCCAGTCATATTTTTAAAAAAATTCCTTTATAAATAGACGAAGAGGAACTTTAATTTAAAAGGCGTTTTTTCCATCAATTTGACCTCGAGATTCAATTACAATCTCCGGCCAGGCCCCGGCCCAGGCGATTCACGTACTTCGAACGGGGTCAAAAGGACAGACTTACAACCGGACTTCCGGCCGAAGGCGAAGTCCCGGGCTTGAAACGAAGTCCCATTTCGGTGCAAGAGGATCTCACCGCATTCGCCGGCTGTTTACATTTTTTTCCTACTCCTGACCCTTCGCGACCTTCAAATACCCGTCGGCCAATCTCTGAAGATTTTATTCGAAAAACAACAGACCAAAAAGGAAGAAAAAAATCCGCCGCGATCAACCGGCGATGCAAGTATTAAATGTATATTAGATCAAAATAAATATATTTAAAAAAACAGTAAAAAAACTCACTGAGCGACAGGAACTCCTCACAGAGATTCACTCCGTGCAAGCCGACTTAGAGACTCAGAGGCGGACATAGAGACATTTGATCGTTTTTCAAACCGGCAGTCTATCAACACTCCGTCCACTTATTGAAAAATAAGTCCGAGTTTTCCGATTTCTTTTTAATCTGACTTTTCCGAGGTACGAAGTGGCCAATTGGTGAAAACCGACTGCGCGTGGCCACATCTGCGCAATGGTCAATGGAACCCCCACCAGGTCGGAGTACGGCCGAGCCCCCTTTTTTTTTAAAAAAAGGCGGTCGCCCGTTAAAAAATTTAATATACAAAGTAAAACCACAAAGGCAAAAATTTAAAAAAAAAAACTTTTTTTTTGACGGGCATCGTGGACCCAACGTAACGAGAGTATAACACAATGTACCGGATGTTGTCTTTTGGTTAGCAAAATTCAACCCAACTGAACTCACATCGTTTGGTCATCTTCGATTTTGAAGTTCGGCCCCACAAGACTTCATAATTCAGTTGCCAATTGGTCCAAATAGAATGGACTTTTAAACACAATAGCTAGTCATCAGCATAGCAGCAAGCTGTCCTTGGTTCGGTCATCAACAGCTTCTGCAAGCCCTGATGGTATCCTGTAAACTTCTTAATAAACTGTGTCCATTTATAAACAATTCTTTTTAACAGATCACCTTTAAGGTTCCTGCTGATTTGAGATTATTCTATGTCATCCCTATTCACCAATCAGGTGAAAAATCTTGCATAAATTGTTTGAATTTCTCATTTATGGTCATTTGCATCCTCAGTTAACTCCTCTTATAATAGATGAGCAACATAACTTGTTCCTCATATTTCCTCTACAACCAATCTCCTTACTCTACAATCTGAGCCTGTAGACTAAATACACTATATTCACAGACCTGTATAAAAGCTTATAACCTAGTAAGCCATGAAGTAAGTATTGCTTGCTTTAGACTCTTTTGAATTTGATCTAGCAATTGATATAGCATTAGTCTGGTTTAGATTGTTTTTTTTCCAATAGGAAGGAAGTTGTGAAAATCATTCCATACTACTTTAACAAAAATCCAATTACCTCTGGAGTACCCCAAGGAGGCCCATTGCTCTCCTCTCCTCTTCAACTTATACATGAATGCTATCAAATCCCTCATTAAACATTGTCATTTACAGACAGCCTCAAGCTTTACCACCCAGACTAGCTCAGCTTTCAATCTGACTTAAATTTCTTACAAGGCTGATGGCCAATTGTATGCAACTAAATATTAATAAATGCAATGTCATCATTTTTAGTATAAAAAATCCTTTGTTTCATAATTTTTCCAACTATCCCCTAAAAGTGATCTTTTAAAATTATAGATCTTTATGTCATATTCAACAGTAAATTAAATTTCGTCTTGTATTTCTCACATTACAAAACTCTCATTCCGAGCTCTTGGCAACATTTGTTGACTTTCTAAGAAATGGATGATCTTAATTCATTTAAAATATTATACTCTTCTTACATAAGACCCCCTTCTGGAATACTCTTCTCTAGTCTGGTACCCCTACCTAATAAAACATCAACCTGTTAAACTTGGTATCCCTCGATAGATCCCCTCCCATTAAAAAACAGAAGAATCTACACTGTACTTTTTTTTTAAACCAGGAGCTACCAACAGTGAAGTCATTTCAGCCCCCCTCGCACTGCTATTGCCGATGTAAAATTTGGAGATTTGAGAACCAGCAATCAATACGGTTCATGTCAAAGTCGTAGACAAAACTGTAGGCTGATGCAACAACAATGTCAACAACGGAAAATCCCACGTAGGAGGAAAATATCAACCTTATTAAAATTGAGTTGGGGTAATTTACCCCATATTAGAAAGGAAAGGCTGAAAAAATTTAAGTGATTACATGGTTGAAAGGGCACCTGAACCCACAACTAAAACAAAAATATATTACTGTGAATGTAAATGATGTAAAACTAAAACTTAGGCCACTTGTTAGACAAAAGGCGAAAAAACGACAATATCCCTGAACTGTGCAACTTGGGATAAAAAGCTATATGCTGCAAAGGCGCCATGAAAATAAATTGTTTTATAAAATTTTACTAGGACGAACATGTTCTATCTTACATTGTAGACAATGTAAGAGGTATAGATATATAAATCCTTTTCTAAATTGGAATTGAAGAAAAACTACAAACTACTATTAACATGAAGTTCACCCTGAAATAAACCAATGTTTTGACTTGGGGTGCTGCAGAAAAATTCTGATATATTAAGGGTGCTGAAAACCAACAGAATTTGAGAACTACTAGTATAGTAAAGATTGGGAAGACTATGGGCAAGAGGTGTACAACAGTAGGGCATTCCCAATGAGACACAGATGTTGTGGCCCAACAGTTTTTTCAGAAAAACGTCTTAAGTCAAATCCGGTTGATGTTTTTAGTAATAACCCGCCTCGCAAAACTGTGGATTGTCTTCTTTCAGAACCAAAAAATGCGCAATGAAATCCAGCCTTCTTTGATATTCTGTCAGGTGAAGGTGCTGAACACCTTTTATTTTATAAGAAAATAATTTATTTTCCTTTAAAATATAGGCTATTGTAGTTTTAGACATTCGTGCCAAGTGAAAGTGTTAATACCTAGTAAAATGTAGGAGTATGAAATGAATAAATAACTGTTCATAGGGCCCGCAAAGGTTAAAAGGTTACGTAGGGATGATTAAAAATCAGATATTACATTAGTTATGGTTTGGTTAAGACAGAGTTATGCTGATCTTTATGAATATAACTTCTTTTTCAGGACAGATGGTGAATTTGTTGGGCTCAACATTTCTATTAAAATGAAATTTATTTTAACAGAAAATCATGACAGTAATTTACAGGTTTCTTCATAAATAACAAAATGGGATGCTGTGGTCAATACTGCCTTGATGACACTCGGAGTCCATCCTTTGAATAGAGCAAAAAACCCTTCATTTTTCAAGACTAGTTTAATACAATTGAAGAGACCTTTGCAGTAAAAGTTCTGAAAAAAATTAATTAATTAAATATTCATTATTTTTCTTTTTACAACTTACAAGGCCAAAATTCTGTCTGGCATGCTGGAACCCTTGGATTTGCAATCGTTTCCGAGCCATGTCCAAAGGGTAAACAAGCGTTTTGGCAATAAAGCCAGACATCGCACCGGCAACCATGTTTCCACTAAGATTCAATTTGCTCGCCCCAGTTGTTAAAAGCTCTACAAAAAAATTTCACATTCCTGATTAAATATTTTGAAGTTTAAAATAAATACATACTGGTTTCAATGAATAGTTTTGATACGAAATTGTGCGTTAAGAATACCAATCCTGAAAGCGGTCCAGCTTGGATTAAACTCGTGCTAAGCCCTTTGAAAGGTGCTCTTAACCCTTCGTGCTTTACCATAGTTATTAAACTGTGGTAAATCGTTTTGTACTGCTGCAAAAATAAAATGGTGAAAAATGAAAATTTAATGTTAACCAAGACGTCAAACCTTAGTGGTGTTGTATCTTCGGCCTTCTGCAACGAATCTTGTCCGGACCGTGTCAAACGGGAAAGAGACGACTGTAGCAGTTATTCCTGATATAGTGCCACACAACAAATGCGACAACCCTGTCCGTTCCTTCCCAAAGTATTTCGTTAAAATTTCAAATGCTGTAAACTAAATTCAGTGTTACTGTTTTGTGTGGATATTGCCAGATTTTATTAAGACATTATGGTAGGATGAAATGATAATGCTATCATTGCTGTTTTGGCCTGTCAGACATGTTTCTGAATTTCGCCATCCTCAGTGGTGTGTCTAGATGTAGTCATCAACCAAATATTTCCAAACAGCAATTATACCATACCTGTTGTGATATTTGGTGCATAACCATCCTAAAACAATCTCTACCCTTCTTGAACCATCCCTAATGCAAACTACTGTGATATCTGGTGTTCGATCATGTATAAATTATTATTGATTATTAACCATCTTCTCGACAAGTCTACCATTGAAGAAACAAAATGACAGACCAAAATTTTGAAGATAGGCACCATGTTTATCACCCTTTAGACCCCATGAATAAATCTCACAAGGAAAATTGTCAATTTCAAAAGCATTTTGATAAGGATTTGTACTTTTTTTATAAACTCTATTTTTTGTGGGTAGTAGTTTTGGTTCTTTTTTTTAGATTAAAATATCCATGTAGTAATGTTTTTTAAGAATAAGTACATAATACAAAGCTAGTATTACTTAAAAACTAATTTAAGTTTTTAAAATATAAATTAAACAAAATATTGAAATTAGAATGTACTATAAGTATGTATTATGTAATGTAATATAATTTGTTTTAATATAAAAAAATACATACGTTTACAATGCCATAGCTGATTGAGAGTATTTGTCCTGGGTTGTGTCCGGCCCAGAGCCCTTTTAAACCTTCTTCATAGTGTATTGTCTTCACCGCTTGAAGAAGCGAATTGTATTTTGAAATGGTCGAAGTCAATTTTATCGGCTCGACTTGGAGCTAAAAGTAATTAGAAAAATTACTGTAGACATTTGCACCGGCTCTCCGAAGCGTTTTACCTGAAACTTGATTTTTATGACATCTATTGGTTGAAATAAGGCTCTCGTCACCGCACCTGCTGCCGCGCCGGCTATCATAATTTTATAAGTGGATAAAGATTCATTCTTATTGAAACCCACCATCACGCTCTACGGGTCGCTACTTTGCTAAGGTCTATCCTCTCTGATACAAATAAACACACACCAGATGCTCTCTTGCCATTAAATACACGGCTGTTGCACACTGCTAATACTCCCATACTATAAAATACACATACACATATAAGTAACATAATTAAAAATTAACAAACAAGTACATTCCCCACTAAGGTAGGGCATAAAATATCTGCAATGTTAATTTACCTTATCTTAAACCAACCCTGGGAAAAGATTTATGTCTTTATTGTACTGGCAATCTAACTATTTTATACAATACAGCATTTTATACATTAAGAAATAAATAATTAAAATAATTATATAATAATAATCAAATTAAGTTCAATTAAAAAGAGTAAGCCCAACATTACAAACACCTCTTAAAAATGTAAAAAAAAACCAATGAAACAAGGCCAACAAAAGTTGTCAATCAGTTTGCAAATTATCTGGCTAATATATACATGATGAAGCTGAACCTGACAAGCAACAACTAGAAGAAATTACATATCATAATTCTGACACCAAAATCCCTACAGTGGTGATCAAAGAAGTTAAAAAAAATAATAATAATTAAAAAAAAACACTAACAAGTCTGAAACCAACTCGAAAATAGCCATGGATACATCCGAATTATTGATGATGAGGATCATCTTTAGGGTTAAATGTATGGCGCAAATATGAAAGATTACTGAGGTCAACATGAGATGAGATCATAGCAATTTCTTTATTACCTACGTTTTCCAAATTCCAGTTATTTCAAAAACTACTCGACAACAGCACTCTACAATTGACCAGATCCACTAAATCATACATGTAAATGAACAAGCACTTGAAGAAAAATAAAAAAAAAAGTTGCTGGGCTGTTTTCTTATGTGTGGCCCAAACATTCGATAAAGTCTGGTATGAAGGTCTCACTTAAAATAAGAAACTCCATTCCAGCAGACTCAAAACTGATCGAATTGTATCATACCTTGCTGTCAGGTATTTATGAATTAAGCAAGAAGAGGCCTATTTGTAACTTAAACCAAACCGCTGGAGAGCCACAAGGCAGTGTGTTAGGCTTTGTCCTATATCTGCTCTTCATTAGCTATCTACCAGAAAACAAGGATAATATCACGGCAATATTCGCTGATCATATGGCAATTATGGTGGTTGGAAAAGAAACGCTCAATCAACTCGTAAAACTGAATCAGAAAAATAGGTGGACTTCACCAATTAGAAAATTCAATACATACCAGCCTACTTAATGGTTTTTTCCTATACCAATGAGGCAAAGTACCTTAGTATGACATTAGATTCTGCTTGCGATAGAAACCACACTAAAAAAAGTGTGAATAGCACTCCTAGGCCCATTGAAAGTTTGTCAACAAGTGTGTAAGTTTATGTGGGCGGCATCAAACTCTGGGGCTGTGACAGCAAGACCAACAGCCAAATCATAGGAAAATTTCAGAATGGAGCAATGAGAAACACAGTCAAGGCCCACTGGTAATAAAAAATGAAGACATCAACATCTTAAAATGGAAACAGTACAGAAAGCTATCTTTAAAGCACTTTAGTCCAATATCAAAGGCTTTAGAAGACACGCTAAGCAGTCCACCTGTTAGATGTTGAACATTCAGTCAATGGTGTGGTGATTAGTGACTGCTAATCGATAATTATTCAGAAATCGTGAGATGCGGTCTGGTGTGATGTAGGTTTCAGAAAAACATTTTCTTTATCATGCCAACGTTTCGATTTTTATTGAGATCATCTTCAGGGCTCAATAAAAATCGAAACGTTGGCACGATAAAGAAAATGTTTTTCTGAAACCTACATCACACCAGAGCGCATCTCACGATTTCTGAATAATTCAGTCAAAGTCAAATCATAATGAAAAATGCTGAAGTGTGATTTAATAATGGAAAAAGATAAATTGTGCATATAAGTTTTCTTGTCTGTGAGAGTTATTAGAAAAATATACTTATTAGCTAGGTTATATAATATTAATGAAATTTCTCCCCATCTGAGGATTGGAGGAAAAAAAATTAAAAATATTGAGTAATTTTACATTTAAGTTCATATACTTATGTTAACTTCAACACTGAATCTAATGTATTTATTAAAAATAGCAAAAATATTTATTAAAAATAGCAAAAATATTTAATTTAATTTTGAATTTAAAAATGGGTTTGTTTCATTTTTTTAATTTATCAACTGATGTATTATTAATTGACAAATTTGTTTAAAATTATTTGTAAAATATTGTAACTCTTACTTATAAATTGTATTAAGGAAAAAATGTATGATAGGTTTTATATCGAAGAGAACAAGGGAAAAAAACATGCAAGAAAATAAAAACAAAAACAAGTTTTTTGGCAAGTATCCATTGTGGTAGGAGTGGTCAGGGGACTTCAAAGGAGTGAGAGGGGAATAATGAAATTATACAAGGCCCAAGAGGAAGAACAAGAAGAAGAGAGAGGGTAAACAAAATAAGAGTTCAATCACCTCCAAGGAGACACCGGTTTTTGAATTAAAAGGCTATTCCTATCCACCATTGAAAAGTTTTTATGAGCAGAACACCGGCACTCCTCAAAGATACCCAGTCACCATTGAAGAGTCGAACTATGAAGTCATTAATTTTAATCACTTTCCTTGTTTCTCAAATTGGTCTGTCGATGCTTAGGAATATTCAGTACCAAATACCTAAAATACCCAATGTCGTATACCCTCCGATTCCTGATGAAAGTGAGTATTATTGCATTCCTCAGCATTGCAAATATAAATACAACTGATTAGAAGGGAAAAATCCATTTAATTTTTCCTCTCCTTTCCTTAAATAACAGTACTGGGAGAGAAAGTCAAATGCCTTTGTAAATTGACATTCTATTTACATAAATAATTTACTTAAAAATTAAAAAAAATATATAAAATTAAAGAAATACCTTACTTGTAAAAAAAATTTTAATAAATAATTTTATATTAAAAAATAATTTTTAAAAAAGTAGCTTGATGTTTTCAAACATTTTGGTCTGCTTACAAACATCTGACAAATTTTGGCCTTTTCACCATCTTCAATGGTATGCTGGTGCCCTTTGAATCCTTAACCATCTCTACCTATTGTTAACCATTTCTAATACAACTGTCATGATATATGGTGTGCAACCATGCTTATCCATCTTTAACCATCATAAACTATCCATAACGATCTTTATAAATCCTTAATTAGCTTCACCACTTATGACATAATTATCATGATATCTAGTATGCAACCATCCTTAACCGCAATCAACTATTTACTCATAACCATCTTTAAAAAACCTTAACCAACTTTAAACCTTAAACCTAACCCAACTATCATATCTGATTGGTACCCAGCCTACTCATCTTATTTGTTATATTTTAATTACATATATTTTTTTAATATGTATTCAATTATTAACATAAAATTGGATTAACATACAACTACCGGCATTAAATATGAATTTATTTAGTGCTGATACAATTTAATACACAAAGTTAACTAAATTTTATTTTTTACTCTCGAATAACTAATGTATCTATGTAGTAGCTAAAACAATGCAGAATAAGTACTTATTAATTAAAACCCTGTTAGTTGTAGATATAAAAAAGCAATAAATTAAAACATCTGCAACTATCTGAGATTTATGCTGTTTTTAATACATTTTGTTTAATTAAATTTTTAGTCAGCGATGTGGATGAGGCTACGAGGCTGCAACTGCTCGATCAGGACCCTGAAGTGACTCCTGGGCTCTTTCAAGGTGACATGGCCATGAACAGTGAAGTCAGTGACTAGATTTCAAATTTCAAAAGAGGCTTTACAAAAATAATTAAAAGATCGATTGCAGGTTTACAATTATTGGAGGGTCGGTCTTAAATGGGACATATTTCCAGAGAAGATGTGGGAAAACGGCACAGTGCCATATGTGATCAGTCCTCTTTATGGTAGGTACTGGGCTTGTTGATGTCGACTGGCAATTTGGTTTTTTAATTTTTAATTTATTTTTTTAACAGAGCCAGCCGAATACATCACTATATCGAGGGCGATTTCGACAATAAATTTCATGACGTGTGTCAAATTTGTCCCTTGGGACGGTAAAGCAGAGGACTTCATTTTGATCTGGCCCATAAAATATCCCAAGGGGTTAATTTAAACATTGATAAGTTATAAATTATCCAATTTAAAGATTGAATTGGCAATTTACAGATGCTGGTCATACGTCGGTAAATTTGGCGGTGCTCAGATTGTGTCTTTAGACCCGCCGGATTCCAAGGGCCCCAACTGTCTCGGGAATGAAGGCAGGGCGATGCACGAACTGCTCCATGCCCTCGGGATATTCCATGAGCAGTCCAGAGACGACAGGGATAAATTTGTCAAGATACACAAGGAAAACATCATACCACAATTTTTGTCTAACTTCGACAAGCAAAGCTTGGAAAACACAACGTATAAATTTGAATACGACTACGACAGCATTATGCACTACGGGAAGAATTTTTTCAGGTAAAACAGCCCGGTATGGACAAAAATTACGAAATTATTGTATGTTTAATGTTTCCAGCATTGGAAAAGGGAAGCCGACGATAACACCAAAGCATCCCGTCGAAAAGCTTGGCCAGAGGAAAATGTTGAGCAAGACAGACTGCCTGAAAGTGAACGAACTCTATGGATGCCTGGATAAATCAAAGTATCATCAAAGAAAATACTACACAATCTGTAGAGTTCTTGGGCTATAACTGAACATTTGGCATATCACCTTTGACAAATAGCTTATTATTTATGATGTTTGAAAAAGGAAGTCTTTCTAAACTTCTAGGCGACAATAAAGAAGCTTTATTTATTATAGCATTAATAATTGTACTGTATCGCTGCTTGATAAATTTACTGCACTTTCACACTTTCTGACCAATTTGTAAAACAAAATAATTTGTTTACACATTCATTAACCAATATTTGCTTGCAAAGGTTGCTTGCAAAGCAATAAGTGAAATCAAATATAAACTCATTGAAGCTAACTAGATGACAACTCTTGCACCCATTGTTAAAAAAATAAAAATAACAGGCACTGCAGGAGTCATATCAACCCCCAATGCACTGTGAGGGCTGATGGGGAACTTGATATTCTGCAATATATACATTACATGTATACATAATGTACAATATTTACAAAGAAAGGGAAAAATCTGCGTTTCCCTTAAAAATCAGAACGAGATCCAACAATAAACTCATGTCTTTATGTTAGGGACCAAGCTTACACACTTATTATGTCAATTTGTAGACAAATTTAAGATTGATTTGCCCTGATCATGACTTTAAAATAAATCAAAATATTGGCAGATAATTGGATTTGTTTTTCCAACCAGATCATACCGAGATCCAGATTATTCCTGGATTCTCGACAGTCGACTCTATGACTCTATTTGACTACTAGCTGAGTCCCCTACTGAATGTGGCTACTTGGCTGAGTCCTCCACTTCTGATTGTGCCTACGGTTGACTCCTTTTGTCTGTATATTCTCAAGCTGACCAAATCTGTCCTCCCATCTGCTGCTAGTGAGACACTCAACAGTCGACTTGTCTTGCATCGAACTGCTCTTCAACAGTCAACTCTATTCGACTCATCTCAGCCCTGGACGTTCAATGTTGAGTCTCTACCAGGTGTTGTAACTTTTTAAAACTGTTGAGCAGATGGTCAACTCCTTTCTTGGACCTGATCGGCTACTAACTCATAATTCTTATTTCCAATATGCACCCCCTAGTCCCTTCGAGATAGACCTCAAGTGAAGCCTGTACAAACCCCACCCGGTTGACGCAACCCCAAATTTGTGACCCTCAGCTTGACAAACCTTGTATAAGACCTGCGATAACCTTCCATACCAAATAACTCTTCAACTCTTTTAATTTTTATCTTGATACAAAATATTGACATTTTACACATATTTACATAGTAATACCGGTTTATATTATAACCTTCTGCTTCAGACTACAATTTTTAAAAAATTAATCAAAACAAAATAAAAGTTAAGGAGGAAACGTAAGAAAACCCTAAGCTATAGGTGAGGATTAAACTAGAGTTCTTCACTCTGCTTGTACCCAAAGTCCTAGTCTTAGTCCTAATTTGTCGAACTAACTGATTATTGCTTTGCTCACACTGTTCAAAGAAATTTTTCGTGAAGTGTTTTATGTGATGTACAACATAATCCATGTCTGTGCTAATGTGCAAGTCTAGAATGCGGGTATAGCGAGGTGAAGAGGTCACCAACTGTAAAAACTTATTTTGTGTAATTTGTTGTCAGGTGATGTTAAACCTCATGAGCGGCAAGCAGACAAGAGCACTGGTTTGTTATTTATTAGTGGCTGTTCGGTATTTAGGGAATGTTTTGTGGGCAACCCCATCAGATTTACGGCCCCTTAGGAAACATATTTAAAATACCTTACAACTTTTCTTAACTTATTGACGAGAACTGGCTTAGAGTGAAAGCACTTCCTTGCATTTTTGTGCACAAAAAAAAAGAAAAAAAAGAATAATGAATATAACTTTTGGTTATTTTCAATATGAAATTATTGGCGTCATGCAAAGAAAGTCACTATTTCATTAGATAAAATGGTGCCTAAAGATTTATGAATTATGACAAATCTACCAGATTTAATCAAAACACCTAAAGAATATGTAGTTGGTTCAGATTAATATACGAGACTTAAAGGTCAAGACTCATGTAAATAAAAAAACAAACAAATTTATAACATTTATGAAGATTAATTATACCTGAATAATTTTTATAGAACCAAGACAGCATAACAGTCTTTGATCGGGTCAAAACTGATCATTACATTTCTAATAACGGACACTAATAGTCATTGTCAAAGTCATTTTGATAAGATATCTGGGAGATAAGGAAAACCCATCCCAATTTCAACCAAGTCCGACTTTCGATAAGAACGACTTGTCGATACTGGTATTTCGATTTCACTGACGGGTAATGGGTACATAAAAGTTATACATTGGTTTGGGTTGGAGATGGTCATTATGAATTTAATGCATTGGTAATAGATAATTAAATCCGAATAATTAAATACCAGATTTATGGTTATGGATCAAATATTACAATATATCAAAGAGGGTTGAGTAGGTTCAAATAAAACTATTGATTGAAAGAAAGGGGATTAAATATTATGTTTTTAGGTGTTTGTTACGGTATAATTGTAGTTTTTGTCAAAAGATTCGTCTATATATCAAATTTGTTTGGTCTAGATCGAACAAATAGGACTAAATTACATAGTTGAAGAGGAACTTTTCATTCGATATATCATACCGCCACTCGCCAGTATCGGAACGGCTATGATCGATACCATTTCCTTACCTGTTCCTCATCTGTACCTCGGTGGGAGGAGACGTCAGGATTCCTAATCTGCTGAGTTGAGTGCTCTCGTCCCGGGAACTCGGTCGAGTGAGTCAAGCCGACGACGTCCCTGCCAGCGGTTTCCGGGCGCGTCACCGTATCACCGTTAATCAAAAGGGCCGAGTTTCAATAACGTCCAATTCCGAACCGGTTATGATTTAAGTGGTCTTTTCCTGTTTTGTCGATGTGTAGGATCTACGCGTTTTAAAAATGAACGGACGAACGTAAAACGAAGTTTAAAAAAAAAAAAAAAACCTCAGCGGGGGTGTCCTAATAATACAAACCGTGTGTGATAGTCTGCTGGAGAGTCATGGGGAAATTGCTGAGCCTCCTCGCCAGGGACGAGTCCAATTGCTGCACGCCTCAGAAGTACGACGTTTTCCTCGATTTCGAGAGTAAGTCACGTTCCCTGACACATAATTCCACAAAATAATATTTAGAAAAAAACACTGGACAAATTGGATATTTCATTATACAGAAGCACCTTTTTTTATCGGTTAATTGTGTCGTAAATTTCTAATAATTACCTGCTTCTTTCACACCATCGAGTGGTCTATCAGTACTTGTAGATATCTGCTTTCCCCTTATCACTGTTATCAAAATGGTCCAAAAGAAAAATTTAAATTTTTGTTCAACCACAATAATTTTATAAATTCATAGTCGGGTTGTATGAGATTTCTGCACATTTATTACCTAAAAGAAGGAAGTTGCACTGATAAACAACGTCCGTGTAGTCATTGTCGTATCAGCTCAGTCACCCCCTCCTACTTTCTTAAAAAAAAAAAATTCAAAATTGACTTATTGTACAGATGCCGAACCTACGGAAAACGAAAGGCTTGTATATGAGGAAGTTGCATCAGTCTTGGAGTCATCCGAGGGCATCCTCACAGAGCTCGGCCTGTACAAGGGAGCTGGAAGGGAAATCAGAGAGGCTATAACAACACCTACAGACCAGAGCCAAAGCAAGGCGTGGAACATTGTCTTACCTTTGGTTGAAAAACTCAAAAGATTTTACTTCTTTTCTCTAGAATTGGGTGGGTATATATACATATATATTTACAAATTCAGCCTTGTGATTATTTATTAATATTTTATAGAGAGAATCGTTCCTAAACTTCTACGGGAGCTATGTTCTGGCGTTATGAGTCCCACGCAGCATTTAGAGACGCAGCAAGCGCTTGTTAAACAGTTTGCTCATATTCTAGAATTTGTGCTCAAATTTGACGAATACAAAGTATAAAAAACATTTTGAAAATTATATACGAAACCAAATTTTGACTGATGTGAATTTTGCAGATGAAGACACCAGCGATACAGAACGATTTTTCCTATTATAGAAGAACGATGAACAGAAGGCAGAGGGGCTGGCTTGAAAGCGGCAATTACATCAGCGGCGATCACCCGACGGAGGAGATGACTTGTGATCTGGCCAATCGCATATCGTTGTTCTACGCCAATGCTACGCCCATGTTAAGGGCGTTGAGCCAGGCGACGACAAACTTTGTTCAACAGGTGTGAATTAATTTTCTGAATATCTGGGGTTTATACTAATTTTAATTTATTTTATTTTATTACAGAATAAAGACATACCTATAGAGAATACAACAGAAATGTTGGCTACAATGACCAAAGTTTGTTTAAGAATGCTGGAAAGTCCGTAAGTTTTATTTTTATTGACAACTTCTTATTAACCTTAACCTTTGATCCATTTTTTCCTCTTCTAGTTATTAAAATATGGAATTCTGTATTACAAATATTTTAAATTAAAAACGATAATTAAAAGCTGGATTTTATTACTTGGTAAGGAGTCTGGTGAAGTAAAATGAAATAGCAGAGCTATGTATCTTAACATCACAGAAGAAAACTATATAATGGACAAAGAAAAACTCTCTCAGCCAAAGAATAGCATACTAACCAAATTCAGAGCAGATATGAGCGCAGATACGGTAAGCCAATTAGAAAAATTTGCAAACAGACTGGAGAATATCATCAAAGAAAATAACAAAAATATGGCAGCGCAAGAGAAAAAGCTTAATTCATTAGAAAGTCTGAATAAAAGGGAAAATATTATCATTTTCAACGTGAAAGAAATATGCAATAAAAAATATTTTGACACCGAACAACTTGTCAGAAAATTGCTAAGAGAGAAGCTTAAAGTCAACTTAATAGAAGAAGAATTAGATTTTGTCAGACGTCTCAGACATGTTAAAGAGGGACAAATAAGGCCAATACTGATTGGATTAACGATGTACAGGAAAAAGATAATAATACTAAAAAATAAAAAGAACCTAAAAGGTAGCGAAATCACCATTGCAGAGGATATGGAATTGAGTAAGAGAGAGAATTAGGGAGCAAATACCAGAAATGAAGAAGGCCAGAGACGATGGAAAAATGGCTTTTTTCATCTCAGATTGGCTAGTAATAAAAGAAAACCCAAAAAGGAAAAGAGAAATAACGAACTCACCAACCCCAACGAAGCAAGATGTAACAAAGAAAAAAGATATGAAATAGTAGGCCAATAAAGTGAGAATCAAAATTCAATTAAGGCCTATCTACATGTACAAACAGTAGATAAACTCACTTAGCAACAAATGAACAACATAATAGCTTCTAAGGAAAGACCCAGAACTGAAAATGGAAACAACATGCAAATAATTAAAAATTGTAAGGATAGAATAGTTTCCCAGAATGACTGGTCACCGAGGGAAACTGAGACCACATCCTCCCACTCCCAAACTCAAATTCAACAACAAAAACAATTTAAAAATTGGAACATTAAATGTAAGTTCACTATTTTTCGTGGTCCGCTTGACCAATTAATATCATTCAAGCAGACCACGAAAAATAGTGAATTTAATTAATTAAAATGAAGTATACTTAACTGAAGCTCTCTGTAGCCATTTCACTTGTCGCCGAGAATCAAATAGATTACATGACATTTGAAAATTGGCAAAAAGAAGGGAAAATTCAAAAGGTGCGGTTGAGACAGGAAGTTGGTGCCCGAGGGGATCGAAGTCACGATAGCTCAAGTGGTAGAGTAGCGGCGTATCAAATCGAAGGTCATGGGTTCGAATCCCGCTCGTGACACTGACTTTTTTATCTCAACTTAAAACCTTAATTAATTGAATTAAATGTAAGATTAGAAAACTGACTTGGAATCTACATATTAAACAATTGCTGTCGAAAGGGGGAACAGCTGTTTAACATTCTAAAGAGTTTCTGCAGTAATAAATGGGGTGCTGATCCGACGATAGGTATGCTGTATTACTAATCCTCAATACGATCCGTATTTGACTATGGGGCTATTTTTTATGGAGCAGCTTCCCAATTGCTGTTAAAGAAAATTGATACACTTCGGTATAAGGCGAATTCTTGGAGGTCTACCAAGCACCCCCATAGTTGCATTAGAAGCCGTACCTTGTGAGCCCCCTCTGGAAATGAGGCGAAAAAAATTAGCATTCAACTTCCTTATCAAACGTTTTTGTCAGGAAAGTCCTATATTTAATAAAATAGTTACACTCACTGAAAAAGTTCTAACCTCAACCTTTTACCAAAAAAAGAAATCCCCCACCCTAATGTCGGCCTTCCTACAGTCCGTTCATTTCATCTACTCCCTTTTTAAAAGCCCTGTGGACCCCATGTATCAGATGGAGTATGAGGTACTAGTTAACAATTTCGACACAACATTTTTTAAAGATTATTCCCAGCTCAACTTGCATATTGTTCAAAAAGAATTCCTAGCCGACATTAACAAGATATATCCGGAACATGTGTACGTATTTACTGACGGCTCTTCCATCGATGGCAAAACAGGTTATGCCCTTTTTGACCCTAAACATCAATACAAGGAACAACATTTGCTTCCAACTTCAATGTCTGTTTATACAGCAGAACTAATTACGATAGATAGCGCTCTCGATTTCATATGAAAATTGGGTGATTCTAAATTTTGTATCCTCACACTGTCGAAGCATTGTAGAAAGGATAAATAACATTACCCCAGAATATAAATGTAGAAACTATATTTTTGCCCAAATCTGTAGGAAAATGCTTGAGACAAAAATCATGGGAAAAAGGGTGGCATTGTGTTGGGTGAAAGGGTATGCAGGCTTATGGCAAAATGAAATGGTGGACGCACTTGCAAAGGAGGCTGCAACATCAGGTCCAACCCTTGACATTAAAATTCCTAAAGATGATGGGAAAAACTTTTTGCAAAAGTTTTGTAGAAATCTGTGGCAAGAAAAATACAACGCATCAAATGTTGGCAATTATTACAGGTCACTGTTCCCTGAGCTCAAGAAAAAACCATGGTTTTCGGAAGGCGATAGCCCAGAAGGAATGTCAAAGGAGTTCTATTCTACTATTTTTAGACTGAAGACAAATCATGGCCTATGGGGTAGCTACAAGAAGAGAATCGGTTTGGCATCGTCTCCGAACTGTCCCACTTGCGATTGCCCTTCAAATCCTTCCCACATAATTTTTGAATGTCCAGAATACGAAAATGAAAGAGATAAACTGCTAAAAAATCTGAACAAAGTTCCAAACATTTCCAAACCAATAAACTTAGAATCTGTCATAATAAGCAACAATCCATCAGCTTTCAACATAATCTGTGGATTTCTAAAGTCGATAAATGTTTCTTTTTGATTATCTTCAACCATGAAAATTTAGAAGATGAGAAGATGATGGTCGGCCGTTCCCGCTCGACAGGAAAATGAAAATAGAAAACTTCATGGATAATATGCCAGCGTAAACCCCCCCCCCAAAAAAAAAAAGTAAGATTGTTAAGAAATGAAGATAAACTGATAAAGTTAGAAAATGCAATGAATGGAAAAGACATAGATATCCTGGGAATATGCGAGGAACGACGAGGAGAAGTAAAAATTTTAAAACTCAAATCAGGTTACACCGTTTGCATATTCAGGTAAACAATTTGGTAGCCATGGAGTTGGATTTCTAATAAAACCAAAATATATTCAAAAATAATTATACTCACGAGTGATAAGACAGCTTGGAGGGAATTGGGAGAGGCCTTCGCTCTAAATAGGGCCGGTTTATAAATGACTATGACATGGAAGAAGAGGAAGAAAGAGAAGGAAAAAAGGAAGAAGAAAAAAATTTAAAAGAAAATCAATTTTTTTTCTCTGTTTCAATTATGTACACATTATAAACCAATAAAAAAGGCTTATTTATTTATTATTTATTTAAGGAGTCTGGTGGGTCAGTTTGAAAAAGAAGAGACAGAACTTCTAGTTTTGCGAGTCATGGTCGGCCTTGTAATCCTTTACGATTATGTCCATCCCCAGGGTGCCTTTATGAAGCCGTCGAACCTGGATGTTAAAGGCTGTGTCAAGCTTTTAAAAGACCAGCCACCAATTAAATCGGAACCACTTTTAAACGCTCTCAGGTAAGTCAGAAATGATGTAAAACCCTGATGATGTCATTTAACTTAATATTCGGAAAAAAAATTTACATAGTTTGGTCTTTTCCTATCCTACTTGTCCTACTGTCTATACTCATTTTGTTGTCAGGTCTATTTTGCCAACTAAAGTCTTGTATTTCTGGGGTAGGTGGGGTTTGATATTTGCAGGTACGGATGGTTGCACAAGATTGATAATTAAGGGAAGGTAAGATGGTAGAAATTGATAAAAATGGTTAGGTTTGTGATATTCCACGAATTGTGTGATTTGAAAAGGAATCTAGTACTAGGCAAATCACAAGAAAAAATGGAATTTCTGAGGTATGGGGACAAGAGAGAAAAGTACAGAGGGAGGGAGTGTCTGTGACAGGTTTGTTTTCCTGGTCCTTGTTATTCTCTGATCACAAATGGACATGAGTTCTACTAATCTGGTAAAAAAGGAGCATTCTGCCTTTGTTTTTGGGGGTATATCGCCTTTCCTTCTGCTCAACAGTTCTCCAATGGCCTCCAAGCCAGGAGGAGATTGAAAGAAACCAGCATTACAGTCGGTGTCGTGACCATGTAGAGGAGGGCAGTCTGTGGAGTCTTTCTCTGTGTCACCACAGGTTATGAATAAATAGTCATGTCTACAGTTTGTGATAGTTGGAAAGCCAGGGATGGTTACACACCAGGTTTGTCACAATAGTTTGTGTTATGGTTGACTAAATAGTTTGTTTGGTATTGCAAGGTCAATCAGTTAATGGCCATGTCTGACTGCAAAATGCCAGGATGATCAATCTTTATACATTGTTAGTTTGCTTTTGTATTGGGTGCATAAGTTTTTTGGTTTTTTCAAGTTACGATTTTCACCCTTGTAAAGGCAGTCCTTATTACCTACTAGCCCCATTAGCTGTAGGGTGGGAAAAGCCCTTTCAAAAGAGATTGTTAAGAAAGGGATTGTTGATCGCAAGTCAGTTTCGAATAAGCTGTGACAACCATATAAAGTCCTATTATCTGTTTGGTGGGATTTTCTAAGAGTAATTTATTCGGAATTGTTACCCTTAACCAAACCCTTACAGCAGAGGTGTAACCAGAACATCTTGGGCCATCGTTGAAGGAAAAATGTGTGAGCAGATACAACATTGTTTCACTGTGACAACACCAGGCCTCACTCAGCTGCACTTAGAGTAAATTGACGAGTTACACTGGCAACAGATGCCCCATGCTCTATACTCCAGACATTGCCACTTATGATTTTTACTTATTCCTCTTCCTAGACAACCACTTAAAATGTAGGGAATTTTTGAACGAAAACTGAAACTCCGACTTACAGATTTCCTCTCTTCTAAATCGGGGATATATCTTCTACCAGAACATTAGCGGTATAACCTATGATTTTTCCTTCTTGAAGGTGTGATAATAGGTCATCTAAAAAAAAAAACCACAACCAGTTTTTGTCCACAATGTTTCGGATTTAATCCTTCCTCAGGTGAGTTAACGTAATGGTTAAAACAGTGGTCGTCAGCCATTAATATTTTATAACAGTTTATTTAAAAAAAGAGCCAGTGTGGTACTTATTCAGACTATGAACAAACGTTTTAATATTTGGAACCTGACTAGCAGTATGTTATAGAAAATGAAGGAAATTATGTTTTGGATTATAAGTATCCATTTACATTTTAAAAGTTTTAACTACTTTTTCTTCTAAAAACCAAAAAAACTCTACACACCCAATGGATTACTACTTTCACAATTAAGTCTCATATTTAACAGTCTTTTTCTTTTTCAGGTACACGACAAAGCACCTGAACGAAGAAGCCACGCCAAAGCAGATCAAAAACCTTCTTGCGGCATGATGGTTTCCCGAATCGCATTTAAATGAACAAAGTGAAAAAAGAGATATATCCATGATTCCTACTCTTCTACACATTTCTTCCTAATTGTGTAATTGAATTTGATTGGCTTCTCCCGGTCTTAATTTTCACCATAAAGCGACTGCATTCGCCCACAAGGTATATTTTTCATTCTAACAGGAAAGAAGATGCTTAACCTCAATTGCATTATTTATAAGTTCGTTGTTGATATTTTTTTATGTTCTCATTTGTCAATGAGATTAAAAGAAGAAAAATTCACTTTAGCAATTGTGTAGCATGATGTACAACTCTAGTCGTCTTTATAACCAAAGTTTCATATTGTCCTCCCTGGTAGAGTGTTATAAAAAAGCAAATAAATTTTTTCCACGTTTGACAATAAAATTAGAATAAAAATTAAATATGTGCCATGATGAAAAATAAGAAAACCTTTTATTTTTTAAATTTCATTTTGAGTTGTTTTGTTTTCAATATTGCAGTTCTGTTGCTGTTCATTCCTTACATTGATTTATGTGTAATTTTCTTAAAAAACCTATGAACTCTTTAACCCAGGAGACATTGAAAAAAAGTTTAATTATTAAAATTGATACTAATTTAAAAGACCTAGTATTAAAATTTGTATATAAAGGAAGAAAATATACAGAAAATTTGATCATTTTCCCTTTGGCCTTACTTATAATAATAAATTCATAATGAATAAAGAAAAATACAATTTTTTAAAATTATTATTCAGAACTCAGAATAAACGTCCTGTTGACTAAAATAGAAACACTGCCATTTTGTTTATGGTTAAAAAAAAACTTAGATCCCAATTTATTATTTTTGAATCTGCATTTATAATAAATATTTCAGCTGTTTATAAGCTGATTTCATATTCGAGAGTGTAAGAGTTACCACGATTCTCAGTTATCATAATATTAAAATATACAATTAAAATTTTAATGTAAAAAGCTAGGAAATATTTCGTCATATTTTCTTCTTTCTGGGTAATTTTTTTTTTTGTTTCAAGTTTTTTGTAATAATTAAACAAGTAAAAAAGACATATTTATTAATTGTGATGACGATGAAATTTTATTATACGCATAAATCCGAGTATGTGAGTTAATTTATACCAGGCCATTTATGAATAACTGTTGCATTTATTCGCATTTCATATTATTAAAAAAAATATTTATACATGACGATTTTTTAAATTTTATTTAAGAGCAAATGATGACCAATTACATGTTTAAATTGTTATTGTATAAAGTTGCTTTACTAATAATACATATATTTTAAAAAAAGCTTGATGTTACAAAATTTATATATTATACTTTTTTGACAGATTATATATATGTAACATATATATATTCTTCAATAAATAAAATGTTTAAAACATAAAGTGTTTATTGTTTTAATGTAGTAGTATATTCAATTGACTGTTTCTTCTTTTGGACATTTCTTCTGTCATTTCAGCCGTTCCAAATGCTTAATACAATTTTCTTTTTTGTATGGTACAACTGCAATTTTAAAAGATCTCTAAAAGATTCTAATTGAAGAATATAACTATAGAAATGATATAATGTAATAGTTATCTGGACCGATATGAATTGGGAAAAAAATGCTTTGTAAAACTGGCTCGCTCATTTGTAAAGAAGGTTGTTAAATTGTTGTTTGTTTCAATTTAAAAAAAAGTTAAATTTATTAATAATTATTGAAAATTATATTGACGAGTGATTTGTTTTAATCGTTGATATATTTTATTGTGTGCCATATATTTGCATTTTTATTATACTAAAAAGCTTGTTAGATTAAATTTAGACATTGGAAATTCTATTGTAGCTTATCCCTTAATTTTTTTAGAATACACATAAGAGTATATTTTATATTTCTAAGAAATTGTTGGCTCTTGCGTTAATTCTATGAAATACTGTTAGCGTTAAATTGTGCGATTATTAACCCGGTTGCTCATTAATTTAATTTAAGTAAATTTTATTGAAAGAGATTAACAAATTGTTGGTGGTGTAACGATTTTACATCTATGAATAAATCTGTTGAAACTGATGTGTTTTTTATTTACTGAATGTCGAAAACGTAGTACCTTCTAATCGGGTGGATGCTCTACAATTTTAATAATTGCCGAGTTACACACAGCCTGCAGAGATTGGTTCAACATGTCTTAAATTGCCTTGTCAGGTGTGACTTACATAAACTCCACTTTCGTTATTAAATGGTAAAAACTATATTCACAGTTTATAACAAATCGCATAACAACTAGGTGACCAATGTGTTGTCCCCTCCAGATTATAAAAATGTAGTATTCACCACTACGGTCGCCATGGTAACTAGTAAATAAGAACTAACATTTTCACTTGTTTACAAGAATGCCTATAATAATCAAGGACTTTACATGGAGGCAGACAGAAGATTATGTAATAGTACGAGTTCCCCTCCACAACGTCCTGACTCATAAAGTGGACCTATTCACTTCCGATACGTACATCAAGGTATGGTTTTGGTATGACAGCTGTCAAAACATATGATTGATGTGTGTAAAGGTTATTTTGGCAACAGTTCAAATTAACAACTGGATACGTTTTAGGTGCATTTCCCCCCATTTTTATTTGAAGCGTGCCTGTATGATTTTATCAATGAGGAGCAGAGCAAATGCACACTTGTCAAAGGTGAAGCGGTTTTTGAACTGCTCAAAACGGAGAAAAACGAATGGCCTGCTCTTACGAAGGATGTCTCAAAGCGTGAAGTGATTCGCATTAAGGAAGAGGCCATAGAAAGAGCGCATAAAAAATGCGAGGAAAGAAAAAAAAATATGACAAGTAATGTTGGTTTAAAAATAAATGTCTATACTATATGTTAGGATCCTCTAACCCAAATTTTCATGGTATCTAGCGTATTGGGCCCATCCTCATACATGCTTAACCATCTCAACAAATACTTAAATATATCCCTATTTTCTCTTACATGGGTAAATTTCAGAATTGAAAAATGAAAGAAGGAGAGAATGCGTAAAGAAACAGATGGATTTAAGTGCAGAATCGAGGAAACAAGTGGAAAATGTAAAAAAAGAAAATAAGATAGCCGCTGTTACTGATGTCATGGCATGGAAAGAAAAGGAAACGGATGATGATAAAATTTTATTGCCACTGTGGAAAAAGATGACCAGTAAATTAGGCCCTGGTTAGTGATCAACATATACAATCTGTGCGTAAAAACCATTTAAACTAATGTACAACTTTTTAAGTGAAGGGACAAACTAAACCGAATCAATCAATTAATCTACCGGCCAAGTCTCAGAAACCAACATCAGAAGTACCACCACCAAGAGCTTTTGGCAAAATATCCTGTGACTTTACGTACAGGGCTTTTCCAACACCGTGTCGAGAGTCAAAAATGAACGAAGAAGAGGAGGTAAGTTAAAATTATTATATTTGCTGTTAAATTACAAATTTTACCATTGTCAAAATGTATTTTTGAAGTGGCTTAAACAACAAGCAGCTGCAAGAAGAGCTACCGGTTTTGTAGCTGAGGACCTGCGACCAGAAGAAAATGATCCTATGTGGCTTTTGGAAAAAGGATTGTGAGTTAATTAAAAGATCATTAAATCTAATAAATAATAGAAAAGTAACATTCTTTCACGTAGCTTTTTTTCCTCAGACATTTTCACAGTGTTGGGAATTATCTTGGAGCTGTGAGCGCATTCTCACACGCGATTAAAACTTGGGATAAAATTCCTGATCTTTACGTTGCTAGATCTCATTCACAGCTAGCTCTAGGCAACTGGAGACGTGTCCTCTTGGATACTACAAAAGTAAAACAGATTTTAAAAAAATCACACGACACACAAGAATGGCACAATTACACAAAAAAATCAATGTTTATTTCTAGGCGATAGAGCTGTGCCGGCCACATGTAGCCAGTAATGCTGAAATGCGCTTCGACTCTCATTTGAACAGGGGAAAAGCACTGTTGGAAATTGGCAAAGGGAAATCTGCTTTGGCTGATTTCATCGAGGCGTATGAACTGAAACCGTATTATGCTCAATTGGAATACTTGATGGACCGAGCGGAAAACATGGAAGAGGCAAAAGAAGAACTTCCCCCAACGTCATACATCGAACCTGCAGACCTAGCCAATTGATCAACAAATAATTTAATAAAAATTAATAAATCTTTGGGACAAAATACTGCTAATTTCTTAATTATTTAATTGTCAATTAGACATATGCTGTTATCAATTACTACTGGTCAAGTTATATTGCACAATTCACAGAGCAACTTGAGGAATTGAGCAACAAAACAAATGATCAAATACCTCCTCTTGCACTAAAATATTGTAATTATGCATAAGCTCCAATATTGACAAAAAAATTTAATAACTAACTTCTTCTAGGCACTTTCCATTATGTTCTTAAATTCAATTTTGTAAAATCCATTTTCAAATCTAGAGATAATTCAGGTGTTAAAAACTATAGCCCTTTACTCATACAATAAGCAATTGCTAAAGTCTTTGAATGTCTCATTTTAAACAAAGAAAGTTAACTTCCATTCAGCTAGATCAACAATAACAAATTTAATCTTGTTTCAATAAAACATAATTTGTTGCTCATAAACAAGTAAATTCTGTATATTTTGATTTTTATAACGCTTTCGACCTTGTTGGCCAAGATATACGGATTGGCAAACTTTTTTATAGTGGAATTCGTGGATATCTTAAAATGGTGTTATTCTTAGAAGATGTCAACCTGTCAAATTAATATTCCTAGTCTCCAAAAGTATTTCTTCCTCTCAGGAATTCCTCAAGGTTCACTACTTGGGTTTTTCCTGTTTAACAGCTTTATAAATGATAGTTCTTCTTGTTTTCCATGTATATATTTATTTTTCACTTTTTGGCAATACTCTGAATCTGAAAATCTAACTCTGTAGAATCAATCTGACCTTAGGCACAGTACAATTTGTTGTCCAACCTTAAACACGGCAGATATGATTGTTACAGATCTGGTCTTGAAACATGCCCTTCTCACAGAACTTGTAAACAGCAATCCTGATAGACAGTAAAAGTGCTCTTGAAAAGTTAAACAATATGAAACTAGACTAATGCTAGTTAACATAAATGTCTAAATGTAGAATGTTAAACAGGTTGAAAACTTGTACGGGGTAAACATGTAAGCTTTTACTGTATCAGAGGTCATTCTGGGATTTAGGATAACACAGTAGACACAAGTAGAGCACCTGGCAAATGTTGCCAGAGAACCTTAATGGAGACAATCTAGAAATAAAGCTACCACTAAACGAAATTTTAAGAAGTGTCAAAAACTCAAAAATATGGGCCAAACTAATAGCGACGGGTAAATTTGATATAAATCTAACAGAGGTAAAGGGTGTGAAATTTCATGGTTTTCAACATAAAAAATTGAAATTATTTACTTTTTATCACTCCAACTTTATTTCTGCATATAATTATAAATTAATTGAGCTTGACAGTGAATAAAGTGACTATAAGAGTTCTTAAAATTCATATTAAATCTATTATCAGCAAAACCTAATCAAACTCTTGGATTTATTACTCTTAGTAATGTAAATTTAAGTAATTCTTACAGCTTACTTTTACTTTATAAGCAAGCCTCTTATGCGACCAATTCTTGTTTATGGATGTCATTTGGAGCAAATTGATTTGAACGAGTTTGTCTAGGGAAAATCGTCAGTAAGGCGTATGGTGTGAGAGGTCATGCATTCAAATGGTTCTGCTCCTATCTCCAGGGAAGACAATTACAAATTACTAGATGCCCAAACTTTACAATTGTTCTTAAAACTTTCAAATCCTTATATTTTAATATGTTACAAACATGTTTTCAATATGTTGGTATCACAGGCTTCTATGTCTATCAATGAATTTTGTTAATACAATCGTGCTGCGTGAAAAATTAAGATTGGTATTATTAGAACAGCAACCTTGTTTTTAATATTTTGGCATTTGCTTGAAGACTCAATGTGAGAAGCAGACATACTACACTGAGAGGCAAAAAAAGTGGCCACACTTAATTTTTTAATTAACTGTTAGACAGCCCAACATTGATTATTTTACAATATTTAGTCCGTTTTAAAGGATTAGAGATAGAAAAACACTGATAAAATCTCCCATTTGTGTTTACAATTGGAATTAAAGTAAATAAATCTTTGAATAGTCAACCTCTTCTTTGTTTATTTTTCTATAAAGCTTCTTTCTAATGTTCCGGGAGTTTGATTTTTTTAAAAATTGTTTCATTTTTAAGTTTCAAATTTGTTTGTGATGATCTTAAGTAATACAGATTCAGCGAGAAGCATTGTTGGAATATGGATGAAGACAAGAATATGTGGCCAGGATGCTTAACACTCCCAGAGGTCACCAGAGAGATGATCGTTCTATTGTTTAGAATGTATGCTATAATCGACATTTTAATGCTATTGAGATCAAGCAATGGCTTAAACAAGTTAGAGATGTCAGTTCCACACTATAAGGCTAAGACTTTCAGAAGCAGAACTGCAGAAGTGCGAGAAGGCTTGCCACTGGTTCAGAATTTCTGACAAGGCACAGAACTGCTAGGCTAAGTTTCCCAAGAAATCGCATCAATTTGGTCTGAGCAAAATTGGATTAAAATTTTGTTTTTGGGATGAGTTAAGGATTTGTTTTAGGTCTTCTGATGGCCAAGAGAGAGTTTGGAACGTGAGAGCGATTTTCTATAACATTTTCACTCCGGAGAAGCTATGGAGGTGGTGTTGTAGTATAGGCAGGCAATTTTACGGAAGGTCGCTCAAATTTGATCTTCATCGAGAGTTCTCCAACAGCTGATGTATTGAAGATCTGTTATCGGAATAAATTGTTTCTTATAAGCCACTAAATGGCGAAGGTTTTACGCATGACGATGCGAGGCCTCACACAGCTAGGATTGTTGGTAACTGCAAGGACCGGGCTTCAATTCAATGTTTGGAGTGGCCAGCATATATTACTGACTTAAACCCTTTGGGGAGGATTACGGAAGGTCATACAAACTTGATCTTCATCATTGGTTCCCTGACAGCTCTGTGATACATTGAAGATGTGTTATCAGAAGTTGTTCCTAATATGTTGTTCCTAATATTAGCGATGGTTTTCTTTTTATGAGAAACAAGGATCGTTGGTAACTACTTAGAACAGGCTGCAATTCAATGTTAGGAGTGGCCAGCCTGTAGAATTAAACCCTATCAAAAATTTTTGAGGCGAGTTGTCAAAGAGGGTAAAAAGTTGCTCAGTGATGCCAGAGACTTTCAGGAATTAAGGATGGCGCTGTTGGAGATGTATGAAAATATTTCACAGCATTACATTCTTTCTCATAAAATCCAGTGGTGATCAATACAAGAGGAGGAAATACTCTGTACNGGAAAAAAGGGCCAGGGGCAACGGTGGGAATCGAACCCACGACCGCGGCGTGAGAGTCTCTCATGCTAACCACTCGGCTACCGCGGTCCCCCTAATATTTTCTTCAATTTCAAATATTTCCATAGCAACATTTTTGGTAATACTTAATTTTATATTTAGCTATATTATATTATTTTTCTTTAAAAATTCCAGTAAAAAACAAATATTAAAAATTATAATTGCAAGTATTCACTTAAAAAAATGTGGGTGTTCACTTTTTTTGCCTCTCAGTATAGCAAGACATTGTGTTGATAATAAATTTATCCTATTATTATTATTTTGATCTAAAAATCTTACTTCTATTTCATTGAAGTTTGGAGTGTTTTCTTTTTTTTAATGAGTGTTCGTTATGAAATGGCGTCTTCATTCCCGCTTACTTGTACATATTACAGTATCGATTAAACAATCGATTAAACAATCGATTAATAATTTACAGTTTAATTATAAATAATAAAAAACGTTGTAATATATTTTATCGAAAATATTATATATTTTTAGATTTTTATTGACGGTAAACGTAATAAGTCTATTTTAAAAAACATTGAAGTTATACATTTAAATTCGACATTTTTATACAATTTTAAATTCGATTTAACAGTCGATAACGAATCGATTTGGCTTATTATCAAACTTCGTTAATCGTCTAACCCTATGTTAAAACCGATTAAACGAGGTAACAAACGTTGCACCCAGTGGGAGTTGTGAAGCTTTGTTTGTTTTCATCGAAAAATTTCCAGTAGTATTATTAGTATTTGGCGAGTGGTTTGCTCTGTTTTAAATCCTCAGAAATTCCAACGTCTTCACTTATGTCGTCCAAGTTGAAAATAAGCCAGGAATGGAAGAAAAGGGTGAGGGCGGAGTTGATGAAGCTGAGGCAGATAAAACGTTTCAAAAAAGCCGACGAGATAAAAGTGGCCTGGAACTTAAACAGAAAACTCATAGACGGTGAGTTCAAATCAATAGAAACAAACGAAATAATAAAATAATTTAAAAAGTTCAATAGAAACTGATAAGATTGTTTTTCGACTTGACCATAGTGACATTGTTTTTTTCCTTGTCTCCTTTTAAAAGGCAGATGGCCTATTTAGGATATATGTACCACAGTATGGCTGTGCACTCAAACTCTCAGCCTTATATCCTCCACAATACCTAATCACTCTGCTGTTGATAAAAGGAAAAGTCTTGGGAAAAAAGGTATAACATTAAAACAAACTTGTTTACAAAGCTTAAGAAATTGGACGAACGCAAATTGGTTGTAGCATTGTCTAGTCTTGCTGAAGAGCTATGTAGGATAAGGATAGCAAACGGTCAGAGGTCGGAGTAGGCATTGATGATGATAATGATTTCTTGAACCGATGTGCAATGCATTTCTGTATATGTTTACTGAGATCCTAGAGCTACGGGTTAGTGCACTGCCATGCTATGGTACCCAGCAATGTCTTATTTGCTAAGCAGTTAAATTATGACGTTTTATCCTTTACAGAAAATAAAACAATCAAACCCAACTCTGAAACAAGATATTTGATGTTTACAGATGTAGTTGCTGAGGAACAGAGAAAATGGTTGATGAACAGCAAGGCTTATTGGGAAAAAAAGACGGTTCATGAACCGCATTCGAGGTGCATGAAAGAGGTACAAGTGCTGAGGTCTGACAACGTTTATTTAAAAGGAAGGATTATCATCATGAATGCAGTCACTCCGATCCCTACGATGTACACGTGGGCTCCCATCCAACAGAATTTTATGGTATGATGAATTAATTCTGGCTGGAAGTGTATTAATTCTTGTTTAAAACAATGTGTAACATAGCTTCAAAGAAATTCACGATTTGTACTGTTTTCTATCAGGTCGAAGATGAAACAGTTTTACACAACATTCCGTACATGGGCGATGAAATTTTAGAACAGGATGGCACCTTTATTGAAGAACTGATAAAAAATTATGACGGGAAAGTTCATGGTGACAAAGACACAGGGTTTTTAGACGATTCTCTCTTTGTTGAATTAGTAAACACATTGATCCAGTATCAAGTAAAAGATGAGGTAAGTGTTTAATATTTTTGCCGCAAATCTTAAAAGCCTCTTTCTTTTTATACAAAACAATGGTTACTTTCAGGAAGAAGGGCTTGCAATGAAGGACGGGGAAGACGAGAAGAATAAAGAGCTCAGAAAGTGGTCTTCACTTTCAAAAGGAGAGCCTAAACCATTCCCTTGCCAGGTTATATTTGAAGCAATATCCCAGATGTTCCCTGACAAAGGGACTGCAGCTCAATTACGCGAAAAGTACGTATTTGCATAGAATTGGACATATGGTGTATTTAATTAATACATTTTTGTTAAAGGTATATAGAATTGACAGTGAGGTTAGACCCGACGGCGTTACCTCCGCATTGCACACCAAACATCGATGGTCCAATAGCGCAATCTGTTAAAAGGGAAAAGACTCTGCATTCTTTCCACACTCTGTTTTGCAGAAGGTGTTTTAAATATGATTGTTTCCTTCATTCAAGTAAGTATGTCATTAAGTTTAATAATTAAAATAGTTAATTTAATTTCTGTATGTTGAAGTTCATCACGGTGGGCCTTATCTGAAGAAAAGGAAAGGGCCCGAGTTGAAACCCTTCACTGAACCTTGTGGACCCGATTGTTATATACATTTGGTTGGCAGTCACAATTTTCTAAGATCCACGTATAAAACCCAGGAAGATTTTTACACAGAGAATATTTCAGGACGGGGTGAAGGAGAAACTTGCTGAAATATCTGCAGCTGCCGCAGCCAATAAAGACGAAAATCAAGATGAGCCTTCTTGCTCGTCAGTGAGTTCCAATAAAGATTTGAAAAATGAACCTCAAGATGACGACAAGCCTCCGGGAAAGGTCAGAAAGCAAACCAGTGTTGATTCAGGAAACGAGGCTAGCTCTGAAGACAGCAACGACAGTAAAGGTTTGTCTTGATACACTTGTTCAAAAGAGTTCACATTGAACAAAGGCTACAAGCTAATTTGTAGCTCACATGTTTTCAGATGTAAAGAGAGAGGACAATGAAGAGACCGAACCAACATGCAGCCTGTTTTCACTCCGTAACAACACAGGGGACGATTCGAGAGAGTGGACCGGGTCCGACCAATCCCTGTTCAGAGCCCTATACAGGGTTTTCGCACGGAACTTCTGTGCTATCTCACAGATCATGCTGACAAAGACATGTCAGCAGGTGTACAATTTCTCATTGAAAGATCCCTCTACGCCCCACATTGATGCAGAGATAGCTGAGTTCACACCACCACGAAAGAAGAAGAAGAAGCATCGCCTCTGGTCTGTTCACTGTAGGAAAAACGCGATGAGGAAAGAAGGCAACAACCACGTTCATAATTACACGCCTTGTGAACACCCTCCTGGCGTTGCCTGTGATAACCTCTGCCCATGTCAAGCATCACAAAATTTTTGTGAAAAGTACTGCCAATGCAGTTCAGACTGTAAGTCACTCCTTTTACGTTTATTATAATTATTAAATAATATAATTATAATTTTTACAGGCGCCAATAGATTTCCGGGATGTCGATGTAAAGCACAGTGCAACACTAAACAATGCCCTTGTTATCTCGCTGTTAGGGAATGCGACCCAGACCTCTGTCAAACCTGTGGAGCTGATCAATTCGATACACAAAAAATCACATGTAAAAATGTTAGCGTCCAAAGAGCTCTACGTAAGTAATATGTAGAAAAATGACCTATTTTATTTTGTTCTTTGGGATATTCTTCTTTCAAGGAAAAACTTGCACTTCCCACTTGCATATTTTATCCATTTCATGAAATAGGTCATATATGTTTTTGGACAGTGAATTTGTAAAATTTCATAGATGTAAAGTGCCAGCAGTCCCATGTGAACCTGAGTTGTGTTGTTGTCAACATACATTTTGAACTGCCCAAACCTGGAACTTTTCGAACACGTCGGCCGATGAATTTTTTTGAGGGCGATTTTTTATTTTAAGCCTAATTTATCTCATTCCAGATCCTTTTTCGAAATTAATTTCAGCTAGTAATGCATCAAAATCACTTTTATTTTCTATATCCTATTAAGTCGTGTGACCACAATCCCTACAACATTTTGTCTGGTAGACCACCATTGTGGGAAGTTACAGTTAGCCAGGGGAAGTTACATTTAAAAAACCAGCCATTCCTGCCATGTGAGTCCCTGGGAAGTTCTTTGAAAAATTGATACTTTTGTAATTGAGGAAACATGAAAAGATTCATGTTCATCCCTAACCATTTATACCCTAATGATACTAAAAAACCAAAAATCATTTTGACTTTAGGGAGGTATTCAGAGGTCCCATGGCACTTTAGGTGCTAAATAGCTTGAATTAAAAAAAAATTACACTAACTATGGACATTAGCGCGCTTCCCTATAATTGCCATCTTCAGTGGTACGTTTTCCCTTGATGTTGTCCATAAAGCTAGTTCCCCCTGCTACTTGATGGCATGCATATTCATAGGACACCTAAAGACTTCTGACGGGATTTGGCATCAGAGTTTCTGGAATTTTGTCCAAGACCGACATCTCCTTCTTTCACAACCTCCTCCATGTGCCACTCGTCCCCCTCTCATTTTACTTTTTGTACAAAATAAATTGCTCTCTGGTCATCCAAAAGCACATATGAAAATGATTTTCATCGTTATAAAGAAGATGAAAGTATGGTTCTCACCAAAAGTAAATTTTGATTTATTTCATGCATCTTCATTGTTGTTTTGTTTTGTGTTGTAGAAAGGGCAACAGCCCACATTCTTCCCTTTCGTCCTCATTCATTTGAGTTTTAAGTCATGGGGCACTTTAACTTAATTAGTTAAACTATAATTTAATCAACAATTCTAAAATAATAAACAAAAATAATTAACAATTATGTTCATGACCCATTCGATTCAGAGGCAATAAGGTGAATGGTGGGAGACAGGACATCTAAGCCAAATGCCTTTTTCCGTCTAAATGCATCAGAGCAATATGTCTTGGTCCCGTCACAATGCACCCCGTCTGAACAATGCGTCCCCGGCTTAATTCTTAATATCTTATTTTTCTTAGGCCTAGGTCTGGTATGCCATAAAGAATCTCAGCCACCGTTCTATTTTCCCCCTTTTGTGATAACTATTTGTATTATTTGAAGATAAACATTTACTTATGGCTCCATCGGATGTCGCCGGCTGGGGGATCTTCCTCAAGGACTCGGCTCAGAAGAACGAGTTTATTTCCGAGTATTGCGGCGAGATAATATCACAAGATGAGGCGGACAGGAGAGGAAAGGTCTACGACAAGTACATGTGCAGCTTCCTTTTCAATCTGAACAACGGTAAATAAAACCGTATAGAATGTTTTTTTATTGAAAATTGTCAATTTGTTAATTTTGTTTTTATTATAGATTTTGTGGTTGATGCAACTAGAAAGGGAAATAAAATACGTTTTGCAAATCATTCTATAAATCCAAACTGTTATGCTAAAGTCATGATGGTCAACGGTGACCACCGTATTGGAATATTCGCCAAAAGGGCCATTCAACCTGGCGAGGAACTCTTCTTTGATTACAGGTTTGTAATACTACCAATTCAAAAAATAAATAAATAAATAAAATAAATAAAAATAAAGACTATTATTAATCTGCATTTTGTTTTTCCAGATATGGGCCTACGGAACAGTTGAAATTTGTTGGAATTGAAAGGGAAATGGAATTTTTATGAGAAAAGGTCAACATAGATCCCGGAGAAGGGACGTCCAAAAATGACTCTTAATTCATTCACCACTGTAGGCTAGTATTTTTTTAAATTTGAACTCTGTCGACATTAAAGGCTATTACTATTTTGCAAAAATAATTTTGTAAACAAATTGGTGGGGAAGTGATGGTAATGAAATAGTACACATCCTTTTTCAGTGCCTTTCAAATTTTATTTTATTAATCTAAGTCTTCCAAGTCAGTATATAAAGGCCAGGCTTACAAAAAAAAAAATAGTTTAGAGTTTTCTATATCATCACAAAATAATCACTGTTGTTATAAGATACATTAGAATAATTTATCACGAAATATTTTGTATAAATTACTAAAGAACTATTCTGTAAGTTGTATCCATGGATAAAACTGTATTCTTTTACCCTTATGTTTTTATTCAATTTAAACTGTTAGATTTTATCGCTGGAATGGGATTTACTTGTTCATTGTATGAGTTCATGTAGCTTCATGTATTGAGAGTTGGACAGTAATTTTTAACTAGAAATAATTTTAAGAGATGTAGAATCAAATAAAGTTGTTTTCAATTATTTTTAAATGTCTGGACAATTTGTTGATATAGCAGATAGGATGCGAATCAAAGAAAATAACGGTTCATGGAGGTTGTGGTTGTTGGACGGGTAGACATGATTGCACAACAGACATCACAACAGTTTGTGTTAAGGATGGCAAAAGATTTAGAAACCTTCTCTAATCATATCGAACACAAACCTTCTTTTCTAAACCCACATCACACCAGACCACATCTCACTAACAGTCACTACCACACATTTCTAACACAATCATCATATCTGATATTTAATCATCCCTTTACATCCTTACCAATAATATTAAAAGTCTTTATGGAATATTATACAGGGTGTTAGGCTACTCCGTGTCACGTCACGAACTTTGCCGGTGAATTTCACAAACTCACACCTCCTAAGTCATAAAAAAAAGTTTGTATTAGCATATTCCGATTCTCAACCCTGTTGTAGACATTCAACAATTTATATCATGGTTTTCGTCAAAAATCTACTTAACTCCTGAATTATTTGTTTTTGGGGAAATCCAACAAAAAATTTTTTTGAAACTAGCATTACATTTCTTCTAGGGCTTTCAATTTAATTTTTTGTTAAAAAATAAATCTTTCAAAAACGAATAAATTTAAAATCTGTGACAAAACTAAATTTGCTATTTAGTTGGAAAAATTCACAGCAGAGCTTGGCAAATTTCATAACAACTTCGTTTAATAAGCTTTCTAGCAGTATATATTTTTCTTTAATTATATCAAACCAAAACACACAAATTTTATGCTTGATGGGAAAAAAGTGGTATCGGTGTGAATGTGGACTGGGGTTAATCTAGAAATTCAACATTTTGCCCAATTTATTTCCCAACTATGACTTAATAAAAAAGCACAAAAAGAAAGAAAAATTAAACAAAACACATAAATAAGAAACAATAAACATAGCGAACAACAATACAGAATTATAAAACCGTTTTTTTTTTTTTTTTAATGAATTTTGCAGTTTTGAAAGATTTAGTGTTTGTTACCAAAAATTAAATTGAAAGTTGTAGGATGTCTTATTAAAGGAAATTTAATGTTAGTTTCATTGCTTTTGTTTTGGATTTCTCCAAAAATGCATAGTACAGGAGTTGGTCATACAAACTTTTTTGCCAAGCTGGAAGTATGAAATTCGCTGGCAAAGGTTGTGATGTGAATACTCTTACCCTGCATAGAATGGAAAGACGGTCGTGGTCAAGTAACTGTCTAAGGTACATTCTTAACTCTACCCATCCTAGCCTAATTGATCATTAATGATCTTCAAGATTGGCGTATCATTTGCCTATGCTTTTGTCAACTTGTTCTGTGAGTACGTCTTGTGATTTAAAGTATATAAGTTGGAGTAATTGTTAATGTAAGGCCTATGTAAGCCATGGAATTTTGTACTTTTTATCATAGGCCATAATTCTGATGTTAACCCAGTAGGAAACAAAGGAACGTTTCCAAAATCATGGAAGATGTAGAAATACGAGAAAGTACTTTGAAAACAAGTGGGTAAGCTGCAGCATTGCCAAAAGCTAGGTTTGTCATAAATTTGGAATCAAGCCAACTGAATGAGCTTTTGAGAGACAGGGGGGGGTTGATAATGGAAGCTCCCAGGAATTGTATATTGCAGGTGAATTGTTCAGACCGCCAGGGTCATGACCAACCTCAAAGGAATTGAAGCAAGAAGGGCTTTCACTGAGCCAAAAAAAAGTGCAATAAACTGTATAGAGCTGCAGTGCTCATGGGGAACTGGTAGTATCTGGTATCCATCACAATAAGAAAGAAAAAAATTGGATCATGAGAAATCCCAACCTGTTTTTGGTAGCTTATGTAGGACAAATTGCCAGGGAGTGCCAAGAACCTTCTGAACAAATGGTCTTAACCAGGACAAACTCTGTGCAAATCGAAGTTGACAGTGTTGGAAATCCAGGCATTATTCTACACATCGTCAAATGTGTAAAACACTTATGTACAGACCTACCCACTTTCACTTTCATTTCCATTGTTAAAAAGCCAAGGTCAGAATTATTTCCTATCAACAGTAAATAAAGAGGAAAGGAAGGATTGACTGTGAGAGTTTGTTGATGGACCATTAGATGTAAAAGGGGGTGTTGGTGGCCGCAACGGTTTAGGCGTTGACACGGCGCTCATCACTGTAAGGTAAAGATCCCGGGTTCGAATCCAGTGGCTCTGCATGGGCGAAAAAAATGGGCTTTTTTTCAAAAACACCGGCACCCCGAGGGTTGATATGACCCTTGCTGTCGCGAACCCTCATTAAAAAAAAAAAATGTAAAAGAAGGACGAGCTTGGTCGGATTTCTGCAGGCAATCCAATTGCTACGACAAAAATATCTAATGGTGTGAATATGAAACAAGACATCGGATCTATCTAAGGTGGTAAACTTAAAAAAAAAATAGGTACACATTTTCTCAAGTAAAATAGAATAGATGTATTTTAAGTTTACATTAAATATTACAAAATATAAGGACTAATAAAAAAAGTTGAATCTTTCGCTAATTATTTACAAAAATTCCCTGTCCTTGGGTAGCTTCAATTTCCTGGAGCGTTTCTTTGGAAACCATCTGTGTTTGGTCGTGTACGTGATCTTCATGAGCTCTTCGCGTTCTACCTGGTCTAGGGCCGGTTTGAAGACCTTCATCGGCTGCGCCATCTTCAACACCTGGAGGGGCTTCGGAGCAGAAAGGGGCATCGGGGTGGTACACTCGTAAGGGAAACTTTTCTCGGGATGCCAGCAGACTATAGTCGAACCTTCGTCCGTCACGACGATCGGATCTTCGATCGTCCTGGACGAAAAGTTACGAACTGCCCTTGCCGCCGAATCCCATCTTCTGCCGCTGTTCAACAGTCTCACGACTAAAGACATGACCGACCTATGGTCCTTGTACCTATTGAATTGAATAATGAATATACTATAGTCCGGTTGGTATCTTAACTAGCACACTTGTTTTCTAAAGAACCTCCTGAGTAGTTTCGTGCCCAAATAACTATACATTATCGATATCGACATTAAATTGGTAATAATCGATGCAAGTCAATATGTATAATTTATCAGGTTTCCTGTATTACCTATAATTAAGTTATAAACCATATAGGTAATATCTATAATTAATAATAATAATTATTATTATTCAGAAATCGTAAGATGCGGTCTGGTGTGATGTAGGTTTCAGAAAAACGTTTTCTTTACCGTGTCACGTTCCGATCTTTATTGAGATCATCTTCAGGGCCTGGGATTTACAAACAACTAAATTAATTACCGATGTAGACTATGCAATCCAAAAGTGCACAAAAACAGAGGAAGAAAAAGACATAACACGATCAAAATGCATTAACACAGTAACAAATCACTTACACCTCACTACAAATCAATACAACAAATCTCAACTAACATACACCAAAACGAAAAATTTTCTCCAAAATAATCCTGACATGCTTGTTCTTTGTGCTGATAAAACAAAACAAACAGTAGCAATCAGCAAAAAGAGTGCAGGGAAAAAATTAACAAAATTATCAACGATACAAACACATACAGCACAATCATATCAGACCCTACACCTTCTCTCATCAAACAGCCAAACAAAATTCTCCAAGACACACTTAACAAAAAGAAATTGATGCATACACCTACAAATCACTTCAAACAACTCACCAATATAAATATTGGTTCTACCGGCTATCTGTTATCCACACATGTACCTGTTCATATAGTATAATGATTTTTTTTGAAGTCCTGATGAAGGCGATATATTCTGCCGAAAGCTCGACAAGAAAATAAATGTTTCTGTCTTCCTGACCTCATCCCCAATCTACCTTTTGGAAAGAAAAAAATATATTCACCAATATAAACATAAAACAGCAATATCTCACTGGCACTTTCAACACGACACGCAAGAATGGCACACTTACGCAGAAAACAAACACTTTGAGTGAGTAGAAATACTTTGATTGAATATAAAAAATATACATTTTTTGCATTGTATAAATTCACTTTTTTCCACATCCTACATGTATTTGTTAAATTTAAACTATGTTTGTAAATCCCAGGCCCTGAACAAAGTTCGAAACGTTTTATGAAATTGTCACTTATGTGTTTAAACTTTGAGCCAAATCTTGTCAGAAACTTGCCGATACATCTAGGAATTAAGCTCAACATATATTCTTATATTCATCAAGAAGAATGTAGTACTTCTAATAAAGGCATTTAATATATAATTTGTGACTGCTGAAGCATGCCTTGACTGAGCCAGTGAGGATAGTCAGACATGATGATTAGGATCTACCAAACCACTATTCAATTATGTTATAAATTATATTTAAATTATTAACAATAACATGCTAACATGAGAAATATACTATGTCATGCTTTACTTTTTGAGATAGTATTTTTTTTAAAAATGAGTCGTTTATTACCAAAAAATTCTTTTTTTGTAAACAAAATTATTGTTTAAAAGGAATATAATCGAGTACTGAATTAATAAGGCTTTCGATTGACAATGATCCGTTTAAGAAAATGACATTTTTCACATTTGTTTTTAATTTATCTCTTGATTTGACAGCTTCGGGCCAGACGACTTTGTCAAAATAGCCTTCAACGTCGGGTGGGTCGTATGTCCGAGTAAGGCGTCTCGCTTTGCACATGTCATAATCTAGATCTATATAAAACTTGTAATCGCATATGTCTGAAATCCTCTGAACGTCAAAGATTGTAAAACCCTCGATGAACAGCAGCCTCAGTTCACTCAGCTCGCTGAAAAATTTCAAAGATTCTCAAATCTCTTATATTAAATTCTCAAAGTATTTATACCTACATTTTCAGCACATTGTTTATATCCAGCACCATCTTATCCATATCGAGCGAAGTTAACAATTCCCAGTTGATATGACCTATTTCTGGTATCCACACATGTCTAGGATCTTCCACTGGCAAGAAATAATCGTCCTGCTTTATAAGCACGGAGTGTTTGAACTTTTTCTGCAAGGCTTTAGCGACACTTGTTTTACCGCTGTTCGTAATGCCGCAGATACCGACGACCTTCCAGCACATCTCATATGGTCCACAATGAGTACAATGTAAGAAGAGAAAGGCTCCCAATAAAGAACAAACCTACAGTACCGCAAACCATCAGAACATACCTTAAAAATATTCAGAATCAATAATAGAACAAAAAAAAGTACAGTATATAAATTCATTACCTAACTGGTGGGAAAAAAGATGCTAGAGCAGGGTAAAACGGCGTTACGACAACCCAAATTGTAAATATAAGGTACAACGTGCCAAAAACCGAGATAAGCAATATACCTAATAGTGTATCGTTCATTCATAAGAGTCGCACTCCTTTTCAAAATTAATAAAGTCCTCTTCGGTGAACGCAGTACCCTCTTCCTTTTTATTTTCAGCGGACTCAGATTCTTTCAAAGACCCCTGTCGAACCGAATATTCCAGTATCTATAAAAATGCATATAAATGACTACAATGAATCTCTGGAAATCCATAACCATCATTAGCCATTTCAGCTCAGGTGAATAACATAAAGTTCTTTTTTGTCATGAAACATCTTTAAAATCATAACAAAACAAATAGGTACCAGAGTAGAAAGGAAAGGGTCCATATCATCTTACCTTAATAACGTAAGTGCAGTGTCATTTGTTAGCTTTTCTATCCCTACTTCCTACCCCACCTCTTCAAAATCCAATGTACATCAACATCTCCCTGGCATTCTCAACACGACACACAATAATGACACACACAGAATACAAACACTTTGAGGCAGTACACAAATACAATAACACAAATACTTTGATTAAGTCTACAATTTCTATCATTGTATAAATTCATTTTTTCACATCCTACATGTATTTGTACAATATAAACAATTCACTACATTTCGTGGTCCGCTTGACCAATTAATATCATTTAAATAATTAAGGATTTTAGTCGAGATAAAAAGTCAGTGTCACGAGCAGGATTCGAACCCACGACCTTCAGCAAGGTACACCACTACTCTACAGCTATAGCTCAAGTGGTAGAGTAGCGGCGTATCTAGCCGAAGGTCATGGGTTTGAATCCCGCTCGTGCCACTGACTTTTTTATCTCAACTAAAATCCTTAATTAATTGAAAAATATAAATCTATTTATTTATATTTATAAATCCCAGGCCTTGAAGATGATCTTAGTAAAAATCGAAACATTGGCACAATAAAGAAAATATTTTTCTAAACTTATGTCACACCAGACCGCATCTTACTGAAATAATCATTAATTAACGGTCACTAAACACCACACATTACCAATCATTGTCATTAGTTCCTTTTTTCACAACACATATCTGTTCCTTTTATCTCATCGTAACAAATCCTTCTTCCAGAAACCAATAAAACAAAGAAAAAACTCATTCTCACAGTTTACCTTTCTTGCCAGGGAATCTTGTACGACCGGCCTCCTGAGGAGATTGAGCTTTTTATAATTGTCTTCCTGATTCTTCTTCTCCTTTACCAACTTCTTCCTGACCTGCTCTACAAACTTGACGTTCCTCTTTTTAACGTCGGCCACCCCTCTTGACGTCTTACCAGCCTTGTGATGTTTTGCAATACTCCTATCTATTTAAACAAAAAAAGGTAATAAAAAAAAAAAAATTAAAAAAATGACTTACCAGTGGATTCAGCGCTGCTTAATTCTAAACTCTTTCTCAATAAGGAAATAGACATTATTTTGACAAATCAAACATCAATAATTTATTGTGAAAGAAAACTGGGTGAAGCACATGGACGACGGACTTTGTTTATCAATGCTTACCACTGGGCACTGACCAAACGGTCATCATGATCAACGTCATTATGACGTTTCAGTAAATAGATAAAATTGTAACTAATTAATTATGTAATTACAATTTAGTAATCAGTAAAAAATTAGTTTTTTTAATAAAATCGATATAGATTTTTTTTTTGAACAGTGTAATTGAAAACTTTCAAGTGGTCCATAAAATAGTATACCAACTCTGGTATACTATTTTCGTCGTTTGAAAATAAAGTTAATTTGAAATGGTGTAAAATCAATACAATACCCCGTTTTTGTTGTTAAAATTAATTTTCACTTAGCCTAAGGTTTTGAATTTGCCAATTTTTTATTGTGAAAACTAATGAACAATCGAGTAAATACTACACTAAAATACATCGATATGAATATATATATATTTTTTTTTGTAAAACCTTCCCCCTGGTTTACCGCCCCGTAAATAAACGTGTTGTATCCGTATATTCCATAGTATCCAACCGCACGTGCTTTTGCTCGTCGTCTTATCCATAGTTTTTCCGGAAAATGGGCGAGAGCGATGAGATGGAGGTAGACCCGGCCGAAGGGAGTTCGAACAAAGTGAAAAAAAATGCGGCCAAGGGGAAAAAGGAGGTCGTCCCTCGACCGTACTTGCCGGGTATGCCCATGAAAAAGAACGAGGAACTAGTCTACGATCCATCCGCCTACCACATGCTCCACGAAGCTCAGACCGGTAACGAATATATAATTAATTGTTTAATTAATTATTGTAGTATATTGAAACCGATTTTTCTAGGTGCACCTAGCCTCAGTTTTGACATCATACCAGACGGTGATGGCGACAACAGGACGCAGTTTCCTCATTCGGCGTACTTGGTGGCCGGCACTCAGGCCGACAGACCAAATGGAAACAACTTGATTGTTATGAAGGTACTAACATTTCTAAGAATTCACTAATTTCGTGGTCCGCTTGACTAATTAATATATTACAATTAATTGAGGTTTTGAATTGAGATAAAAAAGTCAGTGGCACGAGCGGGATTCTAACCCACGATCTTCGGCTAGAGGGAAAATTCAAAAGGTGGAGTTGAGATGGGAAGTTAGTGTCCGAGTGGATCGAAGTCATGATAGCTCAAGTGGTAGAGCAACGGCGTATCTAGCCGAAGATCGTGGGTTCGAATCCCGCTCGTGCCATTGACTTTTTTATCTCAACTAAAAACCTTAATTAATTGTAATTTCTAAGAATGTAAAGCTGTTGTGCAAGGGATGACCACCATAATTGATCAGACGATTTTCTTTGATTTGCTGTATTATTATTCAATTCTGAACATTATTTCAATTCAATTAATTAATTTTTTTAGTTGAGATAAAAAAGTCAGTGTCACGAGCGGGATTTGAACCCATGACCTTTGACTTGATTCGCTGCTACTCTACTACTTGTGCTATCGTGACTTCGATCCACTCGGGCACTAATTTCTCATCTCAACCCCACCTTCGAATTTTCCCTCCTTTTTGCCATTTTTCAAATGTGTAATCTATTTGTTGGCCACGGAGAACTTTAGTGAAGATACACTTCATTTTTACTTGTTAAATTCACTAGTTTTCGTGGTCCGCTTGACCAATTAATTAAGGTTTTTAGTTGAGATTAAAAAAGTCAGTGTCACAAGCGGGATTCGAACCCACGACCTTTGGCTTGATCCGCTGCTATGAAATGGCCACGGAGAACTTTAGTGAAGGTACACTTCATTTTTACTTGTTAAATTCACTAGTTTTCGTGGTCCGCTTGACTAATTAATATCTTTCAATTGATTAAGGTTTTTAGTTGATTAAGTGCCCGAGTGGATCAAAGTCACAATAGCTCAAGTGGTAGAGTAGTGGCGTATCAAGCCGAAGGTCGTAGGTTCGAATCCCGCTCATGACAATGACTTTTTTATCTCAACTAAAAACCTTGATTAATTGAATGATATTAATTGGTCAAGCAGAACACGAAAAATAGTTAATTTAATGAATTAAAATGAAGTATATTTCATACGTCGCCGAGAATCAAATAGATTACACGACATTTGAAAAATGGCAAAAAAGGAGGGAAAATTCAAAAAGTGGGGTTGAGATGGGTTGTTAGTGCCCGAGTGGACCGAAGTTGCGATAGCTTAAGTAGTAGAGTAGCAGCATATCTAGCCGAAGATTGTGGGTTCAAATCCCGCTCGTGACACTGACTTTTTTATCTCAACTAAAAGCCGTAATTAATTGAAATAATTCAATTTTTTTTTGTAAGGTGTTGGCTGAAATGAAAAAGCTATTGCCATGAGAAGGATTCAAACCCACGACCTTCGGTTAAATACACCACTATTCTACCACTTGATCTATCATGACTTTGATCCACTTGGACACTAACTCCCCATCTCAACCTATAACCTTTCGAATTTTTCCTCTTTTTGCCTCTGCCTCTCTAATCATTATATTTTATAATTTGTTCTTTAACACGTTGGTATCGACACCTAGCTGGATTTGTTTAACGGTTTTGAACGACAACGGTCATTTTGACCCACTTTCAACTCTTGCACTTCGATGAAAAAAGATTCTTTCTTACTTTCTTTTCTGATTTGAAGGTCGAGAATTTAGTCAAAACGCACAAGAATGAAGATGAATCATCATCGGAAAGTGAAGACGAAGATGAAGAAGGGTTCAAATTGGAAAAAAATAACGAACCCTTTATGAGGACGCAATTGATCAAACATTACGGCTGTGTCAACAGGATTAGGGTGACTTGTCATTAATTAAGTTTTATAATACAGTGCTCTCTCCTGAACTGATTGCTGCATGGTAATATTTAAATTACTGAAAATTTTGGATTACTGACTTTAAAAAAATACATAAATTTGTACAAAAATCAATTTTCAACACAACACTTTATTATTATTGCATGCATAAACTGCCATTTTTTAAAAATAATCATTTAAAAAAATTCTTCATTGTTTCTTATCCTTTTTCACTAATTTTTAAGCAGTACGTATATTGTACTTAAGAGAAGAAAAATTTTGACTGTTTAATATTTCATTTTTTTGTAGTGAGGGAGATGAGTGATTCACTGAAGATATTCTCAAAAATTTGTATATTCTAAGCTGATTTTGGTCTTTTGTAAGAACCCCCCTCTCTCTCTTTTCTCTTTCTCTCTCATTCACTCACTCAACTGTTCCACTCTCTCTTTCTCTGTTACTTTACCTTCCGCCAAATAATGTTTCATTTGTTTCCTTTGTAACTCATTTTTTGAATATTTTTACAGTTTAGAGTACCAAAGTTTAGGGAGAGCACTGTACTTTATGATAAACGTTTATAAGCGCTAAATTTCATTCGGTTTTTATTTGTTTCAGACAACATTGATAGATGGAAAAGTATTGGCGGGAGTTTGGTCAGAGATGGGCAAAGTGACCGTTGTTGATATAAGCCCGCAGTTACAGTGCCTAGTAGATCCTACGAATCCGTTGAACCAGAGGAATAAAAAAAAAGGTGTCGGAGATCCTATCAAGCCTTTGTACGTATTCACTGGCCATCGGGGAGAAGGGTACGGTATTGACTGGTGTCCCACGCAGCAAGGTTAGAACTACATTTAATTTAAACTTCCTTGATGAAATACATTTACACACATATAATTTAAAATTTAAATGCATAAAACCAAATTAAATTTTTTTTTGTTATAAATAATATTTATTTAGAAATCGTGAGATGCGATCTGGTGTGATGTAGGTTTCAGAAAAATATTTTCTTTATCGTGCCAACGTTTCGATCTTTATTGAGATCATCTTCAGGGCCTGGGATTTACAAACATTGTTTACATATTACAATTACATTTTGGATGTGGAAAAGTGAATTTATACAATGCAAAATATATTTTTTTATATATTCAATCAAAGTATTTCTACTCACTCAAAGTGTTTGTCTTCTGTGTAATTGTGTCATTCTTGTGTGTCGTGTCGAGAGTGCCAGTGAGATTTTGCTATTTTGTGTTTATATACATTGGATTTTGAAGGGGTGGGGAAGGATGTCGGTATAGAAAAGGCATTTTTGTATAAGGCGTCGGCTTCTTTGAGGTTAAAAGAGCCGACGAAGGGAAAAATGTGTTGGTAATGGTTCAGCCAGATTATCCGTTCTGGATTATATAGAAAGGGATAAATAGGAAAAGGAAAGCTGAATTGTTGGTAAATTAGACTATGTGAAAAATATTTGATGTGTGGACTGTAATGTAATGATATAGTATGTTATCTGTATTGAATGTGATTAATGATATTGGCGTAGCTGCGATTGAGTTTGCATGTATCTGTTCTGTAATTGATGCTGTTTATCTCTGTTGATACCATTTGTTTTGTTCTGTATGTAATATTTTTGGATTTTTGAAGTCAAAATTGTGTTGGTGTTCAAAATGATGGGTAGGGAGTGCTGTAGGATTTTGCTTGGGTTTTTTGCAATCATAGATATGTTGCTTTACTCTTTTGTCCAGATATTGGGATGTAAGACCAATGTAAGTTGCCAGACAGTTTAAACAGTTGATCTTATAGATTACGGCAGATTTATTTGTTATTGGTGTGAGATCTTTAATTTTGGAAAAAAGTGTTTGAATTGTTTTATAATTTTTGACGGCTATTTTGAAGTTATCGGACAAGAGAAATGTGTTTAATTTGTGTTATTTAGGCCTTGGATAAATGGTATGGAAATGTATGCTGGTTTGTTTGTATTCGATAGATTTAATGTAGTATTATTAGTAATAGTGGATGGTGTTAGTGTTGAGTTGTAATTGTTGATTATTCTGTTAATTATGTGTTTAGGGTAGAGATTGTTATGGAGGATCTGTTTGTATATCTTTATGTTTTTGTGGTGGAAGGATTCATGGCTTAAGGTAATCATTCTGTGAAGTAAAACTGAAAACCTCTGAAACCTACATCACACCAAACCGCATCTCACGATTTCTAAATAAATATCGATTAACGGTCACTAATCACCACACAGTTATAAATTAACTTTTTTTAGGTGTTCTCGCAACAGGGGATTGTAAGGGTGGTCTCCATATCTGGACTCCGAGAGGAGAAGGTTGGTCGGTGAACAAGAACTCCCTCGTCGGCCACACGGATTCTGTTGAAGATCTTCAGTGGTCGCCGAACGAACCCTCTGTAATTTCTTCTTGCTCTGTTGACAAATCGTAAGCAATTATATTTAAACATTCATTATTTATGTGATATCTCTTTGAGTGAGGATGATGATGGCATTGGGTATTTTTTGATGGTCCTGCTCAGCCTATTCTTGTTGTCTTGGACTTTCAGGTGTTTCAACACCTTCAATGCTAAGTGCTTACTAGTGCATTCACCGTCATCTATACCCATCTCTAACTTACCACTGAAGATGTCCAAAATTTGTCTGGCAGACCAAAACGTGGACAGCTAGATGTGCAAATGACAAAACTAGTCATTATTTATTTAATATGACTAGTCCGGATGTTTATTCTGTACATAGAGATAAAGTTCTTACACTCAATTAAATTTAGATGTAATATCAAAGTAGCATTGATTTAACTGGAAAGAAATGTCCCATTTATGTTGTTCAAATTTGCACTTTCTAATGAAATTCATGTTGACCTTTTAGGACCAATGCACATATGTGTTTAGTATCTGGTCCCATTCTGGGTTCACACTTGCAATCTGAAGTACTGGTAGTATACACACAGCAGCCACACTGTCCAATGGATCCATTTTGCGTCATAACAAAATGGTATCACTCTGTTGTATTTGGCATGACTTTCTACAGCCGTATTGAATTCTTCTTGCTTCTAATTTCAATTCTGAATTCTCGTTGCAGTCGTAACTGCTTCTAATGACAGATGAAATTGATGTTGAGTTATTTATACAATAAATTAAAAAATATATGTTTCTTGATGACAGGTTTTTTCATACTTTGTTGAAGTTGTAAGGAACAGTCAAGAATGTGATAGTTTAGAAAAACACTTTTTTTTTTTTTTGCCGACATTTTGATTTTTATTCGGGTCATGACCTACATAAATGTATTCTCTGTACACAACGTGAGCAAAAATGGAACATTTTCCATGGTAAATGTCCAACCCGTTTTGTTGACAGTATTCATACTGGTGGTATTTGAAGCATGTCAGTTAATAAAGTTCCACAGCAAGACCGGACGTCGAAAAACCACATGTGCGCATCGGGCCTTGCAATTTCTCAAAAAATTTTATCATCCTTGAAAAAATTTGTTTTATTTTTGTTATATACAGAATAAGGATATGGGATACAAGAGACAACCCTAACAGCGCTTGTAAGCTAGCGGTGAATGATGCCCATACTTCAGATGTAAACGTTATATCATGGAACAAGAAAGAACCGTTAATCCTTTCAGGCGGTGATGACGGTTATATTCACGTTTGGGATTTAAGGAATTTCAAGGTTTCTGATTTTCTTTAAAAAAAAAAATAAATAAATAAATATGTAAATGTAACCATTTTCAGAGTCAAAGCACCGTCGCTAGCCTGAAACACCACAAAGATTCCATAACAACTGTTGAATGGATGCCGTTGGAAGGGTCCATCTTTGCAAGCGGTGGCGAGGATGATCAGATCACCATCTGGGATTTGGCCGTCGAGAGGGATGAAGCGGTGAAGGAGGAAGACGTGAAGGTACAAATTTTGGTTCATATCCATATCAAAACCACTAACATATGTTCTTGTTGTTCAGGATCTACCGCCACAGCTTCTGTTCATTCACCAAGGCCAGAAGGAAATCAAAGAATTACACTGGCATAAGCAAATACCGGGGATGATAATAAGTACATCAAACACAGGATTTAATTTTTTCAAAACTATATCTGTTTGAATTTAATATATTTTATTTTATTGAATTGTGTGTTTATTTTCATAACGAATCTCTCTACAAGCTTCTGTGCTGCCGCACTTCTTTTTTAAACAGTAATCTTGAAAAACCCATGATTTAATACATAAAAATCATGCTTTGCCTACTTCTTAACACTTGGTCAGAAGGCATAAATATCTAAAACTGTGAGGTTGTGATGTAACAGAACATTTATAAAGTAAGAAAAATTGTGTTAGTATTAAAATAATAATAATAATACCAGTATATTCTTGGTTAAACTAATATGTGGGTTCGGTGAAGTACACTATTCACTCAGTGATATAAACGAGCTAAACATTCAAAAGAATTATTTTTTTATAGCTAGTGAACAACTTTGGGATTAAATGCATAAAGTTTTAATTTTCTTATCATTAGCACGGTCTGTAATAACTATGAAACAAAATGTGTTTCCCCTTAAATGGCACGATCTTATATTACATAAATTAAAGCAGGAGTTTCTCCTATAATACATTTATTCTTAGAAAACAGAACACAATGGCTAGTAAGACACCGCTGCAGTGATCGGAAAGGATCTTCTCATCCCAAGACATTTCTCCCTGTCGATGAAGATGCTGTTGACTTTGGTGTGGAGGTCGGCCTCGAGCGTCGACCGGGTCATCAAAAGTTGCTGATGTTGGGCCTCTGCCTCTTGCAGCTTTCGGTGGAGAACTTCGATCGTATCGCCGATCTCTTGCACCTCTTGTATGAGCCTGTTGGAATATCGAATATGGATTATTTATACAAAATGGTCAATATTATCCCATTTATTATTTGTAGTTGGTTGTAACGAGCCAAAGATTTCATAAGTTTCAATCAATACTATTACCAAGATGGTTCATGTATTAGTAAAACTTGAAAGTTCTAATGTAGTAAACTTTAAAAGTTTCTTATAGGAATGTGCTCACATTCAGTAAAGAGCAAACATGTACACAGGGTGAGTCATTTTTTGACGCACCATTGGAAAATCAATGCGGGTGCGTTTAAATCTGACTCGAGGCTTATTTCCTTTGATTAATATGTTAATAAAAGAAAGTGAGTCAATTTTCGGTGCACCATAGGAAAATCAAGGTTGGTGCGTCTAATTATGACTCGGCACATTTTATTTTGTTAGCCTTGTACCAAAAAATAGGCGAGTCACTTTTCGACACACCATTCGTTACAAATTAGTTTTAGTAGGTTGGAAGGAAAATAAACAAAACCAATATTATTAAAACATTATTCAAACACAATGTAAAAATTAAAAAAAAAAATTCTTCACAAATTAATCTGATTAAGGTTTAAGAGTATTTTTTTCGTCCGATCATCGTTTTACGATAGACTAGGCTACTGTGTTGCAGCAAATGGAGGTCTGTTTGAACAATTATTGTAATGATTTTGAACATTTTTGATTTGCTAACAAAAGAGATTGTTACATTTATTTAATTTTTTTACTTTACCAGAAAAAATACTCTTAAACCATAATCAAATTAATTTGTTAAGAATTTTTTTTTTAAGTTTTTACATTGTGTTTGAATAATGTTTTAATAATATTGGTTTTGTTTATTTTCCTTCCAACCTACTAAAATTAATTTGTAACGAATGGTGCGTCGAAAAGTGACTCGCCTATGTTTTGGTACGAGACTAACAAAATAAAATGTGCTGAGTCATAATTAGACGCACCAACGTTGATTTTCCTATGGTGCACCAAAAATTGACTCACTTCCTTTTTTTAATGTTAAAATCAAAAGAAATTGGCCTTGAGTCAGATTTAAACGCACCCACGTTGATTTTCCACTGGTGCACCGAAAATTGACTCACTTTCTTTTATTAACGTATTAATCAAAGGAAATAAGCCCGCGAGTCAGATTTAAACGCACTCGCGTTGATTTTCCAATGGTGCGTCAAAAAATGACTCACCCTGTATATATGGTAGGCATAGAAACCCAACAGGCAATTTAGCCCCCAATAAATAACAAAAGTCAAAGAATTATTCAATGATAGAAGGTTGTCTCAGATCATGTCAGCCAGAGGTTCATCGACAAGAGACCAGGGTGCTGTGCATTGCAAACAACTGGGAATTGTGAATTGTTGCGTGGCCAACCATGACCAACTTTTAGAAAATGTCCAACAGTTTTTGCTTTTCCTTTCCTCCCCCACTGTTGTGGGGAAACCAATGTAAAAGGGGACCATTTGAAAAGCAAATGCATTCAATGGGAGGTCATTGTGAAGTGGAGGGCTAGTCAACCATGATGTGACTGTACAGGGCCAAAAGGAGTCGATTCTCAAAGAATAGAGTTGCAGGATGAGTCACCTGTCGAGGATCTAGGAAGCTGTGGAAAAAAAGATCATGGAAAACACTGAAGAAGGTGAAAGCTGATGTTGGCTAGCATCGTTTGTAGTAAGTCCTCTCATAAATAAGCTCATCCCCAAATTGAATGAGAGCGAATCATGACTAATTATTGAGGTATTTTTTGTGCATAACCTTGCAATTAAATTACAAAACGTACCGATTTTGTGCAAAATCTTTGCACAGTTCGATATCTTTACGGTGAGCTCGTGCTTCTAATCTTGTATGTGCGACTTTCATTGGATTTGTCTTATCCATTATTGCTTTTCTTAAGAGCTCTAAACTTTTTTCAATGTCGAATATCTCTTGCTGGACCTGAAACAGAAATTTGTGAGAAATGGTCTGGGTGTTTAGTATGATCGATGTAATCACTTTATGCAGATGGAGTTGAAGCCGGTTTTTCACTTCGAGTACTTCGTTTGACCTACGTGCCAAAGCTGCATTCGTATCGTTCCAGCAATTCCAAATCTCGTTAGCACAGGCGTTAATAAGATTTGCAGCATCAGACCTCAACTGGGTGGAGATCGAGCGTTCATTTTTTGATCTCAGCGCTATCCGGTTAGAATTCTCCGACCAAGTCTCAGGTGTCGTAAGCCTGTAAATTGACAACATGTAATATTTGAATGTTATGGGAAGCAGCAGTTCTTATATTACGTGTTATCATATTTATCAATCCCACCATAGTAGTTTATCCCTCTTGAAAAATTATTTAACTGGTGGCATACATTATCAATGGCCAGGGCAGATTCCTTCGATCTAACATCCGTCTCGAGTTCATGTTGAGATGCTCTATTAGATCGTAGCTAAAACAAATACAAAATCATCAAATATTTATGCGAAATAATTAAAATATTACATGCCTGTTCATCAATTTTTTTCTTCATTTCTAAAAGCTTTTCCCGGCAGGAATGAAGATTTTCTATTTCTTTCAATAAGTACTGCTCGGGCTGATCATGTACGAGGTCAATCCCCTGGCGGTGTTCCCTGTGGTACAGACACTCTTGGGCAATGTGCAGAGGCGGTTCGCAGTCTTGCAGCGCTTTCTCAACCGACCGCTTTGTGTCCTGAAGAAGGTTCGATTCTGTAACAACCTTCTCAAGTTCGTTGGCCACTTCATTCCGCCAGAAGACGGTGTCTGTGAGGCGCTCTCCCAACCTTCGTCCTGTGTCTCTTTGCGCCGCTGTAGTTTTCTCATCAGTCATTCTTATTTTTTCCAAAGGAAAGTTTTTAATTTAAAGCCTTTTTTTTTATAAACAAAGCGAACGATACCTCATTATCCGAATCGCATCAGATCTAAGCCTTTCTGAGAAATTCCTGTTAGTATCTGCCTCATTATAGTTGGAAATAGAGGCTTGAGACCACTCGTACGGAGTGTACCTAGAAAATTATTTTGTAAAAATTGCTAACATCCTAGTTTGCCTATCCTTGCTGATTTAGATTGTCAGACAGGTTTCAGCATTCTGCCATCTTCAGTGGGGATGATTATTAATAAAAAATTAATGTTGGTGAGAGGTCATTAATGATATTTGAGAATGGTTATCCATCAAACAAAATAATTTTGGTTAAGAATGGACACAGATAGTTTGTGATGGTTAAGGTTGGTAACAGCATAAACAATTTTTATGATGCTATACATCATTACATTTAAGTCTGGTTACTAATGGTAAAATTGTAATTTATAAAATTGTTTATGCTTTGTCCATAAATATTTTATTTGATGGCCACAGCCTTCAAACCGGCAGTGAGGGGAGACAGATGAGGACAAAGCTACGGGTTCATCACGCAGCAGACATGAAGAAGAAATTTTACACACAAAAACTTATGTTAACGAATCTTCTTTGTTAGAAATTTACCTGGTATAAAGGGCAGCTCTAGCTGCATGGGATGGATTTCTGTCGAACCCCGTCACAAGGTTGGGAAACCTGAGTGGTTCGGTCGCCATGCCTTTGGGGGTGAAACAGGGATCCATGACCTGATTTGTAATTGTGTTCGCACCTCTGCAATCAAAAGCATTACATTTTTACTCCAAAAAAATTCACGTTACAACTGTATAAAAATATTCTCACAATGGATTTAATTCTACAGTCTCATAACCGAGCGTCGGCCTCCATGGGTGAGGCCTCGGTGTATCATAAAATGACGCGGTCTTCTGCCCGACCAACGGGCCGTTCAATGGTTCCATGCATGGCTGCGCACCGGCCGCACTCCACGGTTGAAGTTGCTGTAGACACATTTACAATTTGAAGTTACAAATTTTTTTTTTTCGCATGGAAAAAATCTACTTACAGTGTACATGACCGTCTTCCCAGACATTTTTTTAAATTGTATTTCACAACACAGATAATAATTTTAAACAATTTTGCACAAATCCAAAGTTTTTTTGCCAAAATTTGACTCCAGCACACAATAGTGTGTTTGTTTTTTACTTTCAGCTGTTCGTATAAACAATCTGTTCGTTTTGTAATTTTTTACATTCTAAATTGTTTAAAAAAATTATATACGTCTCTTCGTTCCACATAAATAAAAAACACTTATAGTTTCTCTCTTTAAATTTTTATTTTTTCTATTGTAATTCAAAAGTAATGTCTCTCATTAATCTGAAACCTTAGCACAGCTTAAGAATGGTAGACTGTGCACGCTCCTCCATATAATAAATGAAGGATGACTACCGTGTAAAATATTCATTAGCTGATCCAGGTTGAAGAAGATACTGGCTTTGAGGAGAAAATTGCAAGAATCTGGGAAGTATATAAGGAATCATCATTGTCCTCATTTCCAGGTTGATATGATTATATATGTGGTGACGCACTACAGAAATCTTCTTCCTCCCAGGAACCGATAACATATTTACGGCAAAATTGACCGCCATACCATCTGTGCTGAATGAGATCAGGCAGATCAACCTCAACCAATTCTGCACAGACTTGCTCATCACGGTCTTGGCCATCTGTAATATATTCTCTATTGACCCGCTAATCTTGACAATACAAAAATTAAATTCATGAAGTAAAGAAATTAAAAACAAAAAAATATTGCCTGGATTCTAGGCCATGTCAGCATAGAAGGTCATCAGACCAACTCTAGGACTCCTGTAATCTGCAGATGACAAAAAATTATATATAAAGTTATTCGTGGGAAGATTGGCAAAACCACCAGGTTAATGACCTGGTCATTAGATAAATGGTGACCACTAGATAAAATTGGCAGTCAAACCTTGGGCCACGGAAAACATAGACAAATGATGGTGATGAAACGATTACGAATTGGCCACACCAGTCTAACGCATGGGCATCTAATAAACAATAAACCATGCAGGTCAAAATGGCTGTTAAAGAATTATTAGTAGAGCGTAAACAGCACCACATAGAACAAAGTGTCTCTTGTTCATGAATATCAAAAACATTAAAAAGTGGATAAATGCATACGGTTGCAGTTGATAGTTTAACACACTTAGTTTTTCTCATCTAGAATGATTTATTAGTGTGAATGTTTGGGTAATGATTTATGGCGAATTCACGGTCTCTATAGACCTACCAACCTAGGTTAATTTTATATAACTTTTTTTAGAATTATTGTATAGCCCAGTTTTTAATTGTATATATGATAAGTTTCTAACCAATTTGTTTGTATTTATTAACATGAATGATGGCAGGTCGTCAGCGGAATATCTAACACCCTTCAAAACTTAGATTAGGTCACTTTATACTTTCATAGATTTGTAGAGGAGGTGCAGAGCCTTTTCACCACAGACTAATTAAGAGCCCCAAAAGTTGCATAAAAAATGTAAAGTCGCCCTGGAAAGTTATATTTTGTTAATATTTTAAGTATGTTGGAGTGAAGTTTTATGTTAAATAAATAAATATTATCGGCAGACAGATTGTACTATGCTTTGTAAATAATCATACAGCTATATTCATGGAAATAAAATGTATTGAAAAAATTAATTAATTAAAAAACAGAAACAGAACAATTGGAAAAAAAATTAATTGTAAATCATGGTTTGAGAATGAGGCTGAATTATTGGTACTTGGTACGTTCCAACAGATAGCACTAGGGATTACCGTTGTCATTAGTGACATACCATAACCAGAGTGTACCCTCAAAAGCTAAGTCTTTGAACAGTTATGATAATTATATTTTTATATTGTCTTCAATTTGTTTCAATCTGTCAGTAATCAGTATAAAAAAAACCTTGAAAAGAAAGATTTTCCGTAATGGATGACAAGCCTGATTCAGCTCCAGAACGTAAAAAAATCACATTACAGTAAATATATACAAATATATATTTGTATTGTTCGATCAGATTGCCCCGGTACGAAGAGCAGTAACGCTGGCAAGGCTTCAACCTGTTCCGGCTGCCCAAACCAGTCGGTATGCTTATCCGCTGATGGAAAGTCGGCCGATCCGGGTAAGTCGATTTCAAATTTATCATCGTACATACCTTGCTGAAGAACACTTTTGCTTCAAGGCGAAGAACTGGTCAAAGCGAAGATGTCGACGATTCAGAATACGATACTCGTCCTGTCAGGGAAAGGAGGCGTTGGGAAGAGCACTTTCACAAACCTCCTCGCGAGGACGCTTGCTTCGACTGACACTGATACAAAGGTGGTGATATAATATAACATAATTTAATTAAAGAAAACCACATAAATACAATACAAATTGTCCTTTTTAAGCCAACTCCAGTCTGTAAACAATTGAGCAATGTTTTGTAACAACCAATGTAAAATTACAGAATGGAGAATGTTCCAAAATTTTTATAGGGCGTAGGAAAGACTATTTTTAGAGACAATCATTAAGGTATTAAGATGTCCACTTTCTTATCAATGTCAACCCGTTATTTTTTATATATTTTTAACATCCCATAAATAAGTTGTTCTATCCTTTTTTTTTTTTTTTTTAAAGATGGTTCCTACTCACATTAAGTCATGCATATGGTCGGGAACATTAGAGGATCTCAAAGAATTCCTCCAACTAATTAATTCTCTACACCGTAATATAAATTTCACATTGGAAATTAACAAAGATGGTTGTTTGAACTTTTTAGACCTAAAATTGTCCATAATAAACACCTAATAGAAATAGACGTATATAGAAAACCCACAACTACAGACACTATGATTCCAGCGGATTCATCCCCCCGTGTTCCCAAAAGGCTGCTGGTTTCATTTGGCTCATAGACCGTATGTTAAAACTTCCATTAACACCTACTAATTATAAAAAAGAATTAGAAACTATTAAAACCACAGCAAAAAAACGGGTATCTAGAAATATTTATTGATAGGTTGCTAGTTAAAAGAATTAAAAAAAAAAAAAAAAAAACTTTAAAAGAGTCAACAATAGGACTCAGCCACCCCACCATAAATGAATCCAAGGTTTCCATTGTTTGCCATACATTGGTGAATTATCAGAAAAAATTAGTAAAATTTTTAAACAGGAAGGTTTTAGAATAGCTTATAGCAGTATGTGGTCACTAAAAAATATCCTCTCGAAACCTAAAGACAAGGTAGACAACTTGGCAAAAAGCGGGGTTTACCAACTCAATTGTAATGACTGTAATATTAAATATATAAGTCAAAGCGGCAGAGAAATAAAAACGAGAGTAAAAGAACACTTGCCTAAATCGAGCAGACTTGACATTTACGGACCATCTAAAAGAAACAAAACATAATTTCAATTCAAATTTAAATACAACAGTGTTCCATAGTTTCAACAAAGGGAAAGAACTAGATTGGTTTGAGAAAACTTACTGTGAGTAGGAACCATCTTTTTTAAAAAAAGGATTGAACTCCACACTCATTCCATCATTCATAATTTCTATTAAGTTGTTCTATATGTGTTCGTTTTAAAAGACTTTATTGTTTTCTGGTGATTGGTTATTTCATACCTTGATTCTAATGAGAGAAAATTGATCCGTTTGTAATTTTAGGACCAATTGGGCGTGTATATTATGGGTCTGACAACTTTACAATATTTTTTTGCAATAATTTTCATATATATCAACTACAGTGGCAGAGTGGTTAGGCATCTGACTCATACACTCCATGCTAGTGGTTCTGGGTTAGAATCCTGACAGGGCCAGGCTCCGAAAATTTGGTACGGAATACTCTTCCTAAGCTTTCACGAATTCTAGATCTGTCGGTGTTCAGTCAGTTTTTACGTAGTTTCCCACCTCACATGCTGATCACTAATCCCACTTAAGTTTAACGATACAAAATTTCTAGAAGCTAGATCTTTGAAAAATTTACAAGTGAGAAACAAAGTTGAAAGCAACAGCATTGTTCAGGAATGTTATTTACAGGCTGGATGCTTTAAAAGTGATACAGTAACACAAAGCCCCTTTTGATTCCTCTTAAGCACAGGAAAATTAATTTTTAAACGTCCAGCATTTTTAAAAAAAGTTCAAATCTAATCAAACAAAATCAATAATGCAATTAACTTAAAAACAGTGGACAAGAGAATTGCAAACAGAGAAAAAATTCTGATAAATAAGCTTTGTGTTTTAAAGTCTGCCTTTAATCACTTGTCAAGAAATACTTGATAAACCTTTTTTAAACTTTACCTAACTCCTGGAAATTGCCAGTGCCAGTATTGTCGTATCGCCGGCGAGAATTGTAACAGGCTGTGTCTTGATTCTGAGGCCTAGTTTGTATTGATTGATCTTTGTCCTGTCACTGGGTTACTCTTGACCCGGTATGCTTTCAATCAATAAATTTGAGAACTTTTATTGACAAATAACTTTTTTAAATTTTATTTTATTTAACATTTTTTCCCCATTTACATTCCTTTACTAAAGAGTAAATAAAACAGAAAATTTACATTAAATAGTTCAATTTACTGTTAAATTATTATTTCAAGGTTGCTGTTCTCGACATCGACATTTGTGGTCCTTCGCAACCTAGGATGATGGGAACAGTTGGTGAAAAAGTCAGTTAAAATATTGTTATTATATTTGTCCAAATGTATAAAATTTAAATTAAATGTTTTAAAGGTACACAAAAGCGGTTCAGGTTGGTGCCCTCTGGTGAGTCGAACGTTGTCTTTGTCATTTTTTAAATTATACAAATATAAAATATGAACGTTTTTCAGTACATTGAAGACAATTTGAGTGTAATGTCAGTCGGATTTCTTCTGTCGTCCGTCGAGGACGCTGTGATCTGGAGGGGGCCCAAGAAAAACAGTAAGTTTATTTCTCTTTCGAATGCGTTCATTTATCTTGGTTAATATTGATAAAGTTTCTACCCTTACCACATTGTATTTTCTTTTTAGTGTTAATTAAAAAATATATATATTCACTGTTGCAGTTACACTTTTCAAAGTGTTAAATACAAAAATTTTTAGAAACAGAGAGATTTTTATTTGGCTGAAACTTCAATCTAAACAAATTTGGCATTTTGTGAGAAGAGCATTCCTGCTTCATTAAGACCTTACAAAGTCCCTAGCATTTGATAGAGAAGTAATTTTGAGATTTATCCTTGACCACACTAGTTATAGTTCTGTAGTTTGGTTGTTTAATCTGTAAGGCAAATTTCACCATCCTCGGTGATGGGTTATTTTTTCACAACCGTAACCAGTCATAACTGACTAACCCAACTATCTCAATATCAGCTGTGTAAATGACAAAACTACTTCAGATGCTAAATGACTAAACTGTAGAGAGACTATTATTAAATTGATATTAAAATTGTTTGCAGCAATGATAAGGCAATTTTTGTCTGAAGTGGATTGGGATGACCCGCTTCACTATCTGATACTTGATACGCCACCGGGAACGTCGGATGAACACATCTCTTCAGCGAGGTACCTGTCCAGTGCAGGAGGCCCTGTTTTCGCCGTTGTCGTCACCACCCCTTCTGAAGTCTCACTGGCTGATGTAAGGAGAGAAATATCGTTCTGCGTAAAAGTGGGCATCAAAATCCTAGGCGTGATTGAAAACATGGCTGGTTTCGTTTGTCCTAAATGCCAGGTATTATTAAAAATAAACAAATAAAAAGCATCGTTTATGTTATTTTTATTTAAAGGTGAAATCGGACATTTTTCCATCTGACAATGGCGGAGGAGCTAATATGGCGTCGGATATGGGCATCCCGTTTTTAGGTTCCATCCCATTGGATCCTCTTCTGGCAAGAGCTTGTGACGAGGGACAAGATGTTGTCAAATCGATGGCAGACTCGGAAACAATAATCGCCGCACAGAAAATCAAAACAAGTATTTAATAATTTTCTAAAATAATAACTGTGTATTCATGTACAATTTTTAATTTCAGGAATCCTTGAAGAAATCGATAAAACAAGAAGATTATAAGTGAGGAAGTTAGAAGTGAGGAATATACTTATATATTTATAGTTGAACAAAAAAAGCTATTTTTATTATGTTAAATTTTGTAATTGATTAAACAATTACATATTGCAGTTGTCGCCTATTTTACATCAAATCCTCTTTTACAGTATTAAATAATTTAAAAAATAAGCTTCCTCCTTTATTTGTAATTGACTTTTTCAGAAGGCGATTATATGGAAATTAGACTTTAATTCTGAGAGTTTATATACGATAAGGACTGCCATCTGATTTTTTGAAATTGCAGTTGTTTGATTTTTTGTCCATGTAATACAGCCAAAACTATTCGGTTGCAAGGTATGCTCTCATAAGGGGTTCGTTTTTTCAAACAGATGCAAGCTGGACTTTAGAAAAATTAGCTTCGTTTTGTACTCTAGAGTTCGGGAGAAGATGAAGGACGAGAATAAGAAGCAAAATAAAAATGTTTGGCTTCATCTGAAGTGCATGGAAAAAAGGCAGTTCTAGATGTTGTACATCTAGAACGTGCTCATCATGCAAGGTAAAGGTCCTGGGTTCGAATCCAGTGGCCCTGCATACGAACCCGACATACTTACAAATGTTTTTTTTTTTTCAAAAACACCGGCACCCTGAGGGTTTATATGACCTCTGCTTTTGCGAACCCTTGTTAAAAAAAAAGAAAAGATTAGTTGAAAATTAGAAAGTGCTCGCTTTCTAATACAAACTAAGGCACTCCAAACTGTTAAAATATCAAGTCAGAATTTTAAATGAAACATTGGGTGGGGAGGAGGGAGTGAGCGAGAAAAAGAAAAGAGAGAGTGAATGAGTGAGTGAGAGGGATAGTCTTACGAATTTTTTTTCTAAATAATGAAGTTAGATCAGTATACATTTTTCTTGTATTAAATAACTACTACTTAAAAAAGAATGAAAAATGGACAAAGCACTAAAGAAAATGACAATAAATTGAAAAATAAAAATAAAGAACAGTATATATGTGTGGATTTGAAGAACAGGATTTGTGTAATCTTTTTTTTCCGGATTTGTATATGGAATAATAAATAAAATGTAATTGATTTATAATTTTTATAATGTGTCATTGAGGTGAAAAATTGTCACCTCATGACTTCCAGCAATACACATCAGTTTTCTAACCACTTGATCTACCATAACTTCGGCCCCCCCTCGATGACGAAACCCGTTTGTGACAAAAAAAACAACAACTACCTAAATATAAAAATTAGAATTCAATTAAACCATTATTTTAGTTAATTAGCTAATAAACCAACTAACACTAATAAAACAACTAATGAATATGTATATATCTGTGTTGAAATGCATAGTGAAGAGAAGAAACAACCCTGCCAAATCTAATAGTATATCCTATGCGATCAATCAGCCTTTTCTCTACAAGTACTTACTATGTCTCATGGATTCGGGTTGTAATCAGAATATAGTTTTGGTTGTTGTGTTGAATTATTTTCCCCTATCCAAACTAATCACCGCAGTGATTATTGAGAGAGCACTTTGCCCTTGTATTGCTCATCAGGACATGAGTGAGAATATCTTTCAACCCGGAAAAATGACTTTCATTAGCCTAAGTTAAGAAAAGTTATTTATTTAATGCTTGCAATTTAAGTAGTTTTTCCTTGTAATATTGTGCCTGAAATCAAGAACAGTTAAGTTCAACACATATGCAAAGTAATAAATGTAATATTGTCATCTGCACTGTACGAATGCAAATTTCCAATTGGAGTAATAAAATTACTGGAGGCCTCATTTGAGTCCTTCCACCTTGACAAGACTTAAGACAATTAAACAGTACACCACAATTTTAATGTTAAAATGTGTTGTTACAGTGACAACTTATGGCTAAAAATTCACGAAAAAAAACAAAAAAACAGTAGTAATAAAATTTATTGTAACATAAATAAGAGAAGGACCACAGTTTGGTCCTTTGTTTTTATAAGTTATAATATACAATGGTTTATCGTATGTACATGTATAATATATTTCTAATAGTGTATAATTAATTACAAAATAAATCAACAGCTGGATTTTATGTAATCATTCTGATCTTATCCTTGCTGTTGTAATACATCACAAGGAAATTGAGTGGCTGACAAGTGAGTGAGAGGGAGAGTTATACAAAAGACCAAGACCAGCTTAGACTTTGAGGATTTCTTTTGTTCAGTAATTCCTTCACTACTAAAAAATGAAATGTTAAATAAGTCTAAATTTATCTTCTAATAAATACCTATTGCTTCCAAATGAGAGAAAAAGAGGAAGAAAATGTTTTTTATCTGATTTTTTTAAAGTAACATTAACAATATATTTGTATTACAGTAGGTTTGGTGAATGCAATAATAATAAAGTGTTGTGTTGAAATTGTTTTTTGTACCTGCGTATGTATTTTTTTGAACATCCTCTGTAATCCGAATACTCCCCTGCAGCAATTAGCTCGGAATACCAATAGAACTCTGTAAATGTAATTTGTACAAACCAAATGCCAACCAACCAATACTTTGATCAATAAATAAATTTGTTTGAAGAATTCACATCACATCTACAAACCCAAATATGAAGATGCCAAGACTTGCCTGACGGATGAAAACAGGGTGGGTTGATCAGGATTGAAAATGACCAAATAGGTTTATCAACTGGTATCTTTCAAATAAAATTCATAAGTGTCCGTCAATCTTATTTTGGCGAGCAAGTTCGGGGTTAAATTGTGAATAGTATTTTTGTTTTCTTGCTGCTGGTGGGTTGGCAGGTTGAGGAAGAGGTTTACCGGTCAGCTTGGCGAGTACGAGTTCCCTCCGGGCTTTTTCTTCCGCTTCTCTCCTGAGTCGTTTGGCCCTCAGCTCCTCAATGGTAGGCCTGTCGTCCTTCCTCGACTTTTTCTTTTTGTGCTTTTTAAGAGCCGGCTCTTCTTTGACGTGTTTGAGTAAGCCGTTGATCTTTTCCAGGGGGTCATGTCGTCTTTTCCTATCCGTCTCGACTTCTTCGTCCGTCGGGGCGTAGCGCTCAGGCAGTTTGTTGAACCAGGAAACCTTTCCCGTCGACTCAACCGTGTCTTGACCGAGGTATGTCAAATAGCCTATCTGTTTTTCATATTTTTCCTGCTCGTCTTTCTTTTCACTTTCGTACTCTTTGTTGCTCCTTTTAACGGAGCTCTTTCCTTCTTCGAGTTCTCTGAAGAAATTGACGTGCTCGGCTTTTTCACGGCTGCTCTCGGGCTGGGAGCCATCGTAGTTGCTCCTCGATGCCTGCCTCAAAGCTTCTAAGCGGGCTTCCTTTTCCTGTTGAGACAAAACAAATCAAAACATCATTCACACAAACAGAATATTCAATTGTCTTACGGCCAGCTCTATTCTCCTCTTCTTCTCCTGTTCTTCTTCTTTCGCCTTCGCTTCATCCCTCCGTACCCTCGCAATGTTCTCCTTCGTACGGACATGCCACCTAAAAACAATAAAACCCCATTAATCCGAGTTCGTCCACTTACAAAAAAGACAAATATGTCCGGCTTACCGTTTTTTAGGCAAAATATTCATCTTTCATCAATCTGGAATTCTACAAGACTTCAAAAATCCTTGTAGAGAACCTTTTCTTCTTCGAATTTTAAGATTTGTTTTTATAACCGTGACCACCTCTACCCAGAGGTTAGCGGCTTTACGTTATAACCACAAAGTAATCGACGTAACCATTCAGTAAACCACGTTTGTCCATTTTATTCCCCAATTTATCAATTATAAAAACTTTTATCAATGCTGACCGTTCGTGTTGTCAGTGTTGATTTTTAATTGAAATCGGCAATTGCTATCATGTAAATAGTAACTCGATCAAACATGCTTTCCAGATTTCTCAGATCATCGCTGTAAGTTTCATGAGACTAAACAGTCTTGAATGTCAATTTTTTATATTACATAAATAATTACTGTTATTTGTATAATTTCAGCGTGAGGCGTATGTCGTTGAGCAGCAGTAAAAGGTCTGCATACGACTCGGATGGCCGGACGGTTGTTAGCTCGCTCAACAATGAAACTGACTCCGGCGTACTGATTGATTCTATAAGTGAAGTAGGATTTATTTTTATGATTCACAGATTTTTATTAACCATTCCATCTGACAGTAATACAACCAGCCGCACATTTTCCTCTGTCAAGAGACCGACTAGGGCTGTATAACTTTTAAGTCTTTAATGATTTCTCGCATAAAACTCATGCTTCATATTTGAGTGTGACACATGATCATGTATAAATGTTTAATATTATGGTTCTGCAGCTTAAATTTCATTGTTGGAAAAAAACATGAAAACATAAACTACAATTAATTAATTTAATAATTTATATTATTTGTTTTTAATTATGGAAATAAATACCTATCAATGTTTTCATTAGTCGCCAATCTCCTGGCGATATCACTGTATCCATATTTGGAAACCTTCCTATGTTATTAAACGTTACTACATGGAAGTTTTTTACTTTTTTAAATTTTTTTTATTATTGTTAAATGAGAAACGATCATCTTGGTCCACCGTCTGCATTGGTGGTTCTTTGATGTGCAAAAACATAGGTTATAGTTTATGCACCTGATTTATTGAACTATTATAACTATTTTTTTTTTAAATTTCTGGCTCAACTGCTAGCTCCCTCACAGACCTTTTTGAATTTGAAGTTCAGACCTTACTAAATACCTTCGTACCCGGTATTCAGGGAGGGAGCGAGGGAGGGATAGAGGGGTAGAGGGGTAGATTGTGAGAGGGTGGAGAGGGGTTGAGAAAGGGAGGAAGTGAGAGAGGAAGAGGGAGAGGGAGAGGGAGAGGGTGATGGAGGGAAGGGGATGGGAGTGAGGGGGAGGGAGAGAGAGGGAGTGGGTGGGAGGGATAGAGAGGGGAGAGGATTTGAGGGAGAGAGTGAGGGAGAGAGGGAGAGGGAGAGAGGGTGAGAGGGAGAGGGAGATAGAGAGATTGTGTGAATGAAATGAAGAGCTGGAGATTAATAATATTTTATGTAAAAAAAAACTATAAACTAATTAGGTTATGCCGTTATGGCATAATTGTAATTTAATACCATAAAAATATTTTGTTTTTGTACATTAATTAATTCACCGATGAAGATGTCAAATGGACAAAAAAGGTAGGCTGATCAGGATGATCGGAAATGACCAAATTACAAGGTTCCTATAGACTTAGAGAAGAAATTGCACATTAATTTTTATTTTGTTTTTAAATCTAGTTGGGCTTTAGATTGAACAATGGCATGTTCGTAGTAGGACCGATGGCGATTTTTCCCAATACCGTTTTCAGCTGGAATGTCAAAAATGATCGTGACATTAATGAATCATCGCTGACTTTTTTCAGCAGGATCGAGCCCAAATTAGGTAAACGATAAAAACAAATTTTTTTTGTATTATGTATTGGTTTTTCTTTCCTTAGATGTTCTTATAATCGGATTCAGCGGCGACTCCCTGTACTCGAGACAGTTGTGGAAAAACGTCCTGCCGTTTTACCACAAGAGCAACATCAATATGGAAGTCCTCCCGACCGAAAAGGCCATCCCGACTTTCAACTTTCTATGCTCGGAGAGACGTGTCGTAGGGGCGGCCCTCATCCCTCCCCTAAAAGTAATATTCACAGAGGATACTGTCTAGAACTAGAAACTGATGATTGTTACGAACTAAATGTTAAATGTTTAAAGCTTGTTGAAAATTAATTTGTAAAGCAGTCAAGTTTTGACATCTATTCTACTTTATAGTAGAAGCCATGTAGTTTATTGTAATTATATCTTTTATGTAAAAATTGGAACTGTTTTATTTATAATTTGATCATTTCCAGTCATCCTAGTTGTTTTGGAATCTTCTGTTTATAACAAAATATGTAATGTAGTTTTAACAATGAAAATTAATTATAATTGGCCTCGTAAATTATATATATTTTTATTAAGTGAAATTATAAATTTTTCTTTAATTACTCCTCTGCACAGTCGTATTGCACGACTTCAGTTTAGAAAATGCTTAGGTTTATCCCAAGGGCTTTGCTAAGGAATAGTTAAGTCCTTTTACAACCTGTTCCATCGTCAATCCATCTCCGTACTATATTAGGGCCCCTTCCTGAAACTTGGGGCTACCATTTTCCAAAGGGCTATTTTTATGAAGAATCTGTTCAGGTTTTTCTTTCGTCAGGTATTGTATGCCATCTTAGTGTAATTCTCTCCAAAATTTTGTGAATTCCTTAGAGCTGGCTTTTTTTCCAGAGTATCTCAGAAGTAAAAGAAGCAAAAAAATAAACATTTATAAACATTAACAACAAAGTACTTTGTTACTTAAAACAAAGTATATTGTTTAAAGGCTAAATTAATGAATGTGTTTAAAGTTTAGATTTGAAATTTTGTAACGTTTGAGTACTTTGAACTGGGAGTTTGACGTGTTAAAAATATCTATGTAAGGTTGAAGTTGATTTATTAGTCAGAGAGCTGTATAAGCTATATGAAACTAAAAAATTCCACGTCTGACTTGATGTATGAACGAGTACAGTAACTCTCTTATCACGGCTTTCCCAAGGGCCAATCCCAATTTACGTGTTAAAATAGGGCCTGTTTATTTGCCAGAGTGATTTAAAAGTCGGTTCATTTCCGTTGACGTGCGCGAAATATCCAGACCATCTCGGCTTATCAATTTGGTACGTGTTCATCGGGCCAAAGTTAAAGTCGCTCATGAATTATGACGAACTTAGCTTTCTTTTTATTTATTTACAAAATCTCGAATATACAGTCTTTAAAAACAGTGTCTTGGCAAGACGAATTTAACTTTAATTTAGGTTTCGTGGTACGATTGACCGAATGGTAAAAAGGAGGGGTTGAGATGGGAGGTTGGTGGCCGAGCGGATCGAAGTCACTATAGCTCAAGTGGTGGAGCAGCGGCGTATTTAGCCGAAGGTCGTGGGTTCGAATCCCGCTCGTGACACTTAGTTTTTTATGACAACCAAAACCTTAATTAAAGATTAATTAATTGAAAAGAAAATTATATAATATATGTTTTTATTCTTGTTTTCCTGGTTGTTAACTTTTTATTTATTTATTTTTTACTTAATACAATTAGCAATAAAAATAAAATTTTTAGATAAGAAAAATACGTGAATGAAAAATGAAAAAAAAATTGCTGTAAAAAGAACATATATATTAACCGTACACCTATGCTTAAAAGTAATACGTCATAGCTCCTTAAAATATTTATTATTATTTTTTTTTATTATTTATTTTTTTTATTTATTTATTTTTTTTATTTTTATTACAATCTGCAATTATTATTTACAACATGTAATTTGCGGATACATGAACAACTATATATATATGTACAACTATTTACATTGAGGGGAGAAAATAGTCAGTGCTATCCTCCCTNTGAATTTTCCCTCCTAATTGGTCAAGCGGACCACGAAAAATAGTGAATTTGAATAAATATCAGAGTTAGAGACAATAGTGTAAATAAATAAAAACTACTAAGGTTACGTGTTTCCCCAAAGAAACGAGACTGATGAAGCCCCCGATTGGAATCAATAAAAAAAAAAAAAAAATGAATTCGATGGTTGTCTCGTGACTGATGTAAGTTTCAAAAAACATTTTCTTTATCATGCCAACATTTCAATCTTTATTGAAATCATTTTCATGATCTGGGATTTACAAACAATGTTTAAATTATACAAGTGCATAATAGATATGCATATGAATTTATACGATAATGTACACAATATAGAAATTTTAGGTTTAATCGAAGTATTTGTACTCTCTCAAAGTGTGGGTTTTCTGTGCACACGTGTCACGGTTGTGTGACGTGTTGAGAGTGTTAGTGAGATATTAATGTTTTTTGTTTATACACTTGCAGTTAATAGATTATACGATACTTGCAGATATAATTATGTCACATCTATTAAACACAGTTATAACACAACTTCCTATCTATCTCACAATCTCTAAATAATCATTAATTAGAATAATTACATTTATTATTTATATTTTATTTTATTTATATTTCATTTAATAATAATTAGTAGATAATTATTTTTACTACTGGGAATATTGACTACTTTTTCATCTAGTTCGGTCCAAAACGGAAGTAAAAACGTTTGAAGTATGAAAATCGACCGAGCTATCAACGAGATATAACAGGAAAAGCGATGGGTAACTCAGGAAATTGTTTTAACTACTTTCCCATCTAATTCGGTTCAAAACGGACGTAAAAACGTTTGAAGTGAGAAAATCGACAGAGCCTTCCACGAGATATAAGAGGAAAAGCGATGGGTAACTCAGGAAATTTTTTTGAATACTTTCCCATCTAATTCGGTTCAAAATGGACGTAAAAATTGAAGCCTCGGTTGGGTCGAGAGTTGCGAGTTAGCGTCTTGACCTGTTGCTACTTCAAATGGATTTCGTGTATCAATCTTCAAAAAATTAGGTCAAAATATCCACAAAACCTTTTTGAAACTAAGGAAATATCAAACGTCTAAAAAAACATTTGAAAAGTATCTTTTTTTTAAATTTATCCAAGTTGAAGCCTCAGCTAGCGATTTTGGGCTGTTGCTACATCAAATTGATTTCGTGTATCAATCTTCTTAAAATTTGGTCAAAATATCCACGAAAATTTTATAAAACTAAGGAAATATCAAACGTCTAAAAAAACATTTGGAAAGTATCTTTTTATTCGATTTATCCAAATTGAAGCCTCGGTTGAGGCGAGAGTTGCGAGTTTGCGACTTTGGCGTGTTGCTAATTCAAATTGATTTCGTGTATCAATCTGCTTAAAATTTGGTCAAAATATTATGAAACTAAGAAAATATCAAACGTCTAAAAAAACATTTGAAAAGTATCTTTTTTTTTTTTTATAAATTGAAGCCTCGGTTGCGAGTTAGCGACTTTGGGCTGTTGCTACTTCANTGTATCAATCTTCGTAAAATTTGTTCAAAATATCCACATACAATGATATGGTACACAGATGGCAGCATGTAAAAGAATCACATCGAAATTAGTCAGTGAATGCATCCAACATCTCCAAAACCTGGGGAAACACAACCTGATGAAATCTTGGGTGCCAGGGCACAGGGGAATTTTGGATAATGAGAAAGCAGATAGTTTGGCCGGAGGAGGATCTGCAAGACTATACATAGTCCCCGAACCTATTCTTGGGATAACAAAAACAAATATAGAATCCTCAATCGCAGAATGGTTCCAAACAAAACAAAAGGAGAAGTGGATAAACTGTAGCGGTGCTAGACATAGTAAACTTATGATGAAACGACCCTCACCGATACTGGCAAAAACACTGTCGCAATTGGAGAGGACCAAACTCAGAGGAGTGGTAGGACTACTAACCGGTCACTGGCATCTGAGAAAACATCTACACAACATGGGTATATACAAAGATGATCCCATCTGTAGATTATGTAATGAGGAGGAAGAAACAGCCACTCACATCATCTTCGAATGCGAAGCAACAGCTCAATGGAGGTTTAACCTAACATACGGAAAAAACTTAGAGAATCAAATTGCAGCAGCGACAGTCAATGACCTGATACTTCTAAGAAGAAGGATTGAGTCTACTGCACTGAACTAAGGAACTAGGAAGGTACAAAAAGCCAGAAGGTTGCAGTGCCTGGGGAGTGCAAACCCCGCTTCCTAGTATCCTTTTTCACCATACCATAACATACGGGCTTCTTCTTCTACAACGCTGAGAAATATCGAGTGTTCTGGGATAGGGGGAATGTTATCTAGACTACCATTTATTTTTATTATATGTACAAATTATTATGAATGTATTGTACATATTTTCTTCTCGATTGCTGAAGCCATGAGGAACAGGCTACCACGAATAAAATGAGAGACAAAAATGAAAATATCAGCAAAAAAAGAAAGAAGAAAATAAGAGAAAGAGTGAGAACTAGTGATGAATAAGGTAGAAAAATAGAAGTCCTCACCTCCGTGAAAAGGTTTTATTTATATAAATATAAAACTAGACTGATGAAGCCGTGAAATAGAGAGGGGCTGGCAACTGAAAAAGAAAACGAATTTTCTACCTAAACACACAATGTTTAATAGACTGTGTAAAAGTAATTTGGTAGGGATTATTGAAAGATATTAATTGGTCAAGCGGACCACAAAAACTAGTGAATTGGATAAGTTTAAATGAAGTATATCTTTACTAAAGCTCTCCGTGGCCAATTCAATTGTCGCCGAGAATCAAATAGATTACACGACATTTTAAAAAATGGCAAAAAGGAGGGAAAATTCAAAAGGTGTGGTTGAGATGGGAGTTTAGTGTCCGAGTGGATCGAAGTCACGATAGCTGAAGTGGTAGAATAGCGGCGAATCAAGCCGAAGGTCGTGGGTTCGAATCACGCTCGTGACACTGCCTTTTTTATCTCAACTTAAACTTTAATTAATTGAATGATATTAATTGGTCAAGCGACCCACGAAAAATAGTGAATTGAGTAATTTATTAGTGTGAAAGGAGGGGATTTTCTTCTATTAACCTGAGGAATATCGAGTATACTTGAGCAGAGGGAATATTATACAGACTACTAAATATTTTTATTATATGTATACGTCTTTATTGTACTATATTTTCTTCTACATTGCTGAGTCCGTGAGGGACAAGCTGCCAGGAATAAAATGAGAGAAGAAAATGAAAAGTTAAACAAAAAAAGAAAAAGAAAAGAATTAGCAGGGGGAGGGAGAGCTGGCGATGAAGAACGTAGAAAAATAGTAGTCCTCATTTCCGTGAAAACTTTTATTTATATAAATTATACGTTTGTTAATAAATAAATTGGTTCTATATACAAGGAATGTCAGAAGAGATCAGCATTGCTCTTGGCTATATCGGATACGAAATCCCCGTCCGGCGGTCATTCCGTTGGTGACGAAAGTGACTATGAAAGGTCCGCTTGATTTGTCTGCAAATTATAAATATTAAAAAAAAAAATCATATTTATAACTTTTATTTAATTTTTCATTACCGGTGACAGGGAAATTTTGCGTGAAGTCCAACTGCGAAGTGGCGTCGTTCAGCTTCTGACCGCAGAGCCGGACGCTCGCCACGGAAATATAGTCGTCAGGACAATTGAAGACTTCGGCCCCAGCCTGACCCGGAGGAACGGTCAAAGATCCGTCTGTCAAGAGAAAAGAACAAATCTGAATGATCATTTCCGACAAACCATAAGATAAACATCCTACCTATGTCGAGGTTATTGATTTCAAACACATATTCTTCGCCCCCTTCGGCAACGTTGTTGTACACAATGGAACAGCTTGCTAATCCTTTTTTAATGCAAATCGCATAATTTAGATTGTTCTAAACAAACCAAAATTAGTAACTTATATATAGTTTAGGTTAACAAATAATTCCCTAGTTTCGTGGTCCGCTTGTCCAATTAATATCTTTCAATTAATTAAGTTTTTTAGTTGATAATCATTCAGAAATCATGAGATGCGGTCTGGTCTTGCATTATATAAATTCACTTTTTTCCACATCCTACATGTATTTATTAAATGAAAACAATGTTTGTAAATCCCAGGCCCTGAAGGTGATCTCAATAAAGAACAAAACTTAATTAAGGTTTTTAGTTGCGATAGAAAAGTCAATGGCACGAGCGGAATTCGAACCCACGATCTTCGGCTTGATACGCCGCTGCTCTACCACTTGAGCTATCGTGACCTCAATCCACACGGACACTAACTTCCCATCTCAACCGCACTTTTTGAATTTTCCCTCCGTTTTGCCATTTTTCAAATGTCGTGTAATCGGATTGGATTCGGCGACAAATGAAATGGCCACGGAGAGCTTTAGTGAAGTGTACTTCATTTTAAATCATTAAATTCACTAATTGCGTGGTCCGCTGGACAGGGAAGTTGGTTTCGCGGTCACGATAGCTCAAGTGGTAGAGCAGCGGCGTATCAAGCCGAAGATCGTGGGTTCGAATCCCGCTCGTGCCATTGACTTTTTTATCACAACTAAAAACCTTAATTAATTGTAATATATTAATTGGTCAAGCGGACCACGAAATTAGTGAATTGAAAGAACAAAACGTTGGCACGATAAAGAAAATGTTTTTCTGAAACCTACATCACACCAGAACGCATCTCACGATTTCTGAATAATTATCGACTAACGATCATCAATCTCTACACGTTTTTATTTGAGATAAAAAAGTCAGTGTCACGAGTTTAGTTGTCAAGCGGACCACGAAACTAGTGAATTTAATATGTATAAATGAAATATACCTTCACTAAATTTAATGAATTAAAATGAAGTATACTTCCCTAAAGCTCTCCGTGGATATTTTATTTGTTCCGAGAATCAAATAGATTACACGACATTTGAAAAATGGCAAAAAGGGGGGAAAATTCAAAAGGTGGGGTTGAGATGGGAAGTAAGTGTCCAAGTGGATCGAGGTCACGATAGCTCAAGTGGTAGAGCAGCGGCATATCTCAAGGTCGTGGGTTCGAATCCCGCTTGTGACACTGACTTTTTTATCTCAACTAAAAACCTTAATTAATTAATAAATAATCGTAGAATTTGAAAAGAAAGATTAGATTTTAGATTTTTATTGTTTCTGTCTGACTGCTTCAATCACACGTTTCTTCGCTCATTAAAAAAGTTAACCCCGTCAATCAGTTCTTTTCTTTCAACAGCTCACCCGCACATTAAATTAATAATTAAAATACTTGTTGGCTTAGTTACGCATTCGTTAGTTCATGCAACCCACTCACACAAGCCCACAAGCAACCACCATTTAGCTCACTCAATAAAACACTAATTCAGTCAATCATACAAACATTCTCTAAACACCTCACTCACTTCTTCTCACACTCACGTAATAAGTGACTCGTTCACAGAGTTGCTTAGCCTTTACTCATCCAAAAATCGGAAGAAGTACATTTACTTTATCATTGGTTCACTTACCAACTCACTTAACAATTCAGCCGGTTGCACATTCGTTCGCTCAAAAAAGAATTGGATCACTCAGAGATTCAGTCATCCTCTAAACAGATCACTCATCAATACTGACATTCACGAAATACGTCACTCACTCCCTCCTCTTTAATGGATCACTAAATGAAGACTTCTTATTTGGACGAAATTATTTATAAGCATCACTTACTTATTATATTATTTAAAAAGCTTATATTCTTTTCCTCCTATTTCTCTCTCTCACACTCTTTCTCGCTCTCTCTCTCTCTCTCTCTCTCTCTCTCTCTCTCTCTCTCTCTCTCTCTCTCTCTCTCTCTCTCTCTATCCACCTTGCTATTTTTGTTTGTCGTTCTTGCGCTTTCATTTCTCTTCTCTTTGTTCTCCTCTAACAATAATTAAATTAAATAACACGTATTTTATTTATTTTTTTAATATATCTATTTGTCTTATGGTCTCCCTTACTTCTTTAACAATAAAGTCATATCAGCCACCTCGCGCTGCATTGTTATGGCCGATGGGGTACTCAATATTCCGCCATCGGCCCTACAGTCTAAAAAGATCACCCACTTAGAACAAACAAATAAATAAATTACTTACAAATAAATACACGACACAATAAAACACAACACAGAAAGACTTATTTACACAGATATTCACGTTTTATACACTATTTACAAGTGAGGAAACACCCCGTTTCTCTTAAAAAGCGGAATAGGGGATCCAACATCGTCTTGCTCGCCCGAGTACCGTTCTTCTGACGGGGTCCATGCCTACTCGCTCCCTGTAGAGAGCACTCCTCGACAAGATGAGACACACTGAGCAACCTTTCTCTACAAGCGGGACACCTGCGCGGGTTTGACCCAGAAGCAGATGTACGTGTGTTAGACGGGTATGGCCAATCCTCAACGGAGTTAACACGATCCTTTCATTTCGTTTCAGATTCTCATGGGGCCATCGTTCAGTCGTGCCCTTAACTCGCATGAAATTCTCGGACGACCCGGCCCACTGACGCTGCCAACACTTTCTTACAGCGTTCTTTTCTGCTCGCACAGCGTCACCGGGCCGGATCTGGTAGCTTAGCCTGGAGGGCGAGACGTCCCAGCTTTCGCTGCCTCGTCTGCACGTTCGTTGCCCTCCAGCCCGACATGTGCGGGTACCCAGACAACTACTACCGTTTTTTCCAGGCGCTCCAGCTAGCATATCTTTCTAAAAGAAGTACGACAAGAGGGTCCGTGGGGAATCTGTCCTGGATTGCCGATACTGCACTTAGGGAGTCCGTACAGACAAGGAAGGCAGAGCCTTCATCGTCTCGAATCGCCCCGAGTGCGTGCCAGATCGCATACCATTCTACTTATTATTCTTGTTATTCTCTCATACTAAAGAGTGTGACGACTCCCTTTTTTCTTTTTCTCCCTACTGTATCTATTTATGTAAACCTTCTACTTTTTTTTTAATGAAGATAATTATTTAAAATTGTATTTTATTTCACTCTGCCGTATATACTTTTTGTCACATACTAACATCTAATAACTGACGAAGACTGGTAGTTGAAGAAATAAATTACCAAATATGTAGTCGTTGATGGAGGAGGAGCGTAATTGAACGATTCAAACATCCCCGCCGGTTCTGTGAAATACTGGAGGCAGTTCTTGGGTGCTGCAAGTACATGTCCGTCGCAAATCTGGCTCACCTTGATCCTGAATTCTTTCTTTATAGGTGATATCACCGTGATCATTACAGGTCCTGGGACCTCATCAACGTCGGCGTAAACTTAAAATGTTTCATACAGAATTAGCCGAAAAAATCAACAAAACAAGAAAGCAATAAAATGTCTTACCGTGCTGGCCTGTGTTAGTCCCGCATATAACTGGAACGATGCTGTTTCGATTCTGCCCGTTTATGAGAAGCCGCTCGTTCATACATGTGCCGTCAAGGGGTGGATCCAGCTAGAATATCCAATTTGTATATAACAATCGCATTTCAAAAATACTCTCGCATGGACATTCACAGATAAAAGCTGCTCAAAAATGAATAGGGATATTTGTTTTAGGCGTTGAGACGGCGATCATCGCTGTAAGGTAAAGGTCCCGGGTTCGAATCCAGCGGCCCTGCATTCGAACTCGATATACTTACAAATGGGCTTTTTTTCAAAAACACCGGCACCCCAGGCAACGTCTGCTGTCACGAACCCTCTAAAAAAAAGACATCGAGGTCACCGGCAGGTAAATATCACAGGCAGTTGGTGTTTCTCAGAGCGTGGTCTCCCGAGCCTGGATGTGCCAATAAGAGGCTGGGAGTCTATGGTCAAGACCTTAAAGCCTACTACCGAGATTTCGGCCCCTCTCCTGGCCCAAAAATGTCCGTTCCAAAGATCGGCCCGACCAAAACACCCCCCCTCCGCGAGCACTTGCCCTCCCACGAAACCGATAAGAATTATGAGACTGGCACAATTGACAGAAATATAAATTGTCCCGGCATAAACACGTACAATGTTCGTGCTCCATTCAGGGCATGAGGTTTCCGCTCGGTCATCCTAAAAAGGACTCTGAGGATCTTTAACGACCGCAACTATTCGGCCTTATCGGACGTTTTGATCCTCAAGATGAGAGCTGACGCACCTCCGCGTACGACAGGATATGTTACTGCCGCAGCATTGATCCGAAGGGCCAAGACAACCTCGCTCCCGGCTTGTCCATTCCAAGTGACCGGGCCTGCATTGAGCATCAGACTATGCCGCGCGCAAAGGGCTATCTAAGCCGAAATACATCAGCTCGATCTCTCGCGCACTCCCTAGATAGAGAAGGCGACTCTATCTCCCAGAGTATTGGGGCTCCCCTAGCTTAGAAACTACCGGATCCGCCCCGGCTGCGGTTTCCTTTAAAGTGGAATTGTTAACGACCCCCTAGAGAAGTACCGCCTACGGTAAAGCCTACATCGAGCTCAGCTTACACCTACGTGCAAAGCATACTCGAGTAGGAGCAACCGATTCACTACCCGTTCCCATCCGCCACTACTCACGCATTCCAGGGACTTTCCAGCACAATTATCGCGTTCTCAACGCTTACGTGCTGCATCCGATCCGCCGTATCCCGTGAGGCCGGGTGTGTAACGGTGGTCATACAAGTTTTGTGCGAAGGTCACAGGTAGAAGACAGTCCCTTCAGTGCAGTTGGGAGAAGGAGGTGCAATGGTCGGGGCAGGGATTGAAGGACGAACTGAACCCCATATTGTTAAAGGCAACCTCACAGTAGTTCGTTATATCCAAGAAAATATCGAGGTATTCATCCCTCAAAATAGGGATCTCATTGGCAAGGATTTTTGATTTCTGGATGACAATGCCAGACAACACAGAGGCAGAGTTGTTCCGCAATATTTAGGAAAGCCATTTGCCCCTTCCCCCATTTTCTCAAGACTAAATCCCATTGAGTACATGTCGATGCGTTGCAGAGAAGGCTTTTCGATCGCCATCCGCAGCCCGTTGACTGCAGAGTTGCAACATCTACAGAGAGAAATTCTTTATGAAATTAGTTACAAACTTATTAACAGTATGTCTAGCAGGTTTTAGCTAATAGAAAACATTATTCATGGTATTAATTGTTTAAAAATTACTGTGCCCAATGAACAAAATTATAGCATATATAAACCTTTTATTTAATCGTTGAAAAAGATATTTCCTACTCATAATTAATTGTTTTCAACGATCCAACACACTCCCTGCACCATTTATAATTTCAAACATTCTAACTTTTTCCTTCAAAATCTCTTCAATAAATTTTGTTCAGTAAAAAACAATAATTTATAATAAATTTAATGCAATTTTTTATAAAAATAAAATAAAATTTCTAGAGAAAGTAAATGCTACAAAATTGGCAAAATCGCTGTTCATTAATGAGCAGTTTAGGTAAATCCATGAGCTTGAATGAATCACATAAATGAACACGACAGACAAGAGAGCTGGATTGACAGCTAGAGAGAGAGAGGGAGGGAGAGAAGGAGAAAGAGAGAGTGTGTGAGAGAGAGAGAAAGAGGAGAGAGAGAGGTAGAGAGAGAGAGAGAGAGAGAGAGAGAGAGAGAGAGAGAGAGAGAGAGAGAGAGTGAGTGAGAGAATGAATGAAGAGGTGCAGAGAAACCAAAGAAATTGATAAATGTTGGTATACATAGAGAAATAGGTAAATAAGAAGCTAAAAGGATGGAGGTAATCAAAAATATCAGAGGATAATAAAAGTTNAGGTCACGATAGCTCAAGTGGTAGAGCAGCGGCATATCTCAAGGTCGTGGGTTCGAATTCCGCTTGTGACACTGACTTTTTTATCTCAACTAAAAACCTTAATTAATTGTAATTCCTTATAGTAAATTCAACATCTTTCAATTAATTAATCTTTATCTCAACCAATACCTTAATTAAAGATTAATTACTTATAGTTTTTCGTATAAATAAAACAAACATATTTTAGAGTATGCTAAGTACTGATGTGTAGATAATCACCTGCACAACAGACGCCGTAACCGCGAGCGCATGGGCCCAAGACGTTTCCTCCCATCTGCTCGCATTCCATCTTGTGATAGCAAATTCCTCCTTGGTCGACACAGTCATCGTTGGGGAAGCGCACGATTGTAAAAAGGTTTAGAACTGTAAGAAAAATTAGTTTAAAATCATCATAATATTCAAATAATCAAAATGTATAATTAATATCTAGTTTGGATTTTAGAAATTTGGAAATTTGGATGTTAGAACTTCTAATTTTGCTGTTTTCCCACTCAATAATAAAATAAACGTTTTACGTTGTTCAACAGACTTGGGTATTATTACCTAAAAATTATTTGAACTAAACTTTCAACTAAAACTTAGAGTTGCCAAGTAGTTGCAACTAAATTTTTTAACTAAATTAGTTGACAATTTTTAGTTCAACTAAATTGGCTCAACTAAATTAGTTTAAATTCATTAGGTTTCGTGGTCCGACTGACCAATTAATATCTTTCAATTAATTTTTTTAAATTTTTTTTTATTTAAAGTTATTTATTTTATTTATTGCTATCTGTACATAATATACATTGAGCAAATAGTTAGTTATAAACTAATCTGACAGACCTGTCAGACCAGGAGGCAGTGGGGAGAGAAACCAACTTTTATTTAATTGGGGGGGGGGAGTAAAAGTTAATTTGGTGGGTTAGATAGAAGGTCACTAGGCCATCGTCGTTTTAAACGGCGTGGAGGATTGTAAGGGTGAGATGTTGAGGAAAGAGTTAGGGCTANAGGGAGAATGAGAAAAACACAACACTTCAAGAAGAAAGACAGAATTAAAGCATGCTCGGAGGTTGGTGTCTTTCCGTTTTTTGTAATTGGCACATCGAAAGAATGACCACAATGAAAGTGAAATGAGGGTGGCAACTATTATCGCTTTATCGCAACGAGCTATTAAAAAACAACATTTTGATGTTTATCTTTTTGCTTTACTGACTTTCCGATAAATAACTGCTTAATTACCTCAAGATTGATGAAATCGAAGCGGATCTGCTTTGCGCACGGCAGTTTTTCAATTGAGAAACTGCATGCGCCTTCCTGAGAGCCTCCTTTGAAAATAGCACCGTTGATTTGTCCCCTTCCCCCGCATTCGGTTTCCACTTTTTAAATTAAAAACAATTTATTCAAATATCAGTTTATAATTAACTTCATAACCTTTCATAATTATACTGGTAAAAATTTCATAATAATTTATTAGCTGATAATATATTAACTATTGCCGATTAAAAATCATATTTCGTGGTATTTAATTCGATCAAGATGGACATTACTTATAGTTTCTTTGAAAAATAGCAAAAAGGAGGGAAAATTCAAAAGGTGGGGTTGAGATGGGAAGTAAGTGTCCAAGTGGATCAAGGTCACGATAGCTCAAGTGGTAGAGCAGCGGCATATCTCAAGGTCGTGGGTTCGAATTCCGCTTGTGACACTGACTTTTTTATCTCAACTAAAAACCTTAATNTTAGTTTTGATTTTGGTCCAAGAAGGTGTCTGAGTAGTCCATATCTTTTGTTAAGTTCTTGCCGTTTTAATCGTGTATGTGGGTTCCAAGTAAGTCTACTATCTAAGTAAAGCCCAAGATAGCGGACTTGGTTCGATGGTGGTATTATTTTGTTGTAAATGTGCACTGGTGGACAGGTTTGTCGTTTGAGCGTAAATGTAACGTGTTGCTTTTTTGTTAGTTTAACCTGATCCGCCACAGATTGCACCAGTTGGTAATAAGGTTCAGGTGTTGTTGGAGTGCTTCTGTTGCTAGGATAGGATTGGAGTGTGTTGATAAGATTGCGGTGTCGTCCGCGTGATTTGTGTGTTTGGATGTGTGGGTATGTCAGCAGTGTAGATGGTGTAGAGTATTGGGCGTAGGATACTTCCTTGTGGAACGCCAGCTTTGATTTGTGTGATAGGTGAAAACTCGGTGCCGATTCTTACTTTAAACCATCGATCTGAGAGGAAGGATTTCACAATAAGGTAGTAGGAATGAGGGATTTATTCAATTAATTAAAGTTTTTAGTTGACATAAAAAAGTCAGAGTAACGATAGCTCAAGTAGCGGCGTATCAAGCCGAAGGTCGTGAGTTCGAATTCCGCTCATGACACTGACTTTTTTACGTCAACTAAAAACCTTAATTAATTGAATAAATTAGTTTAGTTGAATGGGAAACTAAAACTAATTTAGTTGAGCAGATTTAGTTGAACTAAAAAGTACAAACTGTAAGTTTTAGTTTTAAACTAACAACTAAAACTTTTCTTGAGTTTTTAAATTAATTTAGTTCATCAATTGAGTTTTTAAATTAATTTAGTTGAGTTTTTGTTGTATGTACGTGTGAGTGTTTATGTGGCATTCTCCGAAACCAATGATTGCGTCTTCCGTCTTGTTCAAATTTTCGATGTTTGTTTGTCTCATTGATTTTTCCAAGCTGGTTTTAGGTTGACATTGGTTGATGAAATCACGAAAAGGTTTGTCGTAATGAAGTTAGATTTTGTGAACAAAATTGTAAGGAAAAGAGTGTCATGTTTAGCCTAATGTTTTCTTGAAAATATCACTACGCATACGTCTTAGTCTTGCTGCGTGCAATAGCATTGCAGCAATACACTTATATTACAATAGGTACCTGTTAATCGTATTTCCGTTCAAACGTTTGTATATGAGCGTATTGCAATTATGTCGTTATTAAGTTCACATATTCACACAATGTTATTTACATAACCTAAAACCTGAACAGTTACGTACTTTGAAGAAATTATGTTCCATTCAAATTGCTAAGTGATGTCCAACATAATGTTGTTGTTGGGCCAAATGAATCCTGGTTTCTTCAAGGACGTAAAAATTTGTTAATTCTACAAAATCCTCTAAAGAATGTACTATTATTATTATACTACCTATCCATTAATTAGTTTTTAGAGAAGTCCTCCTGAAGCAAGGCTTCATCATAAGAAGGGCGCCCTATTAGAATTGATTCAGAGGGGTGTGGGACACATTTCTACTGATTATACACGATGCCAAAACTTACTTTACTGAGAACATGGAAGTAACAAATTTTAAGTTGTTCATTAAAAAAAAAAATTTAGTTGTTGGTTGAAAACTAAAACTAAAAGTTTGTACTTTTTAGTTAGTTCAACTAAATCTGCTCAACTAAATTAGTTTTAGTTTCCCATTCAACAAAACTAATTTTGTTGAACTCATTTAGTTTGAAAATACAATTACAAACTATCAGTTTAGTTGACATTTCCGGCTTAACTAAGTAATTTAGTTTTAGTTTAGTTGAATTTTAGTTTTTTCCCAACTTTGTTGTTCAATATTAATTAAAATATTAAAAACAGCTTACAGGAAACTGTCTGAAATATGCACATTATAATATTATTTGTGAATAAAAAAGGATTAAATGATTGTCGTACTATTCAAAACTGAGGTATTAAGATATCTCACCTCTGTTTTGACTTGCCAATAAAATAACAATAAGTAACTCAGAGATCTTTACAAATATTTTAAATCTCTTTGCTTCTTGATGATAAATTTGAGCAGTAGTTTCATAAAAATTACAGAGAGATTTTTTTTCTAACTTATAGGCTTATTTTATCTCCTTGTACACACTTTCTCTACTTCGCACTATCCTTTTCTCCTTTGCTCATACACACACCACACTCTCTCTCATCTGTTTCACTTCTCTCTCTCTCTCTCTCTCTCTCTCTCTCTCTCTCTCTCTCTCTCACTCACTCCCCCTCTCCCTCTCTTGTACTCACACCCACACATCTAGTTTTTTTTTTTTCATATTTCCATTTATCTCTTTCTCCTCCTCTATATTTTTGTTCTCTATTGATACGTTGAAAAATTCCAAGTTCTCCGTGGTTGAAAACCTTTATTCAGTTTAGTAAATTACATGGGCGTTTCGGGCTCCTAGCCCACCATCAGCGAGAAATCTCATGGTATAATTCCTAATCTGAAGGCACACACATCAGTAATTTGATCCACTCGGGCACTAAGTCACTATCGAAGTCACAATAACTTACGTGGTAGAGTAGCGGCGTATCAAGCTGAAGGTCGTGGGTTCGAATCCCGCTCGTGACACTGACTTTTTGATCTCAACTAAAAACCTTAATTAATTATACATAATATTTAACACCCCCCTTACTCATATAAAATCGGAATAGGGGATCCAACAGACAACTCTCATGCCCACGGACTGTCTTTATGTCCAGTACAACTCCTACTTGCTCCCTATAAAGGAACAAGGCGTGCCACGAAGTGTGTCTCGTTGCTCAACGTTTCTCTACAAGTGGGAAATCTCGATTTGATGTCATGTCATTTGTGTAATTTAAGTCGTCTATTCAGTTTTATCTTTTGAGTCGTCAAAACTAAACTTCTTAAAAAACAGTTAAATGTATTTATATCAACAAAAAAATATCAATTAGAAGCTTTTGTCACTAAAAAAACACGCCACTTTTTTTTAATTCGTCGTTACGGTGCATAATGATGCAGGCCAACAACCTCATTCTGTCTCCTCTCAAGTAAATAACAACGAAACAGATTACCTTGTGGGAAATTACACGTAAAGATCTGAAAGCTGATTTTCGACATGTATGACATCCTCATTCAACAAGGCGCAGTTTCATAAGTGCACAAGTTCTTATATCGGTTTTTACGTATAAAACATTGAGCCCAATGTGCGAAAAACAGCAATATAGTTTTCAAATGGAAGTCCGTCGGTATGAGTTAAAACATGAGTCAGTGTCACGAGCGGGATTCGAACCCACGACCTTCGGCTTGATACGTCGCTATCCTACCACATGAGCTATCGTGTCTTCGACCCATTCGGGCACTATCTTTCCATCTCAACCCACCTTTTGAATTTTCACTTTGCAAATTTAGTGCTAATTGTTGCCGAGAATCAAATAGATTACACGACATTTGAAAAATGGCAAAAAAGAAGGGAAAATTCAAAAGGTGGGGTTCAGATGGGAAGTTGGTGCCCGAGTGGATCGAAGCCACGATAGCTCAAGTGGTAGAGTAGCGGCATATCAAGCCGAAGATCGTGGGTTCGAATCCGGCTCGTGACACTGCCCTTTTTTACTCAACTTAAACTTTAATTAATTGAATGATATTAATTGGTCAAGCGGACCACGAAAAATAGTGAATTATGTATAAATATCTTGTAGCTCTTCTACAGTGTGCATGTATTTATTTACTTCATTCTTTGAGTGCATAATTCTTTGTTTAAGTGAATGGTAAGTGGGAGGGCCGATGGGGGAATATCAAGTGCCAAAAAAAAAATATATCGAACGTCTCACTGCTAATTCATCACGGAATGTGATTAAACTTTAAACCAAGCGTTTCAACTTCCGAAGAATCCAATCAAACTTGTCTCACTTCCTTCGAACCATTGATCAAACTTCCTACTTCAGTATGATCGTTAATATCCACAAAGACATTTTATCATTCTTCCTACCAGTTATCCATTACCACCAAAATACCATTTTTTCTCAAGTCCGCTTGGAAAAGACGACTGCATAAAACCTGGACGACAACCTGACCCCGTAACCCTCTGGCCGAATAACGTTTATCCTTAGCGTCTGGACGCCTAAAACGTTAATGGCTTTGCGATTTTATTCCGAGAATGAAAGGTAATTAGTATTGTGATAGGACTGTAACCAATTTTCTTTTGGTTGCACAAACGAACAAATTTTAGTTTTAGTATGCATGGTTTATCACTTTCAGAGCGATTAATATTTTACAATGAAGAAAGAAAAGACAAAGAAAAAGTGTATTAATATTTACAATTATACACATAGAAATGTGTAGTGATCAGTGACCGTTAGTCGATGATTATTCAGCAATCGTAAGATGCGTTCTGGTGTGATGTAGGTTTCAGAAAAACAATTTCTTTATCGTGCCAACGTTTCGATCTTTATTGCGATCATCTTCAGGTCCTGTTTGTAAATCCTAGGCCCTGAAGATGATCTCAATAAAGATCGAAACGTTGGCACGATAAAGAAAATGTTTTTCTGAAACGTACATCTCACCAGACCGCATCTCACGATTTCTGACTAATCATTATACACATAACAAAATGAAATAAAAATACAAAAGATGGCGTAAAAAATAAAAAAGAGGTAAACAAATAAATCATACGGTATATTTTTTCCAACCGTTTGCCGGAAGTACAGGTCTCTAATTGATTTGATTGGATTTTTCTATTGGGAAATTAATACAGCTCTCTAACGAGTAGCGAAATTGTAGTACTTCTTTTTGTGTTCCGGCCAGGAACATCGAACAGTCGAACAGCTTCATCCGGCATAGTGTTTGCCAGTTGAAAGAAATTTTTCTGAATTCGCTTATTATAGGACAAGTACACTGAAAATGGTATTGATCCTCGGACATACAGATGTTTCAGAGAGAACATATAGCAATGAAAAAGTAGTTGAGAAAGCTTAGCGTTCAACATGAAAGTATACCACAAAGCTTAAATAAGTCCGTATCCAAGTGAATTGTATAATAATGTGCCTATCTTGGAAGTTGAAACAACTTTCTTATAGACATATGGATTGCACTTACTACCATCGTGACTTGGACCCCGTAGCACAATACTGTTCTTACTAAATACAATATTAAATATTCTTTTTCAATAATGGTAGCTTGGGTTTGAGAACGCTTCCTTCCAGGCGCAGTTCATGTCAAAATTTGCTGACATTACTTCAGATCGTTGTAAGTGTTTAACAAAGGAAAGCCTAGGAATCAATAATGATATATGATATTCTCTGATAATGTCAATTATTTCCTTCATCGCCTGCCCCCATATTGAAAATTCATCACTTTAAGTTTGCTCAGATTCACCAGTAGACTCCTTTTATTACAATATTTGTGAAGTAAATCTATATTTTTTGAAGAGATAATGGATTATCAGAGAAAATAGCCAGGTCATCAGCATAAAGTAAAACTCATTCAGTTAATTAAGGTTTTTAGTTGAGATAAAAAAGTCAGTGTGACGAGCGGGATTCGAATGCACGATCCTCTGCTTGATAAGCCGCTACTCTACCACTTGAGCTATCGTGACCTCGATCCACTCGGACACTAACTTCCCATCTCAACCCACCTTTTGAATTTTCCCTTCTTTTTGCCATTTTTCAAATGTCGTGCAATCTATTTGATTCTCGGCGACAAATGAAATGATCACGGAGAGCTTTAGTGAAGTATACTTCATTTTAATTCTTGAAATTGAAACCGAAGGTCGTGGGCTCGAATCCCGCTCGTGACATTGACTTTATTATCTCAACTAAAAACCTTAATTAATTGAATAATATTAATTGGTCAAGCGGACCACGAAAACTAGTGAATAATAAGTAAAACCTTGATTACTATGCTCACAATCTTTATCCCATATTACAATTCATATAAAGGGTATTAATCACTTGCTTCAGACCACTTGATACTGCAAACTTTCTTGTTTGGCCTTCTTTAGTTCATACTGATGCCATTTTTTTTATTACAAATTGCGAAAAAACTGATAAACTGTCATGAACTGCCTAGCGTCAATAATTTGCGGAATAGAAAATTTCTGTTTGGTATCAAAAGAATACTCATATATATACCAGCCCGCAGTTTGCGACATTTTAAGTTTTGGTGCTGGTCAAAGTAAAGATGGCATCCACAGTTGAATATCCCTTGCAAAAACCGAATGCAATCAGTCAGGATTTTATTTTGTCCCACAAAGAGCGAAAGTTTGTTCACAAACATTCAGGAGAGCTCACTAGTTTTCGTGGTCCGCTTGACCAATTAATATCTTTAAATTAATTAAGGCTTTTAGTTGAGATAAAAAAGTCAGTGTGACGAGCGGGATTCGAACCCACGATCTTTGGCTAAATACGCCGCTGCTCTACCACTTGAGCTATCGTGACCTAGATCCACTCGGAAACTAACTTCCCATCTCAACCCAACCTTTTGACTTTTCCCACCTTTTTGCCATTTTTTTTATCTCACCTAAAAGCCTAAATTAATTGAAAGATATTAATTGGTCAACCGGACCACGAAAACTAGTGAATTTAATAAGTTAAAATGAAGTGTACCTTCACTAAAGCTCTCTATGGCCATTTCAAATGTCGCCGAGCATTAAATAGAATACACGACATTTGAAAAATGGCAAAAAGGAGGGAATATTCAAAAAGGTTGGGTTGAGATGGGAAGTTAGTGCCCGAGCGGATTGAAGTCACGATAACTCAAGTGGTAGAGTTGCGGCGTATCAAGCCGAAGGTCGTAGGTTCGAATCCCGCTCGTCACACTGACTTTTTTATCTCAACTAAAACCCTTAATTAATTCAGGAGAGCGTTTGACTTAAACAGCTAGTGAAAGATAACCCTCTGTAATTTTTTGACAAGCAGGATCATTTTTTAATGGAGGGAAGAACACTCCTTTAAAGGAAGCAGAAACTAGACCCGTTTCATATATGTGATTGTAGAAACTTAAAAAAAGCCACTGAAAATCAGGACACGTGGAATTCGAAAAGAATGCCGTCATTACCGGGAGATTTGTTATTCTTAACTGTAAAAAGCACCTTTGTATGCTCAATCATCGCTGAGGCATCCAGGAGTGATGAAGTAATGAAGGGATCCACAAAAGGCAATTGAGCATCAGACTCTGGAGAGCTCAGTAAGTATTTAAAGTGAATCACCCTGTTGCGTAGTTTTAGTGGACTGTAGGAAATGTGAAAACAAAAAGGGGATGAATAGGAAAATAAACTCACCTTCTGCTCTGCTGCTCGATCGAAACGAGGGGTACAGGGGGGGGGGGTGAAACGGAAAAGAGTGTTGGACGATCATGGGATAAGACATGGAAAACCCTTACCCTCAGGGTGGATTCGCCACGACTGCAGCTTGGCAAACAGGTTGAGTTGCGGAACTCCTTTAAAACCTTACAAACTCCCAAAATGTTTGTAATCTTTTACATTTTTAAAGTTTCAGTTTTTTAAAGATTTGTAAAAAGGTTCTGTTTGTTGTTTGTTAATAAACTTCTTGTTGGTAATTAACTTGGAATATATCCTGTTGGTTAATATATTTTTTGTACTTCTTTTAAGAACAGACTAATAATAACAAACCAAAACAAGCTTCAATACAAAATTAAAATTGAATTTACTTTTTTAAAAAAATTAATTAAATTTATTTATTTTCTCAAGAAACTTCTCCTATAACCATTGCTAGAAAATCACACTTTTGAATAAATACTCATTTTAAATGTCAAATTGTTTTACCAGTTGAGAAAATAGTTGTAAACTTGTAAAAAACACATACATTTTGGATCTTTGTAGTCTATGATCTGAGAGGAATTCGTTTCAGCTGGTTTCTTCTTCTTCTTTCTTCTCCTCACCGGTTTGTCTATGGTAGGAGGCCGTGTTCCAGAGGAGTCGCTGACAAAGACGAAATTGTTTGAGACCCAACCGTCCGAGACCTTCGGAATGATCACTGTCCTTGCGACCGTGCCGTTTTCGTGTCTGACCCGTGTCACTTGGACGGAATCCTCCTGGCCTGGGATCAGGTCTTCCGCGTACGCGAAACTTACTAACAGAAGGATGTACATGGCACTGCACGGTCCGCGGCCTCTCCCGAGAATATATGCTCTCCTAGTTCACAATGGCGACGCGCTCTACTAAACGGAAAGATGAGTCAGGGTCATCACGATTTGAAAAATCGTAAATCTATGAAGAACGAAAGCGTTTCAAGATTCTGGACGATCGGAATTTCCTTACGTTTATTGTTCCTGACCGGAGATATGTTATTAGCATGTTTCTCTTTTTTTCTGCTTACGAAGATACTAACTGGCCGAAAAAGAAACTGTTCTTACCTCAGGGAAACTTAAAAGCATCATAAGCGTATCGCACAGATCTAACACTTACCGGTTAAATAGCGAAAAGGAACAGCTAGGATATATATATATATATATATATATATATATATATATATATATATATATATATNCATGATTGAATTAGTCATGAGTAAATTAATCATTATATGATTTAATCATAATTAATTCAATCATGAGGTATGACTAAATCATTGCAATCATTACAATATATAACAAATCAATTAATTAAGGTTTTTAGTTGAGATGAAAAAAAGTCAATGGCACTTGCGGGATTCGAACCTACGATCTTCGGCTTGATACGCCGCTGCTCTACCACTTGAACTATCGTGACCTCGATCCACTCGGACACCAACCTGCCATCTCAACCACACCTTTTGAATTTTCCCTCCTTTTTGCCATTTTTCAGTACAATACCAAATAAAACAACGTCTATTTACGTTTATTTACTTCAATCTTTTTCCCCCACATGCATAATTAATTTTTGTTGGGTTTTAATTTGTAACGGTTTAAGGTATCAGTTTGTGAATTTTTTTTCAATTTATGTATTTAGTATGCCTTTTTAGTAGTATTTACATGTTCTTTTTTTTTAAATAATCCATTTAGTTATTAGTTTTTAATTAACTAGTTATAACCTTTTTTTCTTTTACAAATAATGGAAAAAATATTTTTTTTTACAAAATTGCAGACATTGTATAGTTTCTTGGATCTGTAATTTTACAAATAATTAATATTTCATCATTACTTATTCCAGAATTCAGGGATCCAACGCTCATTTGGCAGTGTCTTTTAATTCCTTTCTCGTCTGGTTACATGTTGTGACTCAGGTTGATTAAATAAATCTTAGCGTTAGAAATTAATTTATCACAACACCATATAAAATATTAAATTTTTTTCCATTATTTATACACATTATAATAAATTTATAATTATATATTTTTTATTATTTAACAACTATTAAATTTGATTGACCTTTACACATGGACATTATTTTTCCATATATTCAACAATTTTCATATTTCTTTGTTTTTTTATTATGAGGACGACATAATTTATTTCTTTTATGTAAATATATATTTATGATTAAAAAGTAAATGTATATTTTTATAAAAATACGATTAGCAATAACAGATAAACTACAAAATCTATTCCTTTTTTTAAACTTTTTTTTTTCAATATTACAGTGTTATAAGTATCTAATAATACTGCTATTGGTAAACAGCAAAACATTTTTTAAAACAAAACATTTATAAACATTTTAAAGAAAACATTTATCCGAGAGTTTTTTTAATAACCTCAGAAGCACCATTAGTTCTTTGACACGATTAATAACCTTTATCGGGTCGACCCCGTAGCGATAATTACCTCGATTCATGTTCGATATAAGCTTGTACAATAAATGTATAATATACATATTACATTGATTGTTATAAATAATACACATATATATATAATATTCAATAGATTTTGTATATATGTATGTACACTCTATAAATCTTTAACACTTTTTCCCTCCATCACTTCTTCACATTAAAAAAAGTGACTATCCTGATATTCAGGGGATTTGAGCGGCAAATTGATTTCTAAAATCTTTAAAATTCACATAATTTATTTTTTAGTATTAACCTCTTGCAATTTTTTAACGTATGTCCGACCATATATATATATTAACCATAATTTAAATTAGATAATTTTTTACTATTAATTTTTATTATTATATAGTATTTTAAGAAAATATAAACTCAATAGATAAAATTTAAATATTTGTAACATTTGCCTCGAAAATACATAACTATTATTTAAAGCAAGATTATATTATTTCACAGAAAACATTACAGAAGCATAAAAGACTGTTAAGAATTAAAATTGGCCTTAAAACCCAAATCAAATAACTTTAAATTATCAAGAAAAAATTAGCTTCTTTTAGCCTGTTGATTACAGAAAAGTATAACATTAAAAATAAAGTAAAAACGTAATGGTAAAACAATATGAACAAAAGAACAATGATTGCTTCAAATAATTTCCAATTTCTCATGAATAATTTAATCATTTTCTATTGTCAATTTAATCTTTGAACAAAAATCTGCCAGATTAGTCTTCCTTTCTATAAGCTATTTAATAAATAATATTCTTAAAAGCAAACTACAATTACGATTGTCTGCTTGAGAAAGGGTTTGTCTTTCTTATAAATGAACTTTTGAATAATTGTTTATTCTACAATTGTTAATAAAAAATCTTTGAACAAATGACCTATTTTCTTATATGTTCATTTACACTTACTTACAGAAAAATGTGTTTTTAAAGATTTTTCGAGATTCGTTTTAAATTTTTTTTCGTAGGATTTAGTTTTTTTTAATATAATTTTTTTTCCAAATATAGTATTTTAATGAGAACAAAGCACATTTTAAACACACAATATTTACAATTTTGTTTATTGTATTCATAAAAAACAATAAACAATTTAGAAGAAATAAAGCCTAAAGGAAGGCTTTAGAAAGTAATAATCACAATTATTTGGGAACCGGCTACGTCTAATAACTTATGGTCTTGGTGGCAGAATTACTCAGCAATCCAAAAATAACTAAATTAATTTAAAAAAATTAAAAATATCAAAATAAATAAATATTAATAATCTATTGACTCCCTATTGTTATAATTTCGTGTCGTTCCATAAAATCGAGTTGGTTTTTCATTAATTCTTTCTCAATCTGAGAAAAATAAAACTCGACGAGACAGCCAAACCGGCCCCACGGCTGAATCATCTTTGCTTGGTTAGTTTTTTAAAGACGATACAAGACCACAGCCACATGAGCAAGTTTTTTTAATACGTATAGAAGTTAAAAACAATTTTTAATGTTATTTAAACCCGTATGACGCTATATAAAGAATTATTCTACTCTTAATGTTTAATTATATTTTATTTTTTGTTTAAATGAAAATACAAAAACTTTTTTATTTATTTATTTTTTCTTCTTGTTCTTCTAAAAAGACACAATTTAGTATAAAGACAGATGCAGAACAAACACCGATTTTTATTATAAAAAACACTACACATCTAGAAACTATGAGAAGAGCTCACCTAGAAATTTTTTTTTTAAATATATTTTATTGCTTTGTCTATAAGTTTAAGAAAAATTGGAAAAGAAGTTATTGATAAGAAATATTTGTAATTAATTCAGATTGATTAAACATGATAGAAAATGTCTTTTATTTAAAAAAAGGATAATCAATCTCTCGGATGAAATGGAATCAACAGCACAGTTATGTATAATACCCTGATATTTTTCGCTGATGATTTTTACCCAACACCCTCGAGGAACATTTTATTTTTATTTTATAGAACGGCTTATTAGAAGGACCAATCCTTTCTCAAGTTCGAAACAAGCAATTGTAAAGTTTGCTCATGTACATTTTTCAATAAAATTTCTAGAAAAACTGAGTCTTTAAGAACATAATAAACTTGACATTCACATTTCAAAATTGTATACGTACACTTTATATGCTAATAAAATATTATATATTTTTTATATCGTTATTAGATTTAGAAAACATCTTTGCTTATACATTTAAAATACATATATATTTCCTTATTTAGAAAAAAACGCCGCCTTTCACCAATTCGTGCTGGCACAAAGTAAGAAGATCTAATACATTATAAACAATTACACACCGTATTTTTTTGTTTTTTCTTTAAAAAACAGAAATAATTTAAAACGTTTCATTTTCCCCCAAAAAAACTCTTTGTGGAGTGTTTTCGTCGTAATACAGGCACATATATAAATATAATACACCGTACATACACAAAATACTTGTCATATATAATATTTCTGATTTGAGCGATACCTAAAAGCTAGACTAATACATTCAATAATTGTACTGTACAAAAAAGATTTAGGATTTCATTTTTTTGTCTTTACCTATTAGTTTTTGGTTTTAAATCTATATTGATTTTACCTAAACCATGTTGAAATTTTTGGCACTATCTTCTTTTAAAAAAACAAACCTAAAGCCTTCTGCCAAAGGAAACGTTGAGTTTTGTATTTTTAAAAGTGTCGAAGTTTTTTTTTTACATAAAAAGAGATATGTAAATATTTTTTGGTTTCGACGTGGTTTCGTTTAAATCACTTTGAAATCAATTTAATGAATCTAATTTTTTCTCTTCTATATCACTCCCATTGGCTTTGACTGCGAACTCAATTATATTTTCATAAATCCGCGCCAATGAAATTGTTGATTGATTGTTTTATTGTATTGTAATAATCCATGGGGCTACCTTGGAATAACATCTAATTAATGAATAACTGATTATATCGTTAAAAATACTATAAAATTTGATATTGTTGTATAATTTTTTCTAATAATTGCTGATCTAGAAGGCATAATGTTAATTTTAGGCCAATTTTGTCCAGTCAACGTAAAATTAATAATTTATCTTTTTTAAGAAGAAACATTTTTGAAAAAATTATAAATATATGCAGACAAGAGGAAGCTGCGGAAGTGGGATCAGATATTTTAATGAAACTTTTGTAGCGATACTTGGATGACTTCTTACTACTGGGCCCTAGGAGTCGAAAAAATAATATTTGAAGTCATTTAAATAATTTTTCGAAATAATTTTCTGTCTGTATGGAGCATGTATTTAAACGTTTTTTTCAAGTGTAAGAAAATAATAAGCGGTATTTTATAAAAATAAGATTTGGTATAAAACAAGTGACAAAATCTACGCCCAAAAACTAGTAAAGCAGGTAAGAAAAAGTTTTTTTTAAAACTAATAGTTCAGGTTTGTTTTATACACATTTTTAAGATCTGAAATACAAATATTATTAAAAATAAAATGCCGACTTTTTAACTGATGTGGTTATTAAAATTTCATAACTCCTATTGAATTTCTTTAAATTGTAAATCAAATAAGGTTGAAACTTCAACAGTATATTTTTTAAATAAGTGATGTTACTTATACAATAAAAATTAAAATTAATCCGAATGATGAAAATTGCGCCCAATGTGAAAATTTTTTATTAATTGAAATTATTGACGTTACTTGTAAATGATAGTCAATTAATAATGACTTGTTTTGGGATTTGACTTACTTAAAAGGTAAAAGTATAAATTTATAGCATTGTGTATCGATGTATAATTTTAAGTAGATCGGTCGTGTCGGGTCTAAGTCATCACCATATTCATTGATGATCCTAGGTAGTAAGCTCCTTTTTGTGAAAGATGAAAATATTCAATTATGCTGAATTTACACTTATTTTTCATTACTTGCGAATTTTTTGGAACAATTTTGAATCAATTTGTTCAATATGTGTTGTATTTAGTGACTGTTAATTACTGATTATTTGGAGATCGTGAGGTGCGGTCTTGTGTGATGTACGTTTAGAAAAACATTTTCTTCATCTTGCCAACGTTTCGGTCTTTATTTAGATCTTCTTCAGGGCTCAAAGTGTGCGTTCTCTGTGTAGATGCGTTAAGGTTAGTCGTGTGCTTACTAACACTTATTAACACTCGCAACACGAACACAACCGACACATCATCACAAAAAAACAAACAGTTTGTGCCCTGAAGATGATCTAAATAAAGATCGAAACGTTAGCACAATAAAGAAAATGTTTTTTAAACCTACATCACACAAGACCGCATCTCACGATTTCCAAATGATCATTTTATCATATCGTCATATTACTTCCAAAACAGAATGTAATCTGAAGTATTGAACTTCGCATTGTAAATTATATTTTTTATTTTCCTAAAGTTTTCATTTCTTCGTCGAGGGTAAAATGTGACACAAGGAGAAAAAAATTCCTGGTATCTGTACAAAAATAAATTTCCTCTTCGCACGGATTCTCCTAACTAATGAATTTTGTAGTTCGCAGTCTGAAAAGTTTCTAAGTAGCCCTTAATTAAAATTTTCAAAGTTTTTCGTCCGTATTCTCAGGTTTGATCCTGTTGATGCAGTTGTGCACCGGTGACACTGTGGGGACGTAGCGACCCCAGGAGGGCTTTAGCTACCAGACCGGAAATCTGTAATTCAGGGTCGGTTGGAGGCTGCGCTCGTTGGTCTCCACGTATCACAGAACTGTTTCCATTTCCGCTATCTCCGTCTTGCCACTGAAAGCCAAACACATTGTACAATTAGTAAAATATATTTAAAAAATGCGAGACGTAAAAAAAACACCTAAATTTTCTAAAGATTCATCAAGTTCGTATCATGTTATGCTGATTTCACTCGGCTTCTTATTAATATAAATCTTTCGGGGGGCCGCGGTACCCGAGTCGTTAAGGCGTCAGACTCTGGGCTAGTAGATCCCGCGGTCGTGGGTTCGATCCCCACCGTTGCCTCTGGACTTTTTCTGACGCCTAAGCGGACCGCGGCCGCAATTGAAAGAAATTGACACATCAATGGAAGGAGCGGGATCAGATCTCAGCGACCCTGAATTTGGTCCCGACCCCCTTCAAAAATGAGTTTCTTCGATGGAAGAACACCGGCACACCGGGGGCTCAAATGTCCACTTGTGTTGCGAGCCCTCAAAAAATGGAGCCAGAGATAAAGTACGCTGTACAGCTGCAGTGCTCAGAAGGGAACTCCTCCAGTTCCTGGTATCCATTGTAATAAAAAAAAAATAAATCTTATAAAAGGCAGATTAGTCATACTGATTATTACTCATGTACAACTGTTGCATAGTTTTTAATTTTCTTGAGGTCTGCTGGGCAAACGAGTCATGGGCTAAGGTTTAGCACATTTTTTCTAGTGCTCTGGTACATTTCTGCTTTTTACCACCATGTGGAGAGGTAGGACAGGGTTATAAGTTAGGAAAGGCACCGACGTTTTTCTTTTATAAATGGCTTTTATTTCTTCTTTTGTGTAAGCTAATGAGTGATTTGATTTTTTTTTATAATTATGAAATTAAAACTACAACATAAAAGTGCCTTAGTAAACATCATAAGAAAGAAGGAGGACTGATTTATTTATACCAAACCCTTTAATTGTTTTAAAACAAATGCAAATTACTGAATTTTTATTGCCCCGAGTTAGTCTCCTCCTTCATAGGCTTGAATCCTTGTGAATTCTCCCTTTGGGAAGTTAAGCAATCCATTTACAGGGAACAATCCTTTGATAATTTAATTTATATAATTGCCGCGGCTCGTTATAGCTGGGTTTTCACATAAAAGAGAGCTAATACCTCATAAAAACTGAATTATTTCAGATAGCTTTGCATTTTTAATGTAATTCTGTTTTAGATACAGAAAAACAAAAACGGAAAATACTCATGCACCCGGATCACAGATTTCTGAATTCACAGTCCAAAATACATATCCCTGTTACAGAATAAACGTGTTTAATTGTGTTCATTTTGCAGAGGGTTTTAAACATCAACACAATTTAAAGTACATTCACAAATTTGAAGAGCTTAGTTAGTCGCAAATGCTCTGGAAGAACGATACACCCAAAACTATAAATTTAACAATTTTGATTTTTATACCATACATAAAATAGTGTTTATTACTTGCTAAATATTTGTATAAAATATATTTTAAAAGGAAATTAATTAAGGATCAAGGTTCTCAGTTTTTACATACCACACCAATTTTTGTGTTGTTTTTGATATTTTAGTGTGCCTATGTAAAATACTTTTGTTAAAAATCTGTGAGGTCCTGTTCTCATTACAAATTTCATTAAATATTATAAAACATTATAGTGTAACAATTGATCTAGGTTGTTACACATTTTTCCAAACCAGTAATCAAATACCTCAGCAGTATTGGGTGACTCCTCGTTTTAAATTTTTTTCTCTTTGACCTGCATGAAAATTGCTGTATGTTAGTACGTATAAATTTCGAAAGAATATCCTGGTGGATCATTTTGAAGTAAAGTTGATTAAATCGAAAAAAGAATTCACCTGTACAGCTGAGGGGTCGAGGCGCAGAACCTGCCTCCGTATTCTGTTGTCGTTATATGGTTCCTGGTCATATCCCTGGTCCGCATAACTTCTGTGTTCCTGATTATGTTGTCACAGCATGGAAGCCTGAAAATATACAACATGTCATAACTTGTCTAAAAATTCAATGCTATAATCTCTTAGATGTATGTTCGATTTTTTTCATATTTATAAGGCCATAGTTTCTTTGCTAACCTCATATAAATTCAAACATATGTGGTATGATTTTAATTAGTCTAAACATTTGTTATTCTGGATTTTTTTTACAATAAAACAATCTTGTAAATATTTATTATATATATTTTATTATTTAAAAGATAAAAATTTCTTATCACATATTTAAAAAAATTAATATTAATAGTTTAGGCCATCCTGTATGTCACAATTTATATTTTACTATGAGAAACAATAAAATGCATCGTGCTTATATACCTGTCTACTGTGTTTTATGAACTGTTTTCTACTATTTATTTACTCTACGATTAATTTCTTTTCCATTTTTCAAACTATATATCTCCGGCGTAAAAAGGTAAAATGAAACAGAAATAATAGAAAAGCGCAAAGTGAAAGCCAAAACAATTACTGCGATATGCAGGCTGCTGTTAATGACATTATTTACATTATGACAAATTATGCGGGTTTTTTTTTGAAACATAAAAGATGGTCAAGTCCGGGCAAAAAAATGCTTAACAATTGACAAGGTTTAGTATGAAAACTGGTTACCAGTATATCAGGCGAATCGGTAACGGCAGATGGGAAAAATATGTACAATTTGTAAATTTTTGAAAAACATTATATCAAGGCGGAAATGATATACTTACGAACGTCTAAATATGCATTATTGATGAGGAAAATAAATATTTTGGTCGTGTTATTTCCATCGACATTAATTACTCAACTTGAGTATAGGATTGATCAGAAATTACAATATATTATTTACAAAAAAATAACAAAGGTTATTATTTTAAATGTGTATTTTTGGTATTTAGATAAATTTTAGTTTACAAATTAGTCAAGTAATATAAATTAAAATTTGTATAAAACACCTCAATAATATTTTTTTTAAATAGAAGATAGATGTTGTTTAGATGGGTACCCCAGGTAATACTAACGTTTAACATAAAAAGAAATTTGTACTTTCATGTATGTGATGTTATTTATTGGAAAAAATGTATCTATTTGGATGAATGGAGGGGCGTATCCCTAAATAACCAGAGGAACATCCAGTACTCTGTAGTAGTATGGATGGATGTGAGAATGTAATTTATTAGCTGGAATGAAGGACTTACGTTTAAATACCCCAAGCATATTGACATTACTCTAGGGTAGTGTGAACGAAGTCTGGTGTGCGGATGTAATTTATTAGCGTGAATATTTGGGTCATCCCCAATTACACCGAGCAATTTTGAGTATACTGGGGTAGTATGCTAACCAGACTATTATGTTTTTGCTTTGTTTCTGTGTATTTATGTTTGTTATTTGCGTTATTTTATCCATAATTGACAAGGCTTTGAGGTACAAAGAAAAGAGAAAGTTGGTAATCGGTATATCTTACAACGTCATTACTTGGCTGAAGTAACGGGAAATTAAATCAACGGTTTAAAATGCAAGAAAGTTGAGAAATAGAGGAATAGCGACGACCAATGATGTTTGCCGGTCCTAAAAGTTAACAAAATATTTGAAATATGTATTTATATTCATAACCATTCAACCTAAACAAATTGACTGTATTTTTTTTAGCATGAGCTCTACGATCAAATATTGCATTTTTTCAATTCCATAAAAAAAATTTAAACATGAAATTGTTTTTCAAGTGGTAGGTAACCTAAATTTTCGTTTGTGGATATATTACAAGTCCATTTGTTTTTATAAAAAATTAAACAGATTTTGCTACGCTAAATCGAGAAGGGCAAAAGAAACAATTATTATTTGTACGGCAAAAATTAATTTCACTAATGAGTATAAAGAAATCGTGAGATGCGGTCTGGTGTGATGTAGGTTTCAGAAAATTCTTTATCGTGCCAACGTTTCGATCTTTATTGAGATCATCTTCAGGGCCTGGGATTTACAAACATTGTTTACATATAACAATTACATGTAGGATGTGGAAAAAAGTGAATTTATGCAATGCAAAAAATATTTTTTATATTCAATCAAAGTATTCCCACTCACTCAAAGTGTTTCTTTTCTGCGAAATTGCGCCATTCTTGCGTGTCGTGTTGAGAGTGCCAGTGAGATACTGCTGTTTTACAAGTACACAGAAAACAGATAAAAAATTATTAGCAAAAGTGAATTTATACAATGCCAATCATTTTTTATATTCAATGAAAGTATTTCTACTCACTCAAAGTGTTTGTTTTCTGTGTACTTGTAAAACAGCAATATCTCACGGCCACTCTCAACACGACACGCAAGAATGGCACAATTACGCAGAAAAGAAACACTTTGAGTGAGTAGAAATACTTTGATTGAATATAAAAAAAATATATTTTCCATTGTATACATTATCTTTTCCACATCCTAAATGTATTTGTTAAATGTAAACAATGTTTGTAAATCCCAGGCCTTCAAGATGATCTCAATAAAGATCGAAACGTTGGCACGATAAAGAAAATGTTTTTCTGAAACCTACATTACACCAGACCGCATCTCACGATTCTGAATAATCATTTGTGATATCTTATAGATTACATAAGAGAAAAAGTATTTATTATTAATGAAAGAATCGCATGTTGTGGTATCTACCCTTAAATACGAAGATGCGGGTCATTATGATTTAAAAGAAAGTAGGTTTCTTCAAAAATTCTACAGTTCAATATTAATGTTACCCCAATGTTAATATAAATAAAATAAAATATAATACCCAATGTTAATTATAAACAGTTTTTACATCAAATCACAATAAATAAGCTGCTGCTGTAAAATTCAGTTATAAGACTAGATGAGATATAGAGGATTGCTAAACTGGGAAATGTGAGTAAAAAAGGTGTGCTTAAAAGCTGTGGTAGTCTGCAAAGCGAAAACATGCCCATGCATGAGTAAATTATAACAATACACAAACCCAAACATTAAAACAACAAAACACAAATAAAAAAGATGAGTTTTTGATTCTTCTTTTCATAATTATCCGTTTTTTTGTCTTTGACTTACCGAGTCGATGCGAGGTCAGACGGTATTGGGGATGGCTGTGGTTCTGCGCACTGGAGCCAACAGCACGTTTCCGGTTCCGCATGTTTTCGCCTCCTCCGAAAAATACGACAACTCTGTACTTTTGTGGTTCCCGAGACGTGTGTCTGTCTTCGATTTGGTACGATCGGCTCGGAGAAGGGAAGGGTTTCCAAAATAAAATTTGCCAAGACAGTAATAAAAAAAAGTCTCATAACTAAATTGTTTTGTAAATTTTCAGATTGTCGCCGTTGAAATTATTAATATATCATGGAATTGTGTACATATAAAAACGCAACATACATCCTTTGAAACGATTTCATTGATTACATTTCGTTCATACAGAACAGAGAGGACTACTTTAGCAATGACGATCCCGAAATCAATCTTGCGAAACTATGAACAAAAGTTTATATTGATGATGGTTAAAATTAAGACAAAACCTACTATTCTATTCGCCAGTTTATACTAAATAGGTAAAGAGTTAAGAGGTTTCGCCTAGTTCTAGTTATAAAGTAGCAAAATAATTGAATCAATTCTTTTCCATCAATTGTTCGAACAAATAAGGAAATGAACTTTTTTTTAACAATTGTTAAATCTCGTAAGACGAAAGTGTAAATATGATGTAAAGAATTAATGAAAATGTTTTACAATTGAAACTAAAAAACATACTTGCGTGGAACTGGGTCCATGCCTGAATCGCTGGATTTCGAAGGTTTAGAATTTTGTTGGAATTACCCTGGATGGAAATTATGTTTTTTTTTTAACGAACGTAACATGGACAGGCTTAGAGTACAACCAATTTTGTCCAAAAGGCACTTCAGGCTTTGTTTAAATTTTGAGGGAATTTTGTGATATTTAATATAAATTTGTTCACAGCGGAAAATCTTTCTTGTCGACAAAATAAATGGTGGAAATTCAGATCTGGCACACTGGCATATTGGGATCTTATGCAACAGACAGCTGCTTCAAAGTGAGTGGGGCAACAAATACTTAGATAACAGACCAATACAAACTGGAGTCTCCATCATCCTTTCCCATTTATCAAGATGATACTGTTATTATCTTTTCTTTCTCGAATCCTTTCCTACCAACCTACAAAACCCAAGAAGATTGTAGTTTATAAAACACTGATTGATGACAAATGTAGCCACAATGCATTTACCCGAGAACAAATATTGTCCAGTATACATCAGCAACAAAGATCTCTGACTTACCACGATACATTTGAAAATATGCGCAGTAAGAAAAAAAATGGAAGTGCTAAGCACGAAAGGAGAAGGACAGATTTTTTTTTTCGAAATCGAAATCGGAATCGAACCCACGACCGCGGCGTGAGAGTCTCTCATGCTAACCACTCGGCTATCGCGGTCCCCTAAGAGAAGGACAGATTAGAGAGAACAGTTAAGGAAGCGCCCCGAATGGTAGGAAAAAAAAGAAGAATGAGAAGAGCCCTCGACATTCTTAGCCCTAAAAAGGTTTTTGTTGTTTCCTTTACAACATATGTCTTATGTATATGGGTCACCTTTTTTCTTCTGTTACGGTAGATTAATATTGGCGTAAGCTAGTGATTAGAAAACCTCTCGTGTTGGCCCAATTATACCGTGGAACTTTTGTGCAAACTACGTGATCAACATAGTGTGAGTTGTGAGCATCGAGCTCAGGTCTCAAATAGTTATCTTCTTTTTAAGGCTATAGGCTACTATAAGGCAACATTTAATCTAAACGTTCAAGCTAGTGGTTCTATGAAACTTCCGACTCTTTGATGGCTACTTAAAATCAGATGCGAGCAAGTGTTACTCAGTTCTGTGCCATGGAAGGAAGACGACGGAAATTTTTTGCGCGCGATCTGTAACCTAAGAGCTAGGGAAGATATCTCTCATTTTTTTGCCCAGTGTCCCATACTGTCAGAGCGTCGCGTATTTAGGGTATAAATCGCTTTCTAGGTCACAGTTGCTTGATCTGTTAAATATGTGGATATTGAGCGGTCGAAAGGTCTAGCATACTATGCACGTCATGTTTGGCAATGTAGGTAAGAACACAATACCGAGTTATAATTGTTTAACTTGTTGTACCTAAAATCAGATAGCTTTTATAATTTAGTTTTTATTTATAGTTTTCTATCATTACTATTATTATATAGTTTATTTTTCTTTTTTCTTTTTCGCACCCCTGAAAAAGAACAGCCAACTTCCGGCAGACGGATAATCATCCATGCTGTAAAATACTTTTAATATTGTATATGATTAATTAAGGTTTTTAGTCGAGATAAAAAAGAAAGAAAGAGGGAAAATTGATGGTTGAGATGCGAAGTTAGTGCTCGAGTGGACCGAAGTCACGATAGCTCAGGTGGTAGAGTAGCGGCGTATCAAGCCGAAGGTCGTGGGTTCGAATCCCGTTCGTGACCCTGACTTTTTTATCTCAACTTAAAACTTTAATAAATTGAATGATATTAATTGGTCAAGCGGATCACGAAAAATAGCGAATTTAATGAATTAAAATGAAGTATACTTCCCTAAAGCTCTCCGTGGTTATTTTATTTGTCCCGAGAATCAAATAAATTACACGATATTTGAAAAATGGCAAAAAGATGGGAAAATTCAAAAGGTGGGGTTAAGATAGTAAGTTAGTGCCCGAGTGGATCGAAGTCACGATAGCTCAAGTGGTAGAGCAGCGGCGTATTTAAGCCAAAGATCGTGAGTTCGAATCCCGCTCGTCACACTGACTTTTTTATCTCAACTAAAAGCCTTAATTAATTGAAAGATATTAATTGGTCAAGCGGACCACGAAAACTAGTGAACTGTATATTATGTAATGCTTATCTTCAATGTAAATAAAGCATGTTATCTATCTATTGGCGCTAGCGCAATTTTCATTTCAAAAAGTTTTCAAAAATTTAGTTGTTTTCCAAATTTAGGTTATTGGCTTAAGGTTTAATTTTATTCTCTGTTTTTCTATAAATTATTAGTTTTTTCAATCGTAGTTATTATCGTTTGACCACTAGTTCAATTTATAAATTTATTTCAGTTTTCCTCTTTCTACATTGAGGGATCCACGGAATATTACCAACGCTTAAACTAGACTTAAACTCACGTCAGATACTTATGTCTATACTTAGACGACATACTGAAGTATAATCCCCACAAAATACTCGGCAGGTAACCACATAACAAACTGGACAACTATGAACGAAATCTATTTGACTGTCAAAACTTAACTAACTGTGAACAAGTCAAAAGTAAAACCAATTTGAACATACTAAGTGGAAGTGTGGAGTTTCGCTGGGCCATCCGATATCCAGTGAATCTAATCCTTCCGATCAAAAGTCCTGAGCTTGTCAAAGCTTCTTGCTATGTCACTTGGTTCACTATCCACAACGACGTAAACGTTCCTTTCTTCCAGATCCGATCCCATTTCCAAATGTTAAATACGAAGATCTCGATACATCCTATTCCTACCGCCCAAGCCTTATCTACATTTTTTACTCTGAGAGCCCAACGACGATTGAATCAAGATATCCATTGGAATAATAAAACACATACAAAGAAAAATTAATATAGCTAATTCATCGAATGAATGTAGACAAATATACAACTTGTGAATATTAGCCATCTTTCATCGCCGCCACCGAGAAACCCCCTCAATTATATACCCACCTCTTCGAAGTCCAGTTTCGTTCACACAATAAATAAAAACCTATAGTTTTCAGATGTATGTATGTATGTATGTATGTATGTATGTATGTATGTATGTATGTATGTATGTATGTATGTATGTATGTATGTATGTATGTATGTATGTATGTATATATATATGTGTATGTATGTATGTATGTATGTATGTATGTATGTATGTATGTATGTATGTATGTATGTATGTATGTATGTATATATATATGTATNTATATATATATATATATGTGTGTGTGTGTGTGTGTGTATGCATGTATGTATGTGTTTTTTTTGTGTGTGTATGTGTATTTGTATATAAAGACAGATATTTATATTACAAATGTCTATAATTGAGATGTGAATGATGTTGCCAAATGTTTTCAACATTTCTTCTGGATATTATCACAGTAAAAGCGAGAACAGACGGACCAACACCAACCAGGCTGTTCAAACCTTAAACCATTCAGTGCAGTTTGCACAGTTAAAAAGTAAGTAGTTTTGAGACATTCTGTATCTTTTCTAATTTCAATTTTGTTATACCTTTTTTTTTTTGTTAAAAACAAATCCAGTTTAGATAAAAGTTTGCACCTCTGGTTTTGACCAACTCCGAGCCGACTACTCCCTTGTCTTTGTGTGTTTCAAAAGCTAAAATTCGCTGGATATCACCAGTGGATATAAATGCAAAAAGGTGAGACCGAAAAAAAAGTCCATGCAGATAAAAGGTGTGTCAATCCACTAAAACGTGTCCACACACTGGATAAAAAGTGTGTGTTCAATATGAATCTTTTACAGAGTAACAAATCATTTATAAACAAAAGAAGAAAATGTTCCTTAGAAAACGACAAAAGGAAAATACAAAACAGTGTCTGAAAAAAGTCAAGTGTGGTCAAATAAAGAAGAACATTTCAAAAAGTGTATGAAACAAAAAATGTGAGGTGGTTTGGCAAAATCAACCTTTTGTAAACACATTCTAAAACTACTCACTTTAGAAAAGCTTGGTTTTAAAATATATTGTTATTTAAAGTTTTATTTTATTATTATTGCATATTAAAAAAGATATATGTCATAATTTCTCAAATGTCCGGACATTTAAGACACACTGCTTCTTTAAACAATTTGTTTATTTAAATTTCAGGTTTTAGTCAATAAATAAAATAAAAATCTACGAAAACACACAGGGAGCACACCCATATTAGGCAGATAAATTATTAGAATTTTTTAAAGCTGTTTTCGGTAAAAAAAAATCTTACTTATGCGACGGTTTTATCCCTTGAGACTCCATTTCCCTTTCCAGCTGTCTTATCAGCCTCCTGGCTAGGTCAAGCTCGTGCTGGACTTTCCACAGTCTGGTGTCGCAGATCGGATCCTGGCATCTGTGGTCTCTGAGTATCCCTTGCGCTTCGTAAACCGCTCCTCTAAACGTCAACGACTTTCCCATACTCTGTCAAATAGGAAAAGAAGTTGTGTTAATTTATATTTTAACTCGAAACAAAGACTGCAAACAGCTTGGATATATGGTATCATAGTAACCAATAGACCGACACGCTGATGAAATTTTATGTAAGCAGCTATATATGCTGAAATATATTTATAAACTTTAAACCGATATAAACAGGACTCGGCAGACAAAACATCGCATAGACCAACCAGTCAAGTCGTTTTAGCATACCAACTGTTGTTTGCACAAAACAACGGGAAGAGAAATAAATTAATAAATAATGAACGGGAGAAAAGGAAAACGTAGTGTTAATTACTTTAAAGTTGCCCGAGAACTTGAGCCGGAAACGAGGAATCGTCCTTACGCGATTAAGGATAGGCCATGCGCGGTTGACACATGGGGACCCGCTCATGGGCCAAAGCCCGCGCAGAAAAGTTGCTCGATGTATCCCACATACTGGAAACATCCGCTTTCTAGGAGAATGTGTGGTGATTAGTGACCGTTAATCGATATTTATTTAGAAATCGTGAGATGCGGTCTGGTGTGATGTAGGTTTCAGAAAAACATTTTCTTTATCGTGCCAACGTTTCGATCTTTATTGAGATCATCTTCAGGGCTCAAAGTGTTTGTCTTCTGTGCAATTGTGCCATTCTTGCGTGCCCATGATCTCAATAAAGATCGAAACGTTGGCACGATAAAGAAAATGTTTTTCTAAAACCTACATCACACCAGACCGCATCTCACGATTTCTAAATAAATTTCTAGGGGAAATTGGGGTTTTTTATTGCATATAATATCTTATGTGTTGTGTGTCTATATGTCTTGTCTGAGTGCATGTATTTATTAGCGTGAATGGCGAGGGGTAAGGGCAAAATGCAAACCTTTGAGCTCTGAAGATGATCTCAATAAAGATCGAAACGTTGGCACGATAAAGAAAATGTTTTTCTGAAACCTACATCACACCAGACCGCATCTCACGATTTCTGAATAATCATCGATTGACGGTCACTAATTCGAATCAAAAACCGATTTTACGATCGAGTTTGAATTTCTGGCGTTGCACACAAAAAAAGGCATAAAAATGTCAATTACTTGTTTCTGTTGAAATAGAAAATGGATGTTATGTTTTTTCGTGACTCGATTTTCGACACAAAACTTATTATAAGTACGAATGGTAATTATTCTAGGAAGGTCCAGTTATTTCTTATGCTCATACGTAATTCCCTATACAAATGGTGAGAGTCTTCAGGCAGGGTGACGAGATGCAATTTTCTCAACCAAAGATTCACTAGAACACTTGATTCTCAACTTCAAGGAATCGTCCTTAAGCGGTTAAGAATAGGCCATACGCGGTTGACACACGGGCACTCGCTCTTCGGCCAAAGCCCGCGCAGGTGCCCTTTATGAAGAGAAATGTTGATCGATGTGTCCCACATACTGAACATGTCATGCCTTGGCTACCTACAAGGAGCGTGTAGGGATGCCATCCAATCTGAAAATGGTACTCGAGCACGGCTGCGGGTTTCTTGGTCCCCTGTTCCGCTTTTTAGGGGAAATTGGGTTCTTTTATTGTATATAATATGTCTTATGTGTTGTATGTCTATATGTTTTATCTGAGTGCATGTATTTATTAGCGTGAATAGAGAGGGGTGAGGGTCAAATATAACGTCATCATCGCCCGTCGAACTTGGGAGCGTAAGCGTGTGTGTTCGGGGTCGATGACGGTTATTTATAAAAGTACTCCATCGACGCCAATCTAGATTAGTTTGCGTTTAGGTCGGTGGAGGAATATCAAGTACTCCACCGACCAAACGAAACGAGTGTACTGTATGGATGTATTTATGTGTATGAATGTATTTATTTGTATGAATGTAGTGTTTGAAAGGGTAAATAGAATATAGACTTAATTGGGGGCTGAAATGACCTAGATGTCGGATGCCTAGCGGAAGGTAAAGGAAGTAAAAGTTCTTACTTTTCGAGAGGAGAAACAAGTGGAAGCTACCTGCGCTCTGGTCGAGAAGGTCGAACCAAGAAGAAAAGCTTTCCATATCGTACTTTTTGATCCTCACTCTTTCAAACAGCTACCAAGAGCAGTACCGTCGAAAATTGAAGTGGAAAACGTCAAAAGGGCAAAATTCTGGGGAAGAGGGTAGGCCAGAGTAAATTAAAAACTGCAGTTTACGGAGTGCTGGTCAACAGTTGCGTGGCTGACTAGGTTTAAGGAAAAAGAGCCGAGTGGGACGGACGCGTAAGGCTGAGTGTTAGTCCGTAAACAGACATGTGTTTTTGACGAAATAACGAACCATGTCTGACTCTAGACGATTTTACTTTACTCCAACAAATCAGACGTCGACCACTGAGGATCGTAAATTTCTTAGACTTATCGAATAGACAGAAAATAATGCACGACTTACAAGGCTGACGAGCGCGCAGCAACCCCCTCTGTCTGTTTTAGCGAGGTGTTTCCTCACGTATTTGTAGTAGATATGCTCTAGGAGAAGGAGGCACATTGCGAACAGTATGCCTGCCATGAGAAGCAAGAAAGCCGACAGAAACTGCTCCAGGGCCAAAGGATCGGATGATTTGTGCTCCTGCTTGCCAGGTTTGCATGTCCCCGTCATCCAGTACCTGCGGAGTCTCTCAAGATCGCCTAATCATAAATAAAATTAAGAATTGGACACGTTATTAACAATTCGACGTCATACCGTTTTCTCTGAAGTCGAGTAGTCGCTTGTTGAACATCTGCAGATATTTCGAGTTTCTGGTGAATGCCAGGCCGTAGCCGGTTTTCGCATACCAGGAGCCAACCGTCAACAGGCGGCAGTCTTCATCTTGAGCAACCAGATAATCCAAAACTGTACCGTCGTATATAAATGCGTCTAAATCCCTAAAACACATAAATGTGACATAAAACTTTTAGAATTTTATCAGCAAAAAGGAAAAATAGGTCTTTATTTTTAACAAAATTTATTATTTCAATGATTTCAATTTCTTTCCTTATAGTAGATTTTATAGAAAAACTGAATACTTTGTAAAGAAAAATCAGCAACTTTCTTGAGGAAGGCGAAATGAACCTCTATTCAACAAGTATAACGATTTAAGTCCAACGGCGGACTTCTACCAAGTAAGATCCTTTTTATCGGTGGAATCGAAAGAGGTTCTTCGGAAACAAATTCCTTTATCGTGAATTGACCTCTGAGTCGGAAAAATAGCCAATTCCGTTCAACCTAACTCCAGACACGTCCGACAATGAACGTTGTCGGCAGAAAAGGCTGCATTTGTAGAGTGATGCCGTTTACCACAATTCTCGTTCTAGTGATCCGGTAAAAACTGCTGCGCTGAAATTACTAAAGCCTAAAGAATTTCACCATCTTTGCCAAATAAAATGCTTTAACATTTTTACTCAAAAATAGTATAGCGGGTTAATAGAATGTCTTTGTTCTATTGACAACATGCTTATGTTTTCATGCTTATGTTCTCTTTCGTCTCCTGCTTGTTCTTGTTTCAATTAGCCTATTTGTTAATAACATAACTTCTAAATAACTCAGCCGATTTTAACAAATGAGGTATCGTTTTACGCGGAATTTTCTGTCAATCAGGTATTAATTTATCGAAGATTGATCAAGCCAACAAGACAGGCGTACGACTTTGACAAGTGGTAGTTCCTATTCACAGTAAGTTTTTTGCAATGATCCGGATTTCGAGCCTTTTAGCTCATCATCAGGTTGAAGGACTTCTACAACCACGTCTCTCGGCATGAAGTGCCAAAGTGAGCCCGCTAATGCCAACGCGACGTTCCAATTAGCAGCTGATTTTTATAAGGGCGCTCAATTTCAACGTGCGAAACGCGGAAATTATAACACAAATAAATATTATACTACGATAGTAAATACTTAATATTATTAAATTACTATAAAAATAATAACAATTAAAATAATTAGTTTAATTATTTGGATGTTCGATATTATTTATGTACATATTTAAAATCGGAGGTAGATCAATATCTGTTATATTATTAATGCATTTATCACCATGTTCAATTTTACATTTTTTAATTTCAAATTTCTCAAACCAATCTAATTCTTTCCCTTTGTTGAAACTATGTAACACTCTTGTATTTAGATTTGAATTGAAATTAAGTTTTGTTTCTTTTAGATGGTCCTTAAATTCCGAAAATTTGCTCGATTTAGGCAAGTGTTCTTTTACTGTTGTTTTTGTTTCTCTACCGCTTTGTCCTATATATTTAATATCACAATCATTACAAATGAGTTGGTAAACCCTGCTTTTTGCCAAGTTGTCTACCGTGTCTTTAGGTTTTGAGAGGATGTTTTTAAGTGAACCCGTACTTCTATAAGCTATTCTAAAATCTTCTTGTTTAAAAATTTTACTAACTTTTTCCGATAATTCACCAATGAATGGCAAACAACGGACACCTAATGATTCATTTGTGGTGGGGTGGCTGAGTCCTATTGTTGATTCGTTTAAAGTTAATTTTTTTATTCTTTTAACTAGCAACCTATCAATAAATATTTCTTGATACCCGTTGTTTTTTGCTAAGGTTTTAATAGTTTTTAATTCTTTTTTATAGTTATCAGGTGTTAGCGGAAGTTTTAACATCCGGTCTATGAGCCAAATGAAACCAGCAGCCTTTTGGGACCATGGGTGGGAAGAATCCGCTGGTATCATAGTGTCTGTAGTTGTGGGTTTTCTATATACGTCTATTTCTATTAGGTTGTTTATTATACACAGTTTTAGGTCTAAAAAACTTACTGTGAGTAGGAACTATAATTTTTAAAAAGGATTGAACACCACACTCACTCCATCATTTATCATTTCTATTTGACAAGTGGTGTTTCTTAAAAGTTTATTTTGTATAATATTTTCCTAACTGATTCTTTTGACCATTATCGAGGTTTGTAACGTTTATACCAGTGGACCTAACATACCCAAAACTTACATCAGAGAGTTCAATTTGTGATTTATGTCTAAGTTCGTAGCATTATCTCTACTTTCAAGTACTTTACCCGATAACCTTTGTGATTCTTGTTTGCTCATGTGTCAGTCACAACCTTCTGGAATGTTTCATAAGTTTCAGTATTTAAACCAGCGTGTATTTTTTTGGTAGCCAACTTGGGAAAATTTCCTTTAGCACCTCTGTGGTGGCCATTTTTCTTTATATCTCAGAGTAGTTTTAATTATGAAGTGCAAATCGATAGGTGGAGCTTTGGCTGTAGTTTTTGAGCTGCTTACAAAAAAGGATTAATGTTTTTTAACAGTTGAAACAGTATAGAATTTATTACCCGTTTATTACGGAATCCACTCCCCCGGTCACTGAGGTACGGTTGAACGGCCTCATGTACGAGTGCATCTCCTTGAAATATTTTTTGAGCGTCGAATCTGTGTGGCTCCACGGTATCGTGCCGAACTTGTACATCGGCTTTTGACTGTATGGCTTCGAAAGCTGCAACAAAGATTAAAAAGTTTAAGAAATCGTTTTATTGAGGTGTGAAGGATGGTGAAATTGTATTTTAGTCGCTTCTGATCGGCTCAAAGCAATCTGCGCGTTCCTCGATATTGAGGGAGCCATCGACAATGCATCTCATGTATCAATGAAGGTCTCCCTAGGGAAAAAACACGTAGACCAAACCACATCCAGATGGATTGGAGAACTGCTAAGAACTAGAATAGCCGAAACGAATATAGGAACAGATACTATAGAAGTTAGCAGTCAAGGGAGGGATACTATCACCTCTTCTATGAAGCCTATCAGTTGATGAACTGCTCGAGACACTGGATCATTCAGGGATAAAATGTCAGGGATATGCGGACGATATAGTCTTGACAGCCAGGGGAAAATTCGAGGAAACTCTCTGTGATATAATCCAAGAGGGACTAAAAATCACAGAATAATGGTGTAAAACCTCTGAGTTAGGAATCGACCCTTATAAAACAACTATAGCCGCTTTTTCACGGAAAAGGGAACTTGAGCACATGAGGGAAAGAACACCCAATAACACCGTGATAGAAATAAAAAATAAGTCAAATATCTGGGCATCACGCTAGATAAAACACTAACATATAAGAAACACATCAGCTCGACCATCAAGAAGGCGACGCGAGCTTTGATGGTGTGCAGAAGAATAGCAGGAAGGAACTGGGATGCAGACCGGAAACCCTGCTATGGATGTACACCATGATAGTAAGACCTTTACTTACATACAGAGCTATAGCCTGGGCTGATAAAGCAGAACAAGTAACCAAAAAAAAGAACTCACAAAAATACAGAGACTTGCAAGCATCTGCATAACGGGAGCAATGAGAACATATCCTACAATAGCACATGGTAATAAGGATAGCGCAGGAAACTATCATTAATTTTACCAAAGAGAAACCTCCAACAGGAATAAAACTAAAATGGAGAGATAGCCCATGGAAAGACCATCCGATACTCATGGCTCCAAGAGACGACATGAACAAGATGTTTGAATTTAACCAAAACTTCCGAAGAAACCTGGGTACCAAAAAAGAATAGGAAAGAGAGGGAAACAGCTCTTTCAAAAATGGCACCATCCTTTGGTACACAGATGGATCTGGAACACAAGAAGGTACAGGGGCAGGAGTATTTGGACCTGGAACCAAATACTCAGAACCCATGAGAAAATACACCAGTATGTTCCAAGTTGAGATTCATGCAATCGAAAGATGTACCCAACTCAACCTAAGTAAAGGGTACAAAAACAAGAATATAGCTATCATGCCAGATAGCCAAGCAGTCATCAAAGCACTAAGCTCAAATATCATTAGTTCAAGGATGGTGCTGAACTCCAAAACCAAACTAAACATACTAGGTACGCAGAATAAAGTCAGCCTCTGTTGGGTCCCAGGACACATGGGAGTAGAAGGCAACGAGAAAGCGGACACCCTTGTAAGAAAAGGGGCTGCTGCACCGCTGATAGGACCTGAACCTTTCTGTGGCATAGGAACCCACACTATTAACGAGTATCTCAGACAGAAGGACAAAAACAAAACGAGGGAACTTTGGAATTCACTAATTAGACAGACAATCCAACAATCTTCTAGCCAATTTTGGAAGGAAAGAAATTACAGAATGTGTCAAGGGAAGCAGAAATAAACTGCGAATCCTAATAGGATTCCTAACAGGACACTGCAAGTTAAATGGCCACTTAAAGAAAGTTGGAATAATCCAAAATGGCACGTGCAGATTATGCAAAGAAGCAGAAGAGACAACAACACATTTACTAACAAACTGCAAAGCTACACTAGCCCGCAGGAGGAAATGCTTTGAGATGTATAATGTGACCATAGAAGAGCTTCAACCATTGAAACCAGGCCTATTAATCAAGTTTCTTGATGAAATAGGACTCACCGATGTGCTTTAGGCAGAGCACGGGGGATACAATAGCTCTTAAAGGGCGCAGTATACTATACCCCAAAACTATATCTACATCTACATCTACATCGGCTCATCTTGCTGTTGGTTAGGCTCAGATGCTCGAAAACGGCAACAATTATAAAAAAAAATTTTACATTTTGCAAAAACTGTACATTTATTAATTATTTTTCACCAAGTAGTATTTTATTTTCGAAATGTATTAAGAAACTTTGAGAGTTACTTTGTTGTCGTCGACTCCGGTGAAATCGTGATATTCTTCTCTCGTGATCATGAAAGCTGCCAGGTTGGCAGTGTATATGGCAAGAAACACAACAGCAAACATGGCCCACATGTTCGTCATAAATCTGAAAACATGAGTTTTATGTTATAAATCAAAGTGAACTAGGTGTGCAAAGAATAGAACAGACAAAACTGTGATTTGACTTTAGTAAATATTTACAATCGTGTAATTAACCTAAATTTTTAATAGGTTGTTAAAGCGTTAAAATTGTGATTTCTTTGACTTTACTTTTTGTTTGACTTTACTTAGCAAGATAAACACTTGATAGTTTGAAAATGGTGTTTTTACAGTTGGGCTCTCCAGTGCTTTGATTTCTCATTGTCCTAAATCCGAGACGATTATGGACTTTGATCGGTTCAATTTACTCCGGACAAATTACAATAGTTGGTTCATAGATAATTTTTCTACATTGCAATAAATACATACACAAGAGCCAACGACTAATGTAAGTAGGATTGTTTTAAAAGAAAAACGAAAATATGTTGATGTTAAAAAAAATCAAACTGTCAATTTTCCTGAATCCTGTAAAACCCGGATCCCCGACCAGCCCAAACACATTTTTTTTACGAGGGTTCGCAACAGCAGAGGTTATATCAACCCTCGGGGTGCCGGTGTTTTTGAAAAAAAGCCCATTTGGAAGTATGTCGGGTTCGAATGCAGGGCCGCTGGATTCGAACCCGGGACCTTTACCTTACAGAGATGAGCGCCGTGTCAACGCGCCGTTGCGGCCACCGACGCCCCTATTATAACGGTTTACGAATCGGGACGGGCGAGGTCGGCGGATGGGGAAATTAGAAATCTTCCCGGACCATCTTTTAAAGCCGTTTTCTTCCAGTACCGGGTCAACTAGACGAGGAAGACCAGGAGAAAAATCATCCCTGGAGATTTTGCGGAGTCACGGTTAACGTTTTCAAACTAAGATTAATTTCCTGCCCTCGGGACACGGCCTGTCAGCCCCCCGGGGATGATTTTCTTACGAGACGCCGAGGACGTAATTCAATATTTCGACAAATAAGATACTCCTTATATACTAATGAAATTAGAAAATATACTATCACAAAACGTTGTGGCGTTTTTCTTAAACAATTACACAATTTAGGCACTAGCATAATATCATCCGATTCATTAGGTCTATTATTTACATGTGATACCTCTGCTACATACATTTCATTGTAGAAACTGCAAACCCTTTCAGTGTAGAATAAAATTGGTCATATAAGATATGGAGAATTAGAAATCATATACAAATGTTTTGAAAGTTGAGAAACAAGGTTCTAGTGAATCTTTGGTTGAGAAAATTGCATCTCGTCTCCCATGCCTGAAGACTCTCACCATTTGTATAGGGAATGACGTCTGAGCATAAGAAATAACTGGACCTTCGTAGAATAATTACCATTCGTACTTCGAACAAAATAAGTAATTAAAATGAAGTTAAAAATCACCTGGAAATGGATCACTCCAGGATAGATTTTTTACGTTTTTTTTAAAATTTTCATTTATTTATATTTTTTTTTATAATAAGTTTTGTGTCGAAAATCGAGTCACGAAAAAACATAACTTATCAATTTTCTATTTCAACAGAAACAAGTAATTGACATTTTTATGCCTTTTTTTGTGTGCAACTCCAGAAATTCAAACTCGATCGTAAAAATCGGTTTTTGATTCGAATTAGTGACCGTCAATCGATGATTATTCAGAAATCGTGAGATGCGGTCTGGTTTGATGTAGGTTTCAGAAAAACATTTTCTTTATCGTGCCAACGTTTCGATCTTTATTGAGATCATCTTCAGAGCTCAAAGGTTTGCATTTCGCCCTTACCCCTCGCCAAACATAACATCAATTTTCTACGAATTTTCTAACTTTTCAATTAACAAGTGATTGACATTTTTATGACTTTTTTGTGTGTAACGCGAGAAATTCAAACTCGATCGGAAAATCGGTTTTCAAGTATATATGTGTGGTAATTAGTGACCGTCAATCGATGATTATTCAGAAATCATGAGATGCGGTCTGGTGTGATGTAGGTTTCAGAAAAACATTTTCTTTATCGTGCCAACGTTTCGATCTTTATTGAGATCATCTTCAGGGCTCAAAGTGCTTAATGTTGGTTTGAGAAAAACATTTTCTTTATCGTGCCAACGTTTCGATCTTTATTGAGATCATCTTCAGGGGTTTAGTTTGCATTTCACCCTTACCCCTCGCCATTGACGCTAATAAATACATGCACTCAGATAAAACATATAGATACACAATACATAAGACATATTATATACAATAAAAAAAAACCCAATTTCCCCTAAAAAGCGGAACAGGGGACCCATAAAACCCACTGCCATGCTCGAGTACCATTTTCAGATTCGATGGCATCCCTACACGCTCCTTGTAGGGAGCGAAGGCATGACATGTTTCCAGTATTGGTCCCATCAGTAGTGGGACACTTCGATCAACCTTTCTCTTCATAAGGGGCACCTGCACGGGCTTTGGCCGAAGAGCGGGTGCCCGTGTGTCAACCGCGTATGGCCAACCCTCAGTCGGGTGAGGACGATCCCTCGTCCGTGCTCAGGTTCTCTGAGGGCCATGTACCGGTCGTGCTCTTGACTCGCAAGAGCCTCTCCGACGATCCCGCCCACTGACGCTGCCATCTTTCGTTTATCATATTTTTTACTGCGTGTTTAGCGTCAGGGGGCCTGTTCGCGATGGTCCGATCCGGAGGGTGGGACGTACCGGCTTTCGCCTCCTCGTCCGCATGTTCGTTACCCTCCAGGCCGACATGTCCGGGAATCTAACTAACGGTTTATTATAGTTTTGATGTTAATAACGTGCAATAAGCATCTGGCGTCGTTAGCCTTAAGTCTCCTAGGCATCGAATAAATAAGCAAACAAATTTTGTTTTGTGAAACAAGATTCCATTCTTCAACATGGGCGGTTTGAAGTTGTTTTTCGCTTGTCGGAGCGGCGAACGATGCCTAATCCGTCTCTTTATCACGTTCTGTCTACAGGATTCTTTGTTCAGTCTAGCCAATTTATTTTGGTAACCATTACATCCTCCACAGCTTTCAGAAGAATTCCTTCGATGTACCTTTGTGCAGTCAAAGATCCATTCTGTATGATAATCAGTCCGGTAGAGGCATGGACGTCGATTCGGCACCATTCCATGACTCTGTCTTTGAAAAGTAACGCATAGCACATGAAGATATGAAGATGAATAACGATTCATGTCTTATCTACACACGATCCTGGACATCGGATTGCCAAACCGTCACTCCGGTAAAGTGTACAACCCCGTTGCTTAAGTGTTTAAGCGTCATGCTGATTTGCGAATAGTCGCCTTTCTATTCGATGCCTCTATAGTATAAGGGAAGGATGCGGGACTCTTACATTACGGATTTTTTGCGTTGACGACCTATCACGGAAACATTTAAATGACGGTTCTGTCGTATATCGCGGTCGACCACGCTTCGGCCGAGACGACCGGTGGCCCTAACCTCTGTAGACCATCTTGGATGGTAGACACCGTGCTTGGGTTATATAAACCTTAAAAGCGTTACAGTCCTTGGGAATATTGGAACTGAATCAATCTTAGAAGAAATGTTAACCATTTATTAATAAAATTATGTCAATGTGTAGTCATATTTAAGTTTGCTTTGCCAGGATGAAGGCTTTAAAATAGGTCGATTGAATAAATGAATAAACATTTATTAAAAAAATACTTATACATTTTGTTACATAATATTCATTAAGCAGGGGAAGTGGCGGGGCACTTTTACGTCCTATTTCAAAACTTTTTCCTATCAACGCACCTAGTCCTAGTTTGTTACTATTTTTAATTAATCAAACAAGAAAATAGTTGGAAAAATTTTCCTAAAAAACCCACTAGGTTTCAAATAGGATAACAATTAACAAATGAATTAACAAAATGGTGTTAAAAAAATATAAATAAATGAGAATAACAAGAACAATGCAACACGAGTAATTGAATTATCACAGACCCTAGATTTATCTATTGTGCCTAATCCTTCTATGTTTCCATGGAAAGATTACATCATACACTCCTACATCCCTGCAAGTAGTTCTTGCTGGAGGAGAGACCCGTAAAAAAATTCCTGGACAGACGCTTTAATTCGGAATTAATATATTCCATTACCGTTCTCTCATGCAAGAGGCCAATTCTGGTGTATCGAGGGAGTGGAGGTTATAAATCTTAGAAATTTATTTTGAACCACTTGCAGTTTTTGGATGTTCGATTCGCACGTGTAACTCCATGCTGGGCAAGCATACAGCAGCATAGGTTTAATAGCTACTTTATAAATAATTAGTTTATTTCCAAAGCTCATTCCACTCTCACGGGCCATCAGGGGAAATGGCTTTTATAGCTATTTTATCTTTCGTAACTATATCATTTATAAGCACAGAGAAGTTAAGTTTTCCGTCCCAAGTACTTTACCTCCTTACACCACTCGATTTTGTGTCCGTGAATGGAAATGGTTTCCCAGAATATTGGTCGTCGTTTTGTGAAAAATAAGGCCTCAGTTTTGGGGACATTAATCCTGAGTTTCCAGCGGCGACAAAATTTGCAAATCCTGATGATGCTGTCATATAATCTTTTATCTTTTCACAATTGTCTTTGGCCTCCAGGATGAACAATAGACAGCTATGTCCTCCGCATGAAGCGTAATTTTGCAATTTCTCTGTGAGGGGAGTGGATTTATAAAAAGGAGAAAAAGCATGGCTCTAGGATTGAACCTTGGGGAACTCCGGCGGCAATTGGGAAAGGTCTGGAAGTTTCATTGTTTAGGAAAACACGGAAACAACGGTTTTTTTAAGTAGGCCATGACCACTTTTATAAGGTATCCAGGGAAATTCATTTCAATGATCCTGTACACTGTACCGACCGAATCAAAGGCCTTTTCCATGTCTAGGAGGACCATCCCTGTGTGTTTTTTGTTGTTGAGCATGTTGGTCACATGATCTACTACGCGAGTTGGGTGGCCGTAGAGAGGTCTAAAGCCGTGCTGCTCATCTATGATAATGCTATTAGCATTAATGTTGAGGTTAAGACGGTGCTGAATGCACTTTTCGAATATCTTACTAAGTGCACTCAACAGGCTAAAGGGTCTATAACTTGATGGATTCTTGGCAGGCTTTTTGACAGTGTAATATGTTTAATAATATATTACACGGTATAATAGGTGTAATAATAGTAAAATAGATCGAAAGCTTGACAGTAACAATTGAATTTGTTTCTTCATCCAGCCCATGCGAAGAGTTAGTTTTGGGAGTATATCGTACATTTTTCAATTATGGCTGATTCCTTTTTGTATTTTGTGATAGAAATTGTTGTGATTAACAAATGAAAACATTCTTTTGTGTATCATTCTTTTCCTATACAATTTGGTAATAATAAATTATAAGTTATAAATAATAATAAAAAACATGGGGCATTGGTGGCCGCAACGGTTTAGGCGTTGACACGGCGCTCATCACTGTAAGGTAAAGGTCCGGGGTTCGAATCCAGCGGCCCTGCATTTGAACCCGACATACTTACAAATAGGCTTTTTTTCAAAAACACCGCCACCCTGAGGGTTTATATGCTGTTGCGAACCCTCGTAAAAAATAAATAAAATAATAAAACAGGGATGAGATAACTTTGCACTCCACGTGAAAGCTCGAATGTTCAAAGAATTGAAAGATTAGAAAGCCAATACGTGTAAAATACTATTAAATCAGTAGAGGAAATGAGGAAAATTAACGAAATTTATGGCCCAGCTGATAATCTGATGTTGCAATAATAAGAAATAATAACAAACACTCATGGGTAAAATGTTTTTTATCTTTTCCGAGCAAATGGTCTCTTTGTTTTCTTCCTCAATTGCACCGTTTAGTTAACTCACGTATTTATCAAATAAATCGCCCGATTTATTTTCTTATTTAGTTTAGCTATTTTTGTTCTTTTAAGACAAAACTCATAGGAAACAAACGCACTCACCCACATATATTCTAGATTTCAAACATTGTTATCTATGTGAGAGAATAAAATGAATCAGTCTTACATGTTAAATTGGTAAATAATCATTTATGCTAGTGCTATTGATAGTAATTGTTTCGGCTTACTTTGATGTAAATCCTCTCGGCGAATCGACATGTACCGCCGCTTGAAATAGTACAGCCCAGACGAGCCAGTATGTCCTAAAAAGGGAGAATCTGTGACTGGTCGAGACGCCAGTTTGCTGCTGGAAGCACTGAAACATAAAATTTTCATGAGGCTCCCCGTTTTAGTGTCGCATTTCCGTCTGATTGGTGAAGAGAGACGAGAATCGACGCTGTCCTTTATCGAAGCTCGTTAAAACTTTCCCTTAGGGGGTTGACCGACAAGTCATGAACAACATTCTCCTAACGAACTTGCCGACTTAGGATTAATATACTAATAAGTAATTGCTTAAAAACAAAAATATTTTTAAGTGTTATTACGTGAAACTATCTAAGCATATAATGCAAGTAGAAACTAGAGTGTTAGATAAGAAGCTTGAGTGATTGAAACCAAATTTTGATTAACACTCAGACTGTTTTTACCCTGGATTAAACAACTAGGATATTTTGGACTGGAAAGCTTGAAAACATATCTGAAGCTAACTCTGAGAGAGAATGCTTCACCAAAGCCCAAACAGCATAATCCACAATTATTGTATTACAAATTTTAAGTTTATTCCATTTATATAGTCGGAACAAAATCAAAAAGAATTAATTAAGTATTTTTCTTTTTCAATCATTATAACAAATTGTAATAGAGTTTTATGAACTTTGGCCATGTTCTCACTTAGGTTATTGGTTCCTATGATATTTATTTCATAATTGCACCTCTTGTTTTTCTAGGCAACGTGGCCCATAATAAATGAATATTCCACCAAATGAGAAGCTAAAATGTTAAATTAATCATTCAAGATTCATTAAGCTCTCTCCCTGTGACACTTCGTTGCTAGTTTTTGAAGAATCAACGCTTAAGTTGCGAAAACAATTCCAGTGGACGAGACATTGGAAAACCATTCAAAGCACAACATTTGAGAATTGGTGATGTTGTTGATTGATAGACTCATCGCTACAACGTTATTTGTGATAATTATGACTCATTTTAACATCATTTAATTGACACAATCTTACCATAATCCCTGGCTTTAAATTACAAAGAATATAAAACTTTCTAAAATTCACAATATAATGAAAAAATTAAAGCCCATCCCCCCAAACCTTGACATTGAGATGAACCTAATGATATTAATGTTAAAGAATAATTGGAGATTGAATTTCAAATTTTATTTTCACCATGCTTCCTAATCAATAATAAAACGTCTTTTTTCAGGAAAAGTTTCAATAAATCTTATTCTAAGAAGCATTAGATTTTAGTTTATTGGGTCCTGTATGCTACAGTTTTCGTGCGAGGTGAAGGCAAAGAGCGTTTGGAACTGCATGGAGGCCCTGACACCAATGACCTGACCCTGGCATGGGTCCTAGGGCATTCTGAGCAAAGAGGCAACAAAAGCCAACATGGACTCTCTAGGTCCTGATCCCTCCGGTGGCTGCTGCTCTTCCATTGCAACTGAACTAGGACGGCCGAACTATATGACCAAACAGACGACCGGCAATATGACGAACGTCGTCCACTGTAGCCGATTTTCGTCAGTTCACGACATAGCCTAAATGGATGTAGAAGACTGCTAGAAAATTCTTAATTTACACACAAATGGAGGGAAAGAAATAAACAAAAATATTGGAAGTTCCATTTATAAAGCGATCATCGACACAGCTTAAGCTGGACATCCCTCCAATGATAGAGCGGATCACGCATGTCCCAAAGAGTCCGCTTCTCCTCAACAGCACTTGTCAATTTTTCGCAATCCATCGAAATGAAAACGGAACGAGAACGTAAACAAAACGTAAAGAACGTTAAACAATGGTGAGCGTTTGATGTCACCTGGTTGACAGCTGAATGCGAAGTAACAATTCGGCCGAATAGGACGGGGAAAATCCAACTTTATTTGGATCGGAAAGTGCTTCGGCCGTGCACGGACCAACAGGACCGAACGAATTGTTCTAATGGACGCGTGCACATTCGTTTCTTCGCTTTTGGATCATCCGGCCCTATTCGGCCGTGCAACGGCCGAGCAAGTTCTGCCGAAAACGGTTCCAGTCATCGGCCTACCCAACTTGCCACAAAAAAGGATAGGGAAACAAAAGGGATCTTAATGACTCCACAACCTGATGGAACAATAGAACATGATGCACGCGAAGAGATTCATAGAAGGAATTACTAGAAGGCATATCATTATAATAATATTATATTAATACTTAAAAATGATAAATATAAAGGGCAGAATTTATTTTAAAAAAGTAGTGGCACAAAAGTACTGCGTTGAGTCTAGTCTATATACCGTCAATACCGTTACGTCTGGCCAAACTATTTATATCTAGTAATTTTTCATTTTAAAAAACCGTATGTAATTTACAAACGGAGTTTTAAAAAACACCGGCACCCTAAGGGTTCTTATAACCTTGCAATTGAAATACCATCGTAAAAAAAAATTATTTCAACTCTGCTGAGTGATTAGTATCCAAGCAAAATATGCTGTCCTTGAGGTATATTGTTTTATTTTGTAAATATCTTATTAATAAACATGTACATTATTATTATATCGATACTTAAATGTGAATGTTTTAAAGAGCATAATATATTTAAAAAATGTAGTGTGGACACAAGTACGGCGTTTAGTTTAGCCTATACCTTCAATACCGTTCGGTCTTGCCGAACTATATATCTAGTAATTTTTAATTTAAAAAAATGTATGTAACTTACAAATTGTGGTTTTTTCAAAAATACCGGCAACCTGAGGGTTCATATGACCTCGTAGTTGAAATACCATCTCAAAAAAAGTATTGCAACTCTGCTGACGGATAAGGAACCTAGCAAAAAATGCTGTCGTTGACGTATTTTTTTATTTTGTGTATTAATGTATTAATAAACATGAATATTATTATTAGATTATTATTAATAATAATCCATTATATAATAATATATTAATAAAGAGCATACGCTGAAAAAATAATAGTGCGGACAAAAGTACGGTACACTGACGCTCTGAAACAGACAAGGGGACGGGGGCTGGAGATCCAAAGACCGAACTGACGGTAAACCTAGATAAATATTCTACAGGATAGGAATACATTCCCCGATGACTTCTCAGACAGTCAGGCAGCACTAAAGACCTAACCTCATGCGAGGTGAAGACAAAAAGCGCTCGAAACTGCGTGGAGGACGGGAATCAGCGACACTAATGACCTAACTTTGACGTAGATACCTGAGCTACGGAGCATACAGGCAACGAAAACGTTGACATGTTAGCCAAAGAGGAAGCCAACAGGGACTCTCTTGGTCCTGAACCTTACTCTGGCCTCTGGCCCTTTTTTCACGATACCCTTCCCCCAAAAACGAATACGCATAACTTATAGTCTGGCATTGGCTAATATGCATAGTACGTAAAACCGTTAAAAAAACCTGAAGATATTACGAAAGGATTAGTCAACTATAAAACGGTAACGCCCAAATTTATTACAGATTTACATTTTACCCGGCTTTGATTTAGCCAAATTCTCTGCGACTTTTATAAACAAGAAGTCAATTTTCAGTGATTACTGTACTGTTATTTCATCTGGTAATTTTTCGTTACTAATTTAAATCCATTAAATATTGAAATAATACAAAATCTACAATCGCCAATCTTCCGAGAAAGACACGATATCACTGTCTTAACTGCTTAATGCTTCAAGACCTAGTAACTTGAGCTTATTATTACATGATAATCCTCTTGCTATTCAAGTGGCTACTCCAAAAATTTTTTTAGACCCGTAATCTAAAGGAAAACTTTAATATTTGTATGATATTACAACATTATGTTATGAATAAAACTAAATACAATAAAACTTAAGAGTGGCGCGTTCATTTTGACCATCAGTGTATATTTTGGCGTCATATCTAAACTGGAAATTCCCTGATGTTACCGATCATGGACATGAGACAAAAGAAAAATGTGGACTTAAGTGAACACATCTTCACCACATTGCTTGACAGATCTCAAGTTTCGAGTTTTGAGTTTCGAGTTTTGAGTTTCGAGTTTATTTATTAGATACTTTTACATACATTTTGTACATAGTGACTACAAGGGGAAATGTCTAGGACATTATACATCGTTGTGGCAGAGGAATATTGTATATTTACAATATTTGTTGATTTGGCCTAGAGAAATAAGAACAGTGGTGAAAATTATACTAAAAACCACATGCAGTAAGAATACATTAATAAATAGGGAAGTTACAAATAATTACATATATTATAAATTATAAATCATAAGTCGTTGACTACATTGTACAATAGATAAGTTTGATAAACAACACATTTCTTTAATATTAGCTAATTTCATAAGTTAATAAATAGGCAAGTTAATAAATAATTACTAATTATTATAAGTTAAAATCATTGAATAGACTTGTTCAATACATAGTCTGACATTTACTAATTTGGTAAATAAATAAATACATATATAAACAGTAAAATTAACAATTTAATAAATAACATCACAGTGAATAAATATACAAAGCAGTCATACTAAAATGTGTTTGATCCTCCTGTGTTTCCAATTTTTTTTGAGGTTATAGTTTCCTACATTCTTTACTGTCATATTTGTACTCTCAGCGCTACGTTCATAAAAGGAGCTAGAGATCCTTTTGATATCATCCTTAATGTATAGGATGTTTAATATTTCGTGCATATAATTTATACGAACACTTCTTTTAGAGGATGTAATTAACCTTAAAAATTTATTTTGAATTGTTTGTAGGCACTTTGTATTGGTGTTACTTGTGTAGCTCCATACCTGACAGGCGTATAACAGCATTGGTCTGACTATGGTTTTATATATAATGAGTTTATATTGGGGGCTCATCCCAGATTCTGTACATATTAAAGGGAACAGAGTGTTGATAGCACACTTCCTTTTATTAACCTTTTTACAAGTGTTGGTACCAAAGTTAAGCTTGCTATCGAGGTGTAAACCAAGGTATTGAACATTATTGCGCCAAGGAACATTTGAGTCACCGATTCTTATAAATTCCCTATGTATAGGAAGTCGTTTTGTTGTGTTTAACTTGAGTTTCCATCTGTGGCAAAATCTAACGATCACAGACCTCAACTATTCTTAAACTATTACGGACCTGTGCTACTAACTTTGCCATACGTAAAGAGCTTAAAAAATAAACTTTTTATAAGGTTTAACTGAATTAAATGTTATATGATAATCGTACCATCTGATTACACCTTATGCTTCCTATTTGATAAATATTTTAAACCTTTTGAAGTCTTCCATTTTTCCAAACCAACTGTTCTATATTGCTTGGTAGATCTTGACACTATGCTTGAACCATTATAGAGTTGAGCTTTTGCCTTCAACCATATAAGAGACTCTGCGATCCATAATCCTTCGGAAAATAGTCCGGGTATTTTTCTCTCCAACAATTCATTTCCCTTACTATTACCACGTTCAAGATCATGCATATGAAATTTTATATTTTTTTAAATTTTTATTTACCTTCATGTTGAAACCGCTGGGGCTGAGCCATTCGAACAAAAATATCGTGAATGTCGCTGCTTGAATTGCGACGACGCCGACCAACATCCAAGATGCCGTGTCAAACGGTTCTGCAAAATAAAAACAAGCTTATTAATTTGATAATCTTATTTGAAAATGAGGGTGATAATCTGTAAAACTTATGCTGGCTGGGTTTGGCCGTTCCTGTTAAACGCCTGCCACATTTTAAATGACATTTCGTTTCAAAAATTTGCATCCTAGTGTATGTATGATTTCAATTTGCCCGAGGGTTATGTTTAGTACAAAAACGCGCCAAGTTTCCAAAATGTTTCTCAAAAATTTCTTGAACACTCGTATAATTCACCGTTTCAACTCCAAACAATTTCCTTGGACTACTCTACGCTCTGACGTTTGAATAGAGTTGTTTTTCAGCATACATCAACGTCAAATAAAGAAAGAAGTTGAACAATTTCTTTTTTTTTGTCGCTGAATAAATAGACAGATACGATGCGTTGATTTATACCCGATCTATTTTATTCTTTTTCTCATGCAAGCGAGCGGATCTCTGGAGGAAAACTAGCAAGTCACAAATCAAGCCGGAAAAAACTTCATGGGCAAGTCCTTGAAAATTTGGGCACGGCAAAGTTTTCGAACATATACAACATCGTCTTACACTTTTTTCAATTTAAAATGTAGATTGCTTTCCAAGTACCTACAAGGCTTTCTGAAAATCCACAAAGAATGCACTTTTTGACTTCATAAATTATGTGCATTTTACTCGGGCCGAAAGAAATAGGGCAATATTCATGGATTGTCCAAATATTTTGCCTTGAATCGTATATCTGCAAAGAAGACAGTCTAAAGTGGCTATTAAAGTTAGAAATGTCTAAGCGCCTAAAAAAAATGATAATATCGTATTGCCTCAGGGGAGTGTACTAAGCCAACTATTGGTTCTGCTCTATTTTAACAACCTGACCGCTATATTATTTCTTGTAATTGCTTTATAACTAACACGACGACTCTAAGTTCGTTTTCGAGTTCTTTCTTTTTACGTTACTATATGCCAACATACTTTTGCTAGGGCAAGCCAGTGGATTGCTATTACTAAGGTTGTTTTAAATCATTCTAAATCAACAGGTGTAATCTTCAGAAGGCCAAGAACTTCGCCATATATTTCGATAGGGAAATTGAAAATATTAGCCAAGTGGTAAGGATAGATGGGTCCTAATATACATCATCGTGGCACCTCTGTATCAGTGCGATATCCGGCTGACAAACAGAGGCTACTGATGACATGAAAGTATTTGGGGGTTAGAGAAAGATGGATTGATTGTAGGACCAGGTAGAAGACAAAAGGGTGGACTTTATTATGTTTCTAACTAGAGCAGCCCCGAGTGGCACACATGATCGAAGGCTTGGTCCACATCGAATACATCACTCATACAGCTCAAAATCTATAGCGATGGCACTGCTGAATATTGCAATGCGAACGGCTGAACCTAAACTTCTGGTCAAGAATAAGGATTCCGGAATGAATTAAATAAATTATCGATTTACAATTTTTTAATATTAAGTATTGTTCTAATAAATAATGTATATGTAGACTTTATGCCAAATAAAAACTGTTTTTTTCCTCCAAATAAAGTGGCTTTAATTAATTGGATTTTTAAAGGAAACATACTCATCTGTAAGCCATCGTTCCTAAACCTGCCTATCTGTTATGTATTCAAGAGATGCTAATACGAAACATTAATGCTGCAAAGAGGCATGACAACAGATTGGTGCTTTGGTGGGAGAAGACATTACAGCTGATAGCGGAGAGAATCCTCAGTAGTGACGAGAAGGTATTGCTAGGCATATATTGAGAAAATGGCACACAATGTTCTCATGAATCTGCCATTACTACATCTTCATCCAAGGCTAGAAAGACGGTTTACACGCCAATGCAGAGACAATGGCATACCGCATACACAACGCAAGTTTCGAGAAGAACTGTGGAGAGGAGTAGAAATTATGAATTCGATTATGATCAAAAATTAAATTTATCATTGATAAAAAACAAATTATATTAGATAAAAAAATTAAAAACCTAAAATACAGTACACTTAAAAATTAAAATACCCATAAAGACCCAAAAACTCAAGTTAAATTTTACCCAAGGGTATAAACATAACAAACATGGTACTAAATAAAGATGAAAACAATTTATTAAACAAAGGCTTAAAATTTGTCCCTAAAACAGAATTGGATACAAAAAACTACTATCCCTGGGTTCATCGGTAGATTGTTGTAACATGAATACAAATATAAAATATAAATGTGCTGAAATAATTAAACAAAACTTGGTAAATCTAAATGTAAAAAAGTTAAATATACCACGTACAATTAGGTCTATTGATAAAAAGTTAAAAAGTAACAACAACGTTATTTTAATAGCCGATAAAAGTAATAGTATAGTTATCCTTGAACATCAAAATAACGTTTCTAAAGTTGAGGAATTCCTAAATAATAACAAGTGCAAACAAATACAAAAAGATCCCACCGTAAAATTAAAAACTAGCGTTCAAACAGCCATAAAAATAGTGATTTTTTATTCTCAGATGACCAATATGCAGTTAAAAACTAATACCAATGAACCCGAAACCCCCAATGTTATACAGTAAAGTCAAAATTCACAAAGAAAACAAGCCTATAACCAGTAGTGTCCTTTTATAATTCCCCATGCTATAAACTTGCAAGTACAATTGACAAAATAATTAAAACTTACACCAATTTCAAACCTACATTCGGTATTAACAATTCGTTAGAACGGATAAAAGAATTAAATAACATCAATATACCCAACAACCGTGTTTTAGTCATTTTACGTTACTAATTTTTTCACAAATATCCCTGTTGAAGAATGTACTGAACTCATAAAACAAAAACTTACCGAGAATTCTATTAACGAATTTGTAAAAAATGATATAATAGACATCTTAAATATATGCCAACTATCTAATTATTGTAAATTCAATAATAAATTTTACGAAATGAAAGGGGTACCAATGGGGTCTCCACTATCCCCACTTTGTGCCGAAATATTCATGGATAATTTCGAAAAAAAACTTTTCAAATCAAACAACAAATAAATTAAATCTTTTCATTTTTGGAAACTATGTAGACTATATTTTATGCATATGGTCGGGAACATTAGAGGATCTCAAAGAATTCCTCCAACTAATTAATTCTCTTCACTGTAATATAAATTTCACATTGAAAATTAACAAAGATGGTTGTGTGAACTTTTTAGACCTAAAATTGTCCATAATAAACAACCTAATAGAAATAGACGCATATAGAAAACCCACAACTACAGACACCAGCGGATTCTTCCCACCCATGCTGTCAAAAGGCTGCTGGTTTCATTTGGCTCATAGGCCGTATGTTAAAACTTCCGCTAACACCTGATAACTATAAAAAAGAATTAAAAACTATTAAAACCTTGGCACAAAACAACGGGTATCTAGAAATATTTATTGATAGGTTGCTAGTTAAAAGAATAAAAAAATTAACTTTAAACGAATCAACAATAGGACTCAGCCCCCCCACCACAAATGAATCATTAGGTGTCCGTTGTTTGCCATACATTGGTGAATTATCGGAAAAAGTTAGTAAAATTTTTAAACAAGAAGATTTTAGAATAGCTTGTAGAAGGACGGGGTCACTAAAAAACATCCTCTCAAAACGTAACGACAAGGTAGACAACTTGGCAAAAGCGGGGTTTACCGACTCAATTGTAATGATTGTAATATTAAATATATAGGTCAAAGCGGTAGAGAAATAAAAACGAGAATAAAAGAACACTTGCCTAAATGGAGCAAATTTTTGGAATTTAAGGACGATCTAAAAGAAACAAAACATAATTTCAATTCAAATTTAAATACAACAGTGTTGCATAGTTTCAAGAAAGGGAGAGAGAACTAGATTGTTTTGAGAAATTTGAAATTAAAAAATGCAAAATTGAACATGGTGATGAATGCATTAATAATATAACAGATTTTGATCTACCTCCATTTTAAATATATACTTAAATAATATTAAACGTCAAAATAATTAAATTAACTGTTATTCTTTTTATAATAATTTAATAATATTAAGGTATTATTCTAATTTTTTAAAATCTTTAATCACTAATTTATAATTAATTTCTTACAGTATTTACTATTATAATAGTTATTTGTGTTATAATTCCCGCTTTTCGCACGTTCAAATTGAGCGCCATTAAAAAACCAGCTGCTAATTGGAACGTCGCGTTGGCGGGGGTATCAGCGGGTTCACTTTTGCAATTCATGTATAGAGACGTGCTTGTGGAAACCCTTCAATCTGATGATGACCTAAAGGGCTCGAAACCGGATTGTTGAGAAACAACTTAATGTGAGTAGGAACCATCTTAAAAAAAAAAAAAAAAAATAGTATGGAGAAGAGTGTTACAAATCTGGTACACATGGAAATGAACCTAAGAATAAGCTTATGTAAGTCTTGGGTATTACGCCACTGCCTCTCAGGCGGATGTTGCAGCTATTATGAACTGCCAAGCAGATCAAAAGTATAGTTGTTACTGTTGGAAAATTAACGCTGAAAGGACTAAACCTAGGTCACTAGCACTATTTTAATTATGGTGGAAATGTTAACTGGACCTGGAGACACTGGGAGAGAAAAATCATAGATCCGGAAGAAGCGTGGTCCTTAAAAAAATTGGTATTTGGTAAAACGTTTTCAGTTTAACGAAGAACTGAAGAAATTGATGGATTGCACAGTGCATGGTCGTAAAATAATCCGTCTTTTTAATTTTAAACTAAACCTTATTCTATGATTATACATTAATCTCCTGCAGGGCGAATTTTGCGTTTTTTCAGACCATTTAACAACTGCAATTCATAAAGGTTGTCATCTAGTTTAAATTATTAGAAAATTGTTCTTGATATGTGAAAATCTTTGAAAAACAAACGGTTAGAATATTAATATGTGTACATAACGGGTGAAGAAAAAACAGTACGGTCAAATTTCATCAAGGTAAAATTGTAAAGATATTTATCAAAAAGAAGTTATATAATATATATAATATATAAACGGGAATTGGTGGTCATTATGAATCAACGGATGTTTATGGAACAATTTTTTTTGCCCGCCATGTCGTGATAGTCCGGGCAACATAGAAATGTATGGCCTATCGATTTAACGTCAGAAACACAGCTCTTCACGGACTTTAATTTACAACTGGACCGTACTTCAACAGGCTGAAGGCTGAAGAAACGTCTGTCGGGAATTTTTACTCCTTTGAAAATTAAGTCTTACCGAGGAAAGCGGTCGGAGAGATTATTCCAGTCCTCTTGGCAACGATAATCGCTATTCCGGTCTCCATGAACGGAACGGAGAAATCCACGACGGCCTCCCTTTCGGAATTGATCATCAAAGAAGTCATAACCATGTCAGTTTTCCTGTTCACGAGATCAGCAATCAAACCGTTCCATTTGCCATTCTGAAAAATATAAAACACATTATTATATATTTCAGCGAGAAACGTAACTATGAATTTGAACATGAATAAAAGAACTGCAGAAAATTATTGAGATACGTATAGTTTTTAAGATCAGTATGATGTAAAATTGGTGTAATATAATAAAAATCCGCATATATGGCAAACTTATGTCAAAATCATGAGGACATTCAACCTGCAGCTACTTGAGCGTCTCGATCTGTTACTGACTCCCTTGCTTTTGCATGAAACCTAAAATTTTGCCTTTCATTTGTACTTCAGGTTGTCAACTATAGAATAGATGGTAAACATACAATATAGACATATACACACCATCTTACACAAACATAGAAGTCTGATCAAATTCACTCTCTCAGAATACTCGATATTCCCCGGGGCAGGACTCAACTCAATTCTCGCTAGTAACTTAATTTATTCTTGCGACTTGGCCCATTTTTTTTCCCGGATACCAGGAGGAGTTCCCTCCTGAGCACTGCAGCTGAGCTGTACAGCTTATTGTACTTTATCCCTGGCTCCATTTTTTTGGAGGGAGACTCGCAACACAAGTGTGAACTTGAGCCCCCGTTGTACCAGTGTTCTTCCATCGAAGAAACTCATTTTTGAAGGGGGTTGGGACCAAATTCTTCCATTGATGAGTGCCGTGCCAATTTCTTTCAATTGCGGCCACCGGTTCCCTTAGGCGTCAGAATAGTTCAGAGGCGACGATGGGGATCGAACCCACGACCGCGGGATCTACTAGACGAGAGTCTGACGCCTTAACCACTCGGCTACCGCGGCCCCCGGCTTGACCCATTACTCCAAGGTACACGTCATACCTCAGAGCACTATAAACAACCCCTTCCTTTTACGCTAATAAATTATGTTCAACTGAAAATATTAACATAAACACAACACCAGTTAAAAAAAAAAGTAGAAGCACGGTCAATCCCGCAGAGTATTCGATATTCCTCAGAGCCGGGTTGGGTATAAAGCGATTTTAAGACCATTGTAATCTTAATTGTAAATTACGCCCACCTACTATCTCTTAAAATTAAATATGACCTGATAAATTTCATCATCAAACTTATTTCAGCGTGTAGAAATGTGTGGTGATTAGTGACCGTTAATCGGTAATAATTCAGAAATCGTGAGATGCGGTCTGGTGGGATGTAGGTTTCAGAAAACATTTCCTTTATCGTGCCAACGTTTCGATCTTTATTGAGATCATCTTCAGGGCTCAAAGTGTTTGTCTTCTGTGTAATTGTGCCATTCTTGCGAGTGGTATTGAGAGTGCCCAAATTACACAGAAGACGAACACTATGAGCCCTGAAGATGATCTCAATAAAGATCGAAACGTTGGCACGATAAATAAAATGTTTTTCTGAAAACTACATCACACCAGACCGCATCTCACGATTTCTGAATAACTAATTTCAACTCAGATGTGCGATTGCAACGAGATCTCTTGATACAAATGAGGCAGTGATAGACTTAGCTAATATAAAACATTCTACTTGGATCATTGGAGTACTGCTATAGGGAAAATTCTACACCCTTGTTTACATTTTTTCTCATCATTACTAGATGCTTAATATAAGGTATTTGGTTGTAATTTACAGCACGCTTTCGTGGCTCATGGTGACTGTAATAAATTTTTATTAAAATTTGAATTTAATAAAAATATTTTCTATGTTTGTGTTTTGAATAGAATTCTGCTATTTTCGTTGTTATGAATATGCTATCATGTATTATACTGTCATTAATATGAAGGGTTGTTTTGAAAAATATAGTTACAATTGTGGGTGGACGACTCGTTAAAAAAACTATAGGTATATGTGATTTTTTTAAACCTTAATCAATATTTTAATAAATAGAGAGAGAATATTATTTGTAACCCAGATTTTTAAAACAACCGGAGTGAAATATATGTAACTTTTTCTCTAGTAGCAAATTTATCTTCCGTCAAAGGTCCTGGTCCAAAATAACCATTACATGCAGCATGTAAATTTCTGTAAATGAAGGTTTATGAAACTAGACTATCTCTTCCACCAAGTGGCTGCTGATAAATCCTGCCGAAAACGGACCCATCAATCAACTCGCGGCATAAAGCTCAAGGGAAAAACCGATTCAACTTGGGATATTTTAAATATTTTATTGTCCGAATCGCTAAACAAAAGTGAAAACCCTAGAGACATGGTAAAAATTTAAATTTGAATTTGTTACTAAAAAATCATTAATTTTTTTTTAAAAGAACGACAAAACAAAACAGAACTGCGTGGTAGCTCCATTATAACTGAAACAGCATTGCTCTAGTGTATTCCTGGATAAAGATACCCCTTTGATAGGGTATGCCTGCCGAAGCTATGTGTAAGTTAAAGGACATACTAATCGCTATGACCTCTTCCTTAAATCCTATCACTCCGGTCGATATTTCTATGTGACACATCTTCCACCAATTACCCTGTCGCAGTTTGAGTCGTACAGAGGGAGTACACATGCGCTGCTACTATACACAATTTATACGGCTGACGTACCTGCCCACCCAGAAACGATGACCTTCAGCTTCGTTGAGGGAAAAAGAATGCTGTCTCGTCATAACGATCAAGTCATAGCAATCGGTTATCTACAAACGCATCTACTTGCCCTTGAGCTCCAGCGGTGTAGAATCAAGGCAGTGAACGGTAAACAACGAATCTAAACAACCTTGACCATTAAATCCACGCACACATTTACTTTAACAATAATCCTGGAATATGATGTTTTTTACGACGGTTTGGAACAGCAGAGGTCATATAAACCATCAGGGTGCCGGTGTTTTTGAAAAAAAAACAAACATTTGTATGTATTTATTTAGAAATCGTGAGATGCGATCTGGTGTGATAGGTTTCAGAAAAACATTTTCTTCGTCGTGCCAACGTTTCGATTTTTATTGAGATCATTTTCAGGGCTCAAAGTGTTTGTCTCAAACACTTTGAGCCCTGAAGATGATGTCAATAAAGATCGAAACGTTGGCACGATAAAGAAAATGTTTTTCTGAAACCTACATCACACCAGACCGCATCTCACCATTTCTAAATAAATATCCATTAACGGTCACTAATCACCACACATTTGTAGTATGCCGGGTTCGAATGCAGGGCCCCTGGATTCGAACCCGGGACCTTTACCTTACAGTGATTAGCGCCTAAACCGTTGCGGCCACCAACGCCTCCTTGGAATACGAATCAAGTACAATATATCTAACTTTATATAGACAAACGGGGAAAAAATTATAACACACAGATTATTATTTTCAACGTATTTATTTAAACTATACTAACAAACAATCAAAATGTATTGTGCAATACAACTAAGGAAGGAAAAAGATACTAACCACGTGTATAAATATTATTATTATCATATCTGGAAATTTCCAGATAAAGGGCTATATAATTATTTCATGGTGTTCCTGGTTAAAGACAAAATTTAATGTTTTAAAGAACGCTGAGAATCATTTGCAACATTTATACATTAAATTTATTTATTACACAAAATTACAAGAAAGAACATGTAACGGCAAATTTATTTAAATTTACCTTCACTTTTTTTTCAAGTTCAAAAGAGGAAAATCGGAATAAAAAAGTATTGTCAGTTTTAAATTAGTTTAATATAAAAAGGATTTTACAGGAAGCATAAATGGCTTTTCCACCCTTTCCTCATAATTTATATGCCGTTCAGAAGTGTTAAATGAAATGTATATTGCACAAGTTGGCAGGAGTGGGTCGTTCATTATATATTTTGGCATCATGCCCAAAATTGATTGAATAAAGCCAAAAATATACAAAAATAAATAAATGCTCCAGCTACACTATAGTGGGGCCGATTTAGAGCAGAAGTATTGATAAATGGTAATGCGATAAGAAAATTGATTTTCATCTATGAAAACAAATCGTAAAATTGTAAGGCTAATTTGAATAATTATAAACAAAACCTATATAAGAAAATATTTTTTTCCTTACCTTGCCTTTTTGTAGAATTTTCCTTTTCATTTTTTCTAATACCCTTTTATTATGTTTTGAAACTTTTTTATAGTCCGTTTTCTTCTGATTTGCTTGTTAGAAGTACATATTTTCTCTTAACAGTCTGTACCTAAATATTCAGTTCTAAAAAATGCACTTTTGAAATTAGTTTTGTTGTTGTTCTTAACTTTATATTTCTTTTCTTCCTGTACACTCACGTTTTCATTAAATTTAAATATTTTTTAATTTTTGTCCTTAATTTTTCTTTGAACGCTGCGATGTTTTTGTCTACTGTCAGTCTCTTTCTGTCTCTTTTGTTTAGTTAAATATTTTTATCTCTCTCGTTGTCTCTTTTTCCCTTTAATTAACATTCTTTTCTTTATATTCTTTCTGTGAATGCCTGCCTTTATCATCCTCTATTCTCTTCCTCTTTCTTTAAACATTTTAATTTCATGTTACATCGCCTTTGTAGTTTTATTCACTGTATGTTTTTATATATTAAGTCGTGTTTATATCCTAATAACTGTCTTTCTATCTTCATCCCCCTCTTTTCTTTCTCATACGTTTCTATTTTTTTATTCTACTTTCTATCAGAACACGTTTTATATTGACATGTCTGTATTCGTTCTCTCCGTTATATCTCAATCTCAAGTTTTTCTATAACCTTCTTTCGGACGTTCCTCTACGTTTTAGTTTTAGGTTTTTATTCGCATATTTATCTGAACATTTGATATTTCCATCTCTTTTCTTTCTACGTTGGTAAAATTTTCCGTTCTATTGGTAAAGTTTTCTATTATTTTTCGTTATAACTCGTGTTTCTTCTTCCGTCATTTTTTCTGTTTTTCATTCAATACATCTCTATTTGATATTAATTTTTTCACGTTTTCCTAAGTTGTTCTCATTTTCATTTCAATTCTAACCTTTTTATTCTCTCTCTCTCTCTCTCTCTCTCTCTCTCTCTCTCTCAAATAATTAAATCCGCGAGTATTATAAACAAAGCGATTT